ATTCTTGATCTGCTCTAACCTTAGCATTGTACGTGGAAGGCAAGGGCGCACTACTGTACGACTACACGATGTATAGTACTCCCATTTAACAGCCTAATACGGTATGCATCGTGATGAACTGGTAGTTGTACGGCGTTAGTTGGCCTGGTGCTGCAACTCGATTAGTTAGCAGCTGAAATAAAGTAAGGGTTGTTTTATTCTGCTGAAATGAAGAACTTGTGTTTAGCGTTGTTTTATCTTCAATTGGGCTTATATTATTTTAAACGTCTGGTTGTTTAACGCATTTAAACAACGGGCAAACTACATGAAAAGCACAATACTAGTACTCCGGAGTATCGGATCCATATCCGGATTGTTGCATTTGATATATCCGGATAACTGCTGCACCCAACATCTCTTTATCGGATGAATCAGTCCAGTGGTACGGTTTACAAAGTGCAGGTTCGTCGTCGAGTTGAACCTTCAACATTTCCTGAGGCCAGTCAGAAGAATGGCCCCATGGTCATCCGATCGGTGCCGACAAGAAGAGCTCTACTTCGTTCAGAAGCACGAAGCCACGGCCACCCTTCCTCGGGGCCAATGCTGGTTCCTCATTGATGCCAAGTGGAACGAGCGATGGTGGGCGTACGCGACGACTGCGGACAGCCCTGCCCCTGGTCCAATCACCAACGAAACATTGGTGGAAGATTCGTGGCGGCTCCGTCTGCATGGAGACGCGCCTGGCAATGCCGACACGCCATGTTTGGGCTTGCAATTGACCACGGACTACGTGTGCGTGACGTCGTTGGTGTGGTGTTTCTTGGTCGAATTGCATGGCACGAGTGGCTTGCCCCCTTTGGCTCGGTAATGTTTCAGGTTGTTTCTATGACTCATTAATGTATTGCAGGTACACAAAAGATATTTACTCCGTGCAGGTGCCATCAGTGTTGCTCGACAAGGTGCTCAAGGTGCCTCGGTTGCAAGCTAAAGTACTCGTGTCGTCATTCGTCCACCACTCCACTGGCCAAGTGTCTCCACGACCTCCAACCGTCCCAATCGATAACAAGGCCAGTAATGCCGTAGCCAGCTCTTGGCCCTTTCTGGCGCCGATTCCACTGGCGAATTGGATGCAACTGCAGTATTGTATTCTGCTGGCCACGGACATCGCTTTTCATTGTCACAATGGCAGCAATATGTGGCAGGGGGTAGCGTTGGCCTCTGTCTGGATCAGCGTTCCCACTTTACTGGTTCAATTTGCCATCACCACCGTCCGCCCCCTTTGTAGCCATGCGTCAGCTGTTGGCGCCCCCCTTGTCGTGGGGGTTTGGTTTCAAACCGCGCTCGTGTTCGCTGGGGTGGCGTCCGTTCCAGTCATTCTTTCGTATGTTTCAATGGGAAAATTCCTTGTTTGGATTGTGCAAGACCCGTCCACTGTGGCAACCGCGCGTGCCTTTGCGGCGACGTTGGCCGTTGGAGTGCCTCCCCAATTTGCCTTTTCAGCCCTTGTGTCCGTCTTCGGAGTTGTCGTTCAAGAGGGCGGGGGGATTTCCCCTTTGGTCGTGGCGCATATGTTGACTTGGATATTGAATGGTCTGCTCAACGTGCTCTTCCTTCATGGATGCATTGGCGTTCCACCACTCGGCGTCCACGGCCCTGCGTGGGCAACTGTGATGAGTCAGTACGTCCAAGTGATTGCCTTTGCCCTTTGGGCGTTGTTCGTGTCACCATCTTGGAACTGCTGGGGCGGGTGGAGTTTAGAATGTATCCGCCGCTTCCCCACGTTTGTGGCCTCGGCGATGACCACGTCATGGGTGTGGAAGACAATTCTGGACTGGGCGTGTGCCTGCGCAGTGCTGGTGTTTGCTGCATCGTCGTCGACGATGAATGCAACACAAACTTCCACCCAGGCCTTCTTTCTCGTGCTGTTTCACTGCGGCCGGGTCTTCGCCCAGTCGATAGGCGACGCATCCGTCCAAGCCGAAGGTTCCAACGCCCGCGTGCATGCTACTGTGGTCGTGTTGGGTGCTTTAGGCGTTTTCAGCGCAAGCGTCGGACTGGGGGGCGATCGTTTTGTGGGCTTCTTCCTGGGGACGGATCCACAGGTCGTGGACGCCTTTCGGTCAGTGGAACCGTCGTTTCTGTGGGCGTTGGGCTTGCTGACAGGCTCGACAGTGATGCAAGTGTGGCTTTTACAAGGGGCTGACGAGGAGTTCTTCCATCGAGTTGGACACATGTGCGCCACTGCCTTCGTGTACGCCCCCCTTTCGTACGTGATGGGAGTGACATGGCAGTGGGGGTTTGGCGGAATGTGGTGGTCGATGGTATGCAGTCAAGTGTGGACCATCTTGGCCCTGTGCTGGGTGACAGTTCGAGGAACTTCATCGGTGCAAAGTCTAGTCGATGAAGAATCGCGATCGTTGTTGCCGTTGCAACGTGCTCCGTCACAAGAGACGAGTCGCCAGCATGTAAGCAACTAAGTAGTTAATAGCATAGATTGTCCTGAACTTTGCATTTAGGATGATGCACGTGGAGCAAGTGTACATGAAGGAGGGGTTGCCGAGGCTAAGGTAGGCCACCTCGGCATTGAACAACATGAACAACGACGCATCCAACTGATTGCTTTCGACGGTTGTAGGGCAGTCCTACCCCCCATGATGATCATTCAGCGATGGGCTTGGGTCTGTGGATACATGACGCCCTCGTGGAGCTGAATGCCAAGGAGCACACATCAGAGGGTTCGACGTGGCTGGGATGGTGCCGCCGTCGCAACGGTGGCGCCAACTCTGAGGCTGGCGGCGCCCTACTAGAGGACTTGTACCAAAGCAAGCTACCCAACATTCGAGCACGGGCATCCCCTTTGGCACTTGAATCCTCTCAGCAATTACTTTGGCGGGACCAAGACTCGTCGAAACAAGCTGAGGGGGCGAGAGACACTGGACATGGGGCGGAATTACAAGTAGACGTCGATGATGGGGGTGTTTGCTGCTGGCAACAGCACAGGGTCAACTTTCTAGCCCCACATGATCACCAAAGTGAATCGGACCGTTCAACTGAAGCGAATGACATTGACGGCGGCCATGATCGCAGCACGTCGAGGTGTAGATCGAGGGGGTCATCTTCGGCGATGGACGGCGTCACGCGATTGGAAATTGGCCCAGACGTAGTGATGAACTCATATCAGCCTTGTGTACCTCTTTGCGATGGGAGTCGGCAGCAATGGAATAATGAATCGCACGCCGAGGAAACGAATGTCCGTCGTAGCCAAAACAGGTCGACGACGCCGGCAGGACGCGATGGCGATGGTCGTTCTGGGTATTTCCCGCTTGGAATGTGCGACTTGGGGCGCTTAAACCGTTGCAATGACCAAAAGCCACATGCACACTCGAATCAACCAAGCAAGTCGTCGGCCGAATTGGCCAACTTGTACCGACGAGACCTTCCAATGGTTCCAAGCTCTGCCCTTGGTCAATCAAATCCCTCGAAAGTACGTGTAATCTGGCTCGACACTGAATTCGCCTGATATATTGCAGACAGGCCGACAACCCAGTGCTCATAGTGACGTCATCAGCTCAAGTACACGTGTCATTGCCACTCTGTTCGCAGAACAACACCACCCTTTTGACCATGATGGTGGGAAGTTCCCGCCTCAGCATGGCGATGCAGATGGACCAACTGTATCGTCTTCCCCACTGTGGTCGGCTAATCGTCGGCCGCAGAAGTTGGATGATGGAGGTGGATGTCCATGGTCTTGTGGAGCCCTTTCGTGTTTGCGTTGCTTTCGCCCGAGCAAAAACAGTACTGACGTATATTCTAGCGGGGCTACACGATCCATTGGACCACAAGGCCATCGATTTGGTCGCCACAAAGAGCGTCACCCACTCCGGTTTATTGATTCTGCGCATGGGGGTGGAGTGGCTGGTGGTCGCGGGTACTCCCAATCCCTTCGTACGGTGGACCCTTCCAACCCGACAGCGTTGGACCAGAAGCACCTTTTTCCAGCAGTATTGTCGCGCGGTGGATACAACCGACCAGCCAACTGGTCATGCTGGACGTGGTTGCTTGGTTGTTGTTCGTCGGATGCCTCCAGCAATGACAGTTCTAAGAATGAAGGAGCACCATTTTTGAGCCACGGTGTGCACTCTCGTCACGAAGACTCGACGTACGACACAAGAGGCTTGTCAAAGGAAATGCCGGCCGCACAAGGCGCAATTGACTCTTCGAAGCTGGGCTCGAGTACTAGCCCCCTCGAGGGCACGTGGACGAACGACCACCACCGCTTGGGCAGCCACGTCGTCGGTGCTGCCCAGATTCAGCGCAGTGGCTCGAATGAAACGCCATCGTGGGTCGTTCGACATGACATCAAAGGAAGTCGAAGCGACGCTACCACCGCACAAAGCGATCCATCCCGAGCTTTCGCCGCCAACATGTCATATCAATCTGGCAATGCAATGGAAAGTGCACATGATCCATCAAGGTCCGACCAAAACGTTGGCTCAATTGCAAGCGGTACATCCACAAACGTTTATACAGACAGCACCTTGCATTATCAACTGAACAGCCCAAGTGCCACGAGCTGCGTGATTGACATGTCGTCACCAACGGGGGGCATCGGGGGAGTGCTTTCTCACCAGGTCAGTCAAGATAACCAGAGGTACGGGAGCACTATCCAATCGCACACACGAAAAACCACGACGCAACTCCCGTTGTCGACCTACCGTGGACACTTGAGCGATTACAAAGTTGATTTATCCACACAGCCATCCCCCGACGCGGACTCGTCCCCCAAGGAAACCTCGCGCCTACTACGCCCCCACGACGCTGATTTGGAAGGTTCCTGTGACAAAGCGACTACTCTTATCGACCCCGCCGCCCTCACCCCCTCTCGAAACGACTTGACGGTCGCGGCGGTCCATGATATTCTAGACACTCTGATTCCAGACATGGAGCTGTGCATCACCACGCAAGGCTGCTTGGCCATCTGGCGCGAAGCCCGGGTGTTTCTGTGTATGTTTCCGTGCGTGTGCTTTCGGTTTGTCGTGGTCCAGCTCATATTGGACACGGAACTCATCTTCGTGGGCCACTTGGGGGTCCCTCAATTGGCCGGCGTGGGGCTAGTTCGCTTTTGGGTGGCCATTCCGTTTGGGTTTCTCTACTGCAGCATGCGAGCCGTGTATGTGCTTGGCTCCATGACGCGCGGCAACCGTCCATCTGCTGCCGGCCACTGGCTTCAAACTGCCCTCGGGTTTGCACTGGTTGGAACGTTGGCCGTGAGTTACTACTACGTTCACGTCGCCGACTTAGCGCATCTAGCTGCGTTGGATGACGTGGCGATTTCGTACGCCCGTGAGTTTGCCCCGATCGTTCTGCTCGGTCTGTTTCCAAGTCTGGCCATGGCTGCCATTGACAACTTTATGCGTATCCAGGACATTGCGCTTCCCGCCCTCGTCTGCGCCACCGTGGCCTGTGTCCTCAACATATACCTGCACTTTGTGTTCATCTACGGTGCGTTTGGCTGGTCTGGCTGGGGGTTTGTCGGGTCACCATGGGCAACTGTGACCAGTCTCGTGACCCAAGTCGCCCTGTACGTGGCATACACTGTGTTGTGGAAACGATATCACGTTCCGTATTGGTCAGGATGGGCGTGGAACAGCCACCGACTCCATCGTTATCGATTGTTTTGGCGGGTGTCCGTTCCGCTCGGGGGCATGGTTGTGGTGTTTAGTATTGCATGTCTGATCGTTGGCACCATAGCCAGCTACAGTCCGTCGCCTTTTACTGCTCCGCATCGACAATTGGACGACGGCGGCGCTGGCTCTGAACGTGTGGGTGCGTGGGTTATTTCGTTTTGCCTGTTCTTGCTTGTTCTGGCAGTGCTGTTGGGGGTGGCGGAGGCCACCAAAGTCCGCATGCTCGTGTACCTGACCCATGGCTGGCCAAAACTCGCTCGTCAGGTGCTGTATGTGGGTTTGGCCTATAGCGCCTTGTTTGCGCTTGTGTTTGCATCCGCGTTGTTCATGTACAAGAGCGTAGTGTTTCGCATTTGGACCAACGACGCTGGCATTCTGGAGCAGTGTGTGGACGTTGTCAGGTGGATCATGTTGTGCCTCGTGCTTGCCAGTGTGCGCGTGGTGCTTGCAAGTGGACTGATTGTGCTGAAGAAACGCCCGATGGTGCTGCTGGCTCAGTGTATCGACGTGTGGTGTGTGCAAGTGCCGGGCAGCTTTGTGCTGCCTCTGCTGTTGCAATTCCAACACTTGAGCGGGTTCTGGATCGCTGTGGCCATGGGCGAGTGCGTGCATGTGTTGCTGCTTGTGTATGCCTTGTGTCAGGTCAATGGTGATGACGATCAAGCGCTGGTGAAGTCGGTCCAAGCCGCCGTCACCTTGGTCAATCAAACGTCATCACCCTTCAAAGCCAAACACAACGAACGTGAGAACGCAGACAACGACATCGATCTGGGTGACCTCACAAAACCATTGACGTTGTCGCACGTCGTGACAGACAACGCGCTCTGTGATGCGCCGCCCACGGTACAATTTGTGGTCACTGCAGATGTGGCTATCGACGTGCTGACAGGCTCGTTGTCCGACCACAATCACACGTCAGTATGCGGTGCAGATGCGCCACAATTACACGTTGAGACGCGGTCGACGAACGAGTGTACTTTGTCGCACGAACTTGCGACAGCGTTCCACGAAGATGGCTCGTCCGACGACTCAAATGCACTCAAGGCGGGCGTTTCAAGTGTTCATTCAGGCCACACCAAGGCGGGGTCAACTGACGGGGACACGGGCATCACCGACACTGAGAGGGACAAACATTCCTCGTTGTTGCACATCCCCGTTTCAACGTCACTCCGGGGCGTTGGTACGGACAACCCATCGACTCTTGCGACGGTCGCGCTCGACGGAAGTCCCTTCCCACAAGTGAAACATGCGAGATCCAGTGCGGTGCCACCACGCATTTACTCAACGGCAGCACATGCCGTGGAATGTGAAGCGCACAGCCTTGGTGAGGCCGCTCCTGCGCTGTTCGCACCGCCGAAGATCGTGGCGCAGAAATCGCTCCCCCCTCGATCCGAGACCATTGAGCTCCCACCCACGGAGAATGAAGTCGCTGCCAAGAGCTCATCGCCTTCCCATCTGAACAATGCAAACGTCGACGACGCATGTGCGCCTCCAAGACTTCACCTGCGAGATATTTCAACCCCAGAAATCCCCCCAGAGTTGTCAACCCTTCCCAGGAATGCCAATGACCTAGCCCCCCCAAAGTGCCTATATCGAACATTGACGCCACTGAAAAACCCTACGAAATTGGGTGATCTTGTGCTTGAAAGCAACCGACAGATCAAAACTCATTTGCCCGATGCAGTTTGCACTTTATTTCGGCCACAAGACCAAGCCGCTGCATCTGCCACTTTCAATTCGTCAATAGTCGACGATGATGATGTTAGATCTGCCGTGCCGTTGGTTGAGGTACATGTTGCGGGTGCGCAGAAGCTGGTACCTGAGGACATCAACGTCCTCGAACAGATTGAAGTCAAATTGCCCCTCGATAACCACTCGTCCACGGACGTGATACTGCTCAAGCCCATCCGCAGTGTTCAGGCAGAAGTCGCCCTTCTCAACGAAACCACATCCCCGCAACCCCCTTCGGATGCAGGGAGCGACTCATCCAACGACGGCACGACGGGTCAAGTGTCTGAGAGCGAGTCTGGGGCGTCGTCGACAAGCCAGAGGCGGAGGCCCAAGGCCGCGGTGCCCCCCAGTGTTAAAATTGAAACCCTCGGTGGCGTCGACATTTCGACCCTCCACTTTGGCAAGCGCTCCAAAAAACGCCGAACGCGGGAAGCAAAACAGTCCAAGCGCGTGAGCTTTTCGCCCTCTCCACGGCAGCGTCGTCCGTCGGCGTACGGAATTCAGCCCAGTTTAGATTAGGAATCATATGTTAATGTTAAAAATCGGTGGACAGAGTTGATTAGCATCAACCAGTCGTTGGTTTGGGTCGGGCTCCTTTCACCTTGATTAGATATTGCAGCGCTTCAGTCCACTCGACGCACTTGGCTTTGTTTCGGTCGACGTTGTCTCCTTCGTCCACCTAGAAACGACATCAGCATGAAGGCTTCAGGTCGAAAAGACGGAATGTTCAACAAACCTCGAGGTCCAGCGACCGCTTGGCGTCATCGTAAAGCAGCGAAAAGCAGTACGAAGCGCGCGTAGGGTCCCCCCTTCGTTGAAATACCTGTTGATGGCTGAGAAAACTACGACAAGTCGAATAAAATGCATACCTTTGTCTTCTGGCCAGACAAAAACGAGTGCAAGGTCGACGTGGGGATTTGAATCGGTTGGGTGGGGCTTCCCCCCACAGATCGATAGTTCAAGTATTGCAAGTCGGGTGAACACCACACAAAGCGTGGATGGGGATTGCCTTGGCGGCCGTGTTTGATGAAGAGGCTTCCTTGTTTAAGTAATTCCATGCGCCGCTTGATGGCGTCGGACCCGCGGGTGCTGCTTACAGTTGAAGTCGTGATGGGGGGTTCGAGAGGGAGCTTTGAGGGTAGTAGGGGAGGGGCGTTGGGAAGTTGCTGCAGTGGACGGGCGACGGCTTCCAGACGTTGTAGTGGCTGGGGCTGCTTGGAAATGGGTGGTGGTGGTGGTGCCGCCACTCCTGCGACTGGATGGACTTTGGTCGACTCTTTCTGAGGAGTGCCATCTGCCCGCGATTGAATTTGGGTCGTGAGGGAGGCAATAGTGCGCTTGAGGGCGTCTGCGTCGGCTCGTTGAGCAACCAGCCTCGACTCCATGTCTACGATTCGCAGGGTTTGACTATTCAAAGCATCCTGTACTTCCGCCGTCGTGTTGGACGCAAACACGAGGCTCTCCTTGACTGCTCGCAAGCAGTACATTGCATGTGCCAACCCTAGCTCTTGTATTTCAAGCATGACGTTCGCTTGTGCTGGTGAGTCCCACTCGGCCACGAGGAATCGCTCCACCAACTCATCGCACTCTGTCCTGTCGAATCCTACCGTAACCAAGAGTTATGGACCGTGTTGTTCATCATTAGTTGTGGTGAGTACCTTGTAGGTCCATCACCACGGAGGAGTTTACTTGCGCTGCCGTCAACTTGGTGTTGGCGTTCATTTGGTCCCTCAACGCAGCTTGGGTTAAGCGGAGATCGCCGTCCAGTCGGTCGTTTTCAGCTTTCAGCAATGCCACCATCGCATGCACGTCAATGTGTTCGTTAACGTGGACGTCCACAGAAACCTATTGCCAATTCATCGTTGAAATCCTCCTTCAAGGAGAAGACCCTAAACCTCGCTGCATCGTTGCATGAATCGACATGTCGAGATCGACTCGTCGACGAATTCGGTTTCGGGGTTTAGCGTGCCAATGAAAACGGATTTGGAGTTGCCGCCGAGACTGCCACGCAGCACGGACGTGAGCATCGAGTTGCGATAAGGCACGTGGTGGTGGTTGGGCAGTTTGCCGCCGGTGGACTTTGCCCCTTTCTTGGGCGGGGGTTTTGTTTGCAGGGCCAGGATGACCTAGGATTCGAGGATCGTCTAGGGAATGATATATGTATGTATGTAGATTCAGGGGGCGTACTTGTTCGAGATGATGAAGCGACAGGTTGATGAAACGGCCTTCGGTTCGCATGCGCTCGGAACCGTCTCGCTTGTACACACGTTCGGACCCCGCCAAGTCGACCACGTGCAGTTTCGAGTGCAATACCACCTGGCAACCAGTATAAAAGTAAACCAAACGCGACCGCCTTGGAAGTATGTAGGACGTACCTCTGAGTTGATGCGGTGGCCTTCGATCAGCACGGTGAAAATCGAATGCGATCGCGACGATGCCTTGCAATCGCATGGTTACACGGGGACAAAAGTAAGGTCAGTCCACACCATGTTCATGGGCGTGTCGCTCGTCACGCGATGGACATTGCCAAGGAACAGCAAGTTTAGCGCTTCTTCTTCGGATTTCGCTTCGTATACTCTAACAAGTACTAGTTAGTTACAACGAACCATGCCCACCCCAGTCAACAACCAACACCAAAGTGTACCCCAAGTTTCGGAAATGGGCATTGTCGTCGTCGTCGTCGGACAATTGCACCTGGATACGCGTCCACTCCTCCACGGGCTTGTTCATGTGCGCTCGGTCCAACAGGTCGTACACGTTTTCATTGTAAATCTCGAGGTACGAAATGAAACACTTGTATGACTACGGAGTTCATCGTACAGTGCCAGGGACACCTCTAAAGGAACTGCTAGTACCATGTCGTGTGAGCGCGATTCAAACGTTTCAAACAGCGTCGAGATGACTCGAGGTACCATCCCCCGCTCTTGGTAGCTCTCGCCTACGCCAGTCGTTCGAAGGTTGGTTGTAGGTACTAGTACTGACCTCCCGTGATGGTAAATGTCTTGCCGCTGCCTGTTTGGCCATACGCCAAGATCGTGCCATTGTAGCCGTCGATGGCCCCGGTGACAATGTCCTAGTTTGTACATGCGGTGTGGAAAGTAAAATCGCGTAGAATTGGTGACGAGACTTTACCAAGCACGCTTCGTTGAAGATTGTGTCTTGGGAAGTAGGGTGCTCAAACACTTGTGTGTATTTGAACTCGAGCTCGTCCCGTTGTTTGAGGTTGCTTCGAGTGTCGGGGGCAGCGGGGTACGGAAATGTGATGGTGTTGACCACGCCATCTTTGCCTACGACGCAGCAGCGCACGTTGACTCTATGACGTTACAAAGCAGCACTTACGTGGAGTTGTAGTGTACGCCTTGGTGGACCCCTTGTGCAGGGGGCGAATGCGGGCGTACGTTCCGATTTTCCACGTGTCCCCCATGTTGCCGCAACCGGTTTCGGGGCAAACTTGGCCAGACGTTGGCAGTTACGTCGGCAGTTTCAACATGTTCAAACGCAAGAAATCCGCGCCTGTGGCCGGGGTGGCAGTCGATCCAGTGGCGGCGGCGTTGGGTGACCCCAAGGCCGTCGCCACCAAATTCCCACAGTGTGCGTGGTTTTTTTCCGCCTCGTGGGCGTGTACTGACATGTCGACATTTCCAGACACTGTCAAGGATATCAAGGCCATGCAAGCGCAATTCGCCACGTGGATAGACCAAGCCAACGGCAGCAACAAAAGCAACGTGACGACGACTGAAGCGCCGTCCGATGTCGTGGTGAAGCAGCCAGAGGTGGTGTTGTGTGGTTTGTTTGCGCTGGCTATTTACGCCAGGTCGGGAAACACGGTTCCATTTCACGAGTATGTCGAAGTGCTCACATTGTTTCATCCTAAGACATCCTTCCTCGACAAGCAAAAAGGTACGACCAATCAGTCGATGATGTCTCACATGAGCATGTAGCCATGTTTCAGCTGTATGATGTCGACCGCGACGGAGTCGTGTCCCCCGACGATGCCCACCACGTCTTGACTCGGTACTTGGATTTCAACGTGGACGTCGTCGAGACTATTGCGACCTCCATGCGACCGTTCATGAAAACGTCGGCAGTTGGTTTGACCCCCGTGGAATTCAATCAAGTACACGACCAGTTGACATCACGGATGGGGCTGGGCGCTAATAAGCAAGCAATCGGTAGATGGTGACAGACAGCGAAGTGCTCTCAGCCATGACTATTCTGTGACTGTTTTACAGTTATTCGCCGAACCACAACATTGGCGTGGTGAGTTGAGCGAGATTCGTCAGACTTCCATATAAAGAGATGAAAAATACACTGGCGCATGAGCTTTTTCAAATGGACCAGCATAAATTGTTCAATAGTCAGCAGTAGTAATAAAGTTAACATCGAGTGCATATCCAAGACCACTCCTGGCTGAAGCTGCCAAGTCGTACGCGTTCCAGGTGCATTCGTTGGCGTCGTACTGGTAGAGTTCCCGCGACACTGGAGAAAGTGCAGCAACATCTTCAACATCAAATGCGATTGGTTCGTCAAGCTGCACTTTGTTGCGTTTACCTGATTGGTCAAATTCCAGGTGCTACTACTAGTAGTACTAATAACCCACTGCATGCATTCGAGAATGCACATCTTGACGTGGAACATCAATGGATTGCGCGCCATCTTGACCAAGGCCAAACAGTCCGTCGATGAGTTCCTCGATACATGCGACGCCGACATCGTTTGCTTGCAGGAAACCAAACTCACTCGCTCCGAAATGACCGAAGCCCTAGCGTGTCCGACGTCGTTCGACGCGTTCTTCTCGTTCTCCCGCTTCAAGAAGGGCTACTCGGGCGTCGTCACGTTCGTGCGGTCGTCTGCCGTGCAAACTTTGGACGCCGACACCACCTCGTGCGTGTTTCAAGAAGGCCGTGTGGTCTTGACGGTGCATCCCCAGTGCCTCGTGGTCAACGCGTACTGCCCCACGACTGCAGGCAACATGGAACGCAAGATGCAGTTCCTAGACTCGCTCTTGCTCCAACTGGATCGGTGGCGCACAAGTCATCCCGATAAACCGTTGATCTTCGTGGGGGATTTCAACGTGATCCATCAATCCATCGACCACTCTGCCGACCACATCCCCACCGAAGCCACGACGTGGCTCGATGCCCTGGTAGCCAAAGCAGGCGATGATTCAAAACAGCAGTACCAACTCGTCGATGCGTTCCGCCATTTTCACCCTGACGACGACACAGCATACACGTGTTGGAGCCAGTTGACTGGAGGTCGCGAAACCAACTATGGGGTCCGATTGGATTACATTCTACTAGACAAGCGGCTGCTCTCGTTGGCAATCGACTGCTGGCTTTGGGCAGATAAAGTTGGCTCCGACCACTGTCCAGTTGTGCTTGATATCGACACTTCCAACTCGACTGGCGCCCCCACGACCGCCCCTGCGTGCGCCAAGTTCTTTCCGGAATTCGCAGGCACGCAACAGTCTTTGCGTGGCTTCTTGTCGCGCCAACCCTCGTCGCACATTGACGTGTCCTCCCCCCAACCTCCACCTGCGCGACCACCCCCAGCCCTGCGGCAGCCTTCCATTGCCTCCTTTTTCTGTACCCCCAAACACCCCCCCACTCGCAAGGTCGACCGCCCCAACGACCTGGCCGCCCAGGACGACAATATTATGCTGCCGTTATCGTCGCCAGGCACACTCAATGCGTCCAACTCCAGTGCCGTGTTGGGCAGGGAATCCATTACCCACCTGGACGAGTACCAGTCGGTGGCTGCGTCGTGGAAGTCGTTATTGCCAGGGAAAGCGCCGCCGCCGCCCCTCTGCTCGGGCCACAAACTCCCGTGCGTGTTGCGCACAGTGCTCAAACACAACGACAACTGGGGGCGCAAGTTTTATTTATGCTGCAGACCCGAAGGCGCGACGGGGGACCCCACCGGCCGCTGCGACTTCTTCCAGTGGGTGGTGCCGCCGTCGAAAAAGCGAAAAGCAGTCGACTAATTGCCAGTCATAGACTAAGTAGAATCACTGCAGCAATACAGTACCGGTAGTATGCGACCTTATCCTCGCCCCTTCACAGATCGACATACCTGATATACACTAGTTTCACATCCTGACAAGTGTAAAGTACTAAAAATATCATAATGTGGAGGTTGAATACACGCACTGACTGTACAGGTTAATCAACCACTGGTACCAAGATGTCGACACTTGCTTGTAATTTACGACATGTTTTATTATTTATTACTAGTTACGTTGTTTTACCAAACACAGCGCTGTCAAACCATGGATGCGTGAGCGCTTGCTCGACCGTGAACCGCTTAGTGGGATCTCGTTCCAGCAGGTGCGCCACCAAGTCGGCTGCTTCAGCGCTAAACTTTTTCCATATCCGCGGGGTAAACTCGGCGGGTTCGTCCACGCAAATGCTGGGGGGGTAGAATGGCTGGTACCCCGTGAGCATTTCGTACAGAATGATGCCGACGCTCCACAAGTCGACGGGCTTGCCGTACGGCTGCGACTGAAACAGCTCGGGTGCCATGTACCCCACCGACCCCGTGAGTCCGTTGAACGGGACTTTATGCACATCCCCCGTATGTTTGAAGAAGCGAACGTCTGGCACCTTGACGCTCAGGCCAAAGTCGCACAGCTCGACCTTGAGGTCCCACGCTTTGACGTCGGGATTGTTGGAGGTAGCGGCGGACGACCCGCCAGTATGGGGGCCAGCGGCGTCGGTGAGCAGTACGTTTTCGGGCTTGATGTCGCAGTGGACGACCCCCGACTCGTGCATAAAGAAGATTCCGCGCACGATCTGGTGGGCGAGCTTGGCTGCCAGCGCCTCGGGGAACCGGCGCTCCTTCATGAGCAGTTGCTTGAGCGTACCGTGGCGAGCCTTTTCCATGACCAAGTACAAAAACGATTCCGTCTCGTACACTTCGAGCAGCCGCACAATGTTGCGGTGCTGTAGCCGGAGGTGGATTTCCACTTCGGTTTTCACCGCGGCCTTGGCCTGGTCCGTCAAGAGGTACCGCTTGTGGACCTGCTTGATTGCGACCTGGGTGCCGTTGCTGCGGCGGATCGCGGGCTTGACCACCGCGTACGCGCCGTCTCCAAGCTGGTCCTCGCCGCACAGTTCATAGTGCTCCGTGACTGCCAGTTCATGGATGAAGAATGGATTGATAAAGTAAGTCTCGGCCGGGCACGGCTTGGTGCTTCCTCCTTTGGGAGACTTTTCCAGCATGACAGTCTGCGGCAGCCGCGGGATGCTGCGGTTGATGCTCATGAGACGGAGCTTGTTCTGTTCGTCCACGAGGCGGCGGGCAACGAACGGGTTGGACGGTACCTTGGGCGCCCCTTGCTCGTACTCGTCGCAGTCATCGGTCGCGGCGGATGGTTGCAGCTGGTCGAAGGGGCCACTAGACTGGTGGCGAAACGAAGGAGCACCGGCTGATGACGGGGACGGAGGCGTATCCACTGTGCGGAAGCCGCACTTGCGGTAGATCCCCTTGCCTGTCGACACGTACCCGTCCACGAGGTCCGCCGTGTCGTTGGCGACCTTCTTCACAACCAGCGGGGTGAGGATGTCAAGGGAGGACGGAGTGGCGTCGCTCTCAGAGTAGTGGCGGTACATGTGGTGGTGGCGGGTGTAGTCTTCTTGATCCGACTGATCATGTTCGTCCAGCAGCATAATGCTATCGTCGTCGTCCTCGTCGTGGCTGCTGTTGTTGTTGTTGGTCAAAGTACTCGACAACCGCCCGTTCTCGGAGGTGCCGCATGATGATACTGATGACGATCGAGGTCGCTCGAGTGACGACATGGACACGTCCGTGGCCAACGTCGATGACCGCTTGGACGACGGAGATAGCGCAGACACGCGGGCATCGGCGTACGGGTAGACGACATGGCGAGGCTTGAACGACACGTCCGAGTCGCTGAAGCATCGGATGCGGGTGCTGGATGAGGCCGACTTGCGACGGGATTCGTACGGATGCATGTTGTCGTGGGTGGACCGGTGTGGGAATTTCTCTGTCACTTTCTGACCTCGGCGGCGGCGGAAGCTTCGTGCCAAGTTGAGGGGTAGGGACATTGGAGCGGACGCATCATGACTGGCGGCGATGGAACAATCGACGGTGTCGTCCATGTCCACGGCAACAAACTCCTTGTTCGCGTCGTCTTGGTTGTTTTCGGACGAGCATATCGAGTCGGAATCTCCAACGGCCGTGTCCAACGTCGGGTCGCTCTGTCGCAACTGCTTGAGGCCATGGAGGGGATCGTAGTACCCCGGCAACGCATGGAAGGTGCCAGTGAGCGGGTTGTTTCGAAACTTCTTGCGTTCTTCGAGTTCCGCGACACCCACGATGTCGTGCGCAAAGTACGCGGCGCCGCGGTTGCCTGCACTAGGTGCATGATGGAATGTGCCGACAAACGGGTTGTAGCTCGGAAGGCGCGCAAAGATCTTGACTGCTTCTGCCTCACCCATGGTCTTGTGATGTCTAACGATCGACGGGATTCCCTACTGCCGCGGCTTTGTGACGCCTAGCGGTAGGTGGTGTCGCTTCTTTACAGGGAATCGGACACTGCCTATCCGCGGTGAATGTGCAAATTTTGACGCAATTATAAGAAGCCCTGCAAAATAATTCTACCAAACCAATTTAATTACAGCCCACACACACCCAATTTTTTTGTTCTGTCCAGTAACGTACACGAATTTGTAACAAGTGTTTTCACTTCGAACTTCGGAGTAACCAACTCCACACGCAACTTGCTCTGCCTCCGCCCGCCCTTCGTGGGGCGGGTCGAAGGAAGGTTGCGCCAGCCATGTGCACTGCTAGGATCAAGATACATCAATGTTGGTTGTGTGTTGCTTGGGCTTAGTCACTTGAAATGGCGTCGACTGAATGCCAGTAGTAGTACAGTACAACAGTACTTGAGGTTAGAATACTCAGAATACCGCACAGAAGTAGCTTCGACTTTGCTTGGATTTTCCTCGAAGTTAGTCGCAACTTGCCAATCCAGTCCTCAGCGCAACATTCGAGGGACAGACTGTGGGGAGGTAGGTATGTACATGCAACACGGGCAAGAGATCACGTTGGACGAGACTGGAGATGGTCGGCGACGTGACTTTAAACTAGGTTACTGCTAATTTCGTCAGCTGTGGCCGGCAAGATTCTTGTCGTCATCAAGAACTGAAGTTCGAAGGTCAAAGTGCAGTTGCAACGGTTGGAAGTTCCAACAATTTCAACCGTTTGAAGTGTGTAGTTTTCCATGCGTTCGTTCAGGCAAAGCCTCGCACGCACGACCATGAGCATCTGGTTGGTGTGCCTGCCGTCGGATTTACTAGTACCAGGCTACACTATCAACATACAGTCGTCCCCATCAAGGACGATCCATCTTCCCTATTGAAAGCGAAGTTAGCGATCGAAGTTGGTCCTGAAACCTGTGACGTGGCACACGGGGCAGTAATGTGGCGAGCGGACATGAAGGACATTCCATTGCTGAATCTGCAGCTCCAAGGGGATGTCGTCTATGCGTGCCTCCTCCATACGTATCTCATTCCAGCGTGTGTACTCTGGGACGAGTAGAAAGTGTGCAACAAGTGCAAAGTCCTCTCGAACGTGCACTCCTGATGAATATCTTCGTTGGACACGTCGACATTACTGGTCAGACACGAGTTAAAGCCAGTCATTGGTCAAGCATAATTATACCAATCTCGCTTGAGCAAGCGAACATTTCCAAGCAGACGCGGGCGATGGCGGGATCGCCATTGGTGGCTCGTCAACGACTTCGCTGGAGTAATTGGGAGTGATATCGCTCTAGTGCAACATCGATAAAACGGCAGTTTGGAATCTAGCCAATCACAATCGTTACAATCTGCGACCAAACCACGTGATTGGAAGTTCAAGGTCAAGGCCAACTTCAACTTGCGCTTCAAAACCGACCTGGTTGAATTCACATGGACCTTGCTTGTCCTGGAGGGCTCGTGTATGCGCAACAACGATGCTGTTACCGCGTTGGCGCATGTGAGCTTGGTGTCAAACTGGCAGGATGTGGGTGGAGGAGGTCAGGTTTAGGCAATTTACAGAGCATGCAGGAGAGTCGAAGCTGGAGGCAAACTTCGAGCTGGGCCAAAAATAGATCTCGAAAATAAACAAACACCAAAATAAAATTGTTACTTGGCCACCAAATATTTTGAAGGGGTGAAGTTCGTTCGGCCACCTTCGATTGAATGTTTATATAGGTACAAAGGCACACGGACGTTGGCTACTGCAATACATGTACAGTGGACGTCTCTTTGCAGCTAAGTACTACTAGTATTAATAGTAGTACTATTAATATTAATAGTATCGTATGTACAGCGTGGTGACATTCAAATTCGAGAGTCAAATCGTTAGCAACCTGAATGTATAGCCTCGCGAATGTGCGTATCGAGGTCTTGTCGTTTTTGCACCATTTCGTCCAAGGTGTGGGAAAAGGTGTGCATTATACCATGCAGGGTTGAGCAGCATCACAAAATTTGCGACCGCGGTGATCCAAGGGCATCGGGATCGAGTCTAAGTCTTATTGATACAGTATTAATAGTAACGTTACTATAATACTATTAATACCAGTGTACTGCAAATTGAATCAGTTGTAAACTATTTATATTAATAGTAGTACTAAACTTGGAGCTGCTAGTACTACTGAAACGAGATAACAATGATACCTGTCAACCTCTCAAATTCGAACTCCTGCAATGCCTCCGCAGGCGGCACCAAACCAGCACCTTCATGGGCAAGGAAAGCCGAGCAGCCAGCAATACCCAACTTTATGGGTGCCAATCATTGGCCTCACCACCATTCTCGTTACGATAACTAGTGCATGCATGTGGCACTTTACTTGTCCTGCCAACCTCCCCGTGCTATCCCATGCGGCCGAGTATTCGCCAGAGTACTACATCGTTGCTATTGGCATGAACTGGACGGGGTATTGCATGTATACGTCCACCGCTCGTTTCTCCGCCCTCCTTCGTCGACGCTTGACGAGGTTCCGTGGAGGGTTACCGACTCTGTACGACGTTGTGTCCGTTGCCACCACCGTCGCCTTGTGCATTCTCTCCATTTTCGACTCGATTCGATTTACCGAAATTCATACCGTCGCAACCACAGTGTTCTTCCTATCCGCTTGGTTGAAGATAACGCTGGCCCATGTCGGTCGACATCACCTTTCAAAGGAACCTCCAGCGTCGTCTATGTATGGCTTAGTTGGCCGCATGTTGTTGTATCTCCTCGCGCTCATACGTCAGCATTGCGTAGAGATATCTTTACCCGCGGCAGTGGTGCGTGGTGCATTGGAGTTGGCCTTGCGTCTTCACTGACATGTACGTGAAATCAACCCGTTGAAAACGGTCCTCATACGCCTAATGTAGTTGGCTACGTCTACTTGGCTCGGCGGCAGGACCCGCTGGCGTTTAGCGTCGCCTTGGAGTCGTCGAGCGAACTGCTGGCCATTGTGTGTCAACTGTTGTACATGGGAACGCTTCCCACGGACCACCCCGACTTTAAGTTGCAAAGCGAACTGTAACTGACTAACTTTGAAATACACCTCTTGGGGGCTATATTTAACTCTCGTGGGTACATCATGCAAGCCTGTCCATACCCTGGTGACAGTCGTCGCATGGACACGGTGGATCTGCCTAATCACATTCAAATGCGCGTGGTCGCGTCCGACAGCTCGTCCAGTGACGACTCCGAAGACGACGATAGTAGTAGTGACGAAGGTGACAACTCGCACCCAACGCCATCCGATTCGCTCGGGTTTGTCCCGATCGTGCTCGGGGTCGTGGCCAGTTTGACGTGTGTGGGCACCGTCTCCTGGGGCTGTGTGCATCCTCGCATCGATTGCCGAGTGAGCTGGCCGACCCTGTCCGACGCCGCCCGGTTTCGACCCCAGCAGACACTTTTCGCGGTGGGGGTGTTGCTCACCTCGCTCTTGTGGGTCACGACCGTCTTGCTCTTGCACTGGCACTCGCGACTCCAGCCAGACACGTCTCGCAACCGCGTGCTTTCCAGTGCAATTCTACTCTGTGGCTTGGCGTCATCCATGTGCCTCCTAGCATTGGGCTTTACGGACACACGAGCTCACTACGCCGACCACAGAAGTGCTACGGTGGGATTCTTCCTTACAATATGGGCCACTGCAGGCTGTATCTGCGCCTTGCGGCGGCGCCGCTTGACCCCTCCTCCAAGGTCAAGCCAATGGTCTCACCTCGTACTGAATAATTTTCTAAAGAGTTTTGTAGGTCCATCACGAGGGTGGCTGAGGGTGCAACGGCCACAGGGATACTCTGCCTTGCATTTCGTACGCGCTGACTTTGAGTTGATCCTGCGGCTGACACGTGTGTAGATTCGTTGGCAAGTCTGTGCGTCAACAAGGTCTGGCCAAACTCATTCAGCGTATCCCTGTCGCAGATGGCCTTGTCCGAGTATGCAGTTGTGGCATCGCTGGTGGTTTTTGTAGCCACGCTGCAGCACGAGTTAGCTCTGCTCACGCCGCTGGTAGAAGCCAAGTACTTTGTCCTGTTGCGACGGGCCAAAGGCAAATAAATGAACCCAGACATGCTATTAGCTTGTTTAGGCTTGTTCATTGAGGTAGTCAACAAAATGGGTGCCTATTTCGTGGATTGCTGGCGGATGTAGCTGGGATATCTTGATGAATTGGCGACGATGGCGCCGAAGTTCCGATGCTGACATGGGCCGTCCAATGCAAACGTACAGACACACGTGGTTAAGGAGTCAGGTTTGTCCATGAAAATGGCCAACATATTTGGTCAAAAGGATATCTTTGTGGTAGCTTGGGGCACTTGGTATGCATCCACAAGGTCAAAGTCCCGCTGTCGACCGATCAAGTCGTCCACGATAGCGTTGGTAATCGCGTCTAGTTGTTGCAGAAACGACGTCTCCACGACCGGTTTCTACAGTGTCACATGGAATCGACGGTGGAATCGATAACCGTACCGCTTGCGTGGCCCAGCCAGCTTTGGTGACTTTGCCGTGCAAAATGACTTGTTCAATGTGTTGCAATACTAAAGACACGTTCGTGTCGTCCACGTCAGGCAACACTCGAATCAGGGGCGAATCCCAACGATTCTTTTCCAAGGGCTCTTCAAATCGTCGGGCTATGGCGTCCACCCTGCAACATGTCTAAACCCACATACGCAATGAAGGTATACGAACATGATGTCGGGGAATTTGTCGCCATCCCGGTCTTGATTGCGCTGCTGCGAGATGGCCACAGGGGTATCCACATATACGACGCAATGCGTGGTGGAGTTTTCCTTTGCCATGCAAAAGAGTTCGTATCGGCAGCCCTTGATGTAGTTGAGAGAGTCCAAGATCACCACACAAGATGCGTTTAAATGGTGGTCCACGCGGCTTTTCAATGAACCCCGCGTCAATTTCTCCGCCCGGGAGTCTATCGCAGGGTGGGACGACTCAGTGGTCATGTGCAAGATCGACACACACCTAGATACGCCACACTTCGCTCTAGTCGCTCGCTCTCATCATTCACCAGCACCACTTCCTTCCCAAGAGATTCGAAGTGCTCCCTTAATCGACTTGCGAGCCATGACTTCCCCGCGCCAGGGATGCCGCAGAATGTGACCAGCGGCATGATGGGAATTTCACTGCCAATTCAAAGCACAATGTCGCGATTCCATTGGTGGAGGAGATCGACCGGATAAGTGTCGATCATTCGGATAACGGTGACGTTTGGGGGAACACTCAAGTTCTTAGATCCACCGCGAGCGACGCCAAGCAGCGTCATGTTCATCTTCCTTAGCAAGAAGATCGCGATTCCCAACGGAGCCCAGCTATGCTGCTCGTCATGGAACCCGGAGCAAGGATGGATAGCATGTGGAGGGCAGAACGGACTACTCAAAGTCCTCAAACTCGAGTCTGCGCCGACCAAGGACGGAAAGGGACCTCGCGGAATCGCAGCGCAGAGCAACTTGACGATGAATCAATCGTTGGACGGACATGCAGGGTCGGTTGTGTGTGCGACGTGGAATGCCAACTACAAGAAGCTCACCACGAGCGACGAGAACGGGCTCATCATCGTGTGGATGATGCATCGTGGCATGTGGTACGAAGAAATGATCAACAACCGCAACAAGAGTGTCGTGAAGGACATGAAGTGGAGCAGCGATGGACAGAAGATATGCATTGCATACGAAGACGGCGCGGTGATCGTCGGGTCCGTGGACGGGAACCGGCTCTGGGGCAAGGAAATGAAGGTCGAGTTGTGTTTTGTGGAATGGTCTCCCGACGGCAAGCACCTAGTGTTCGTCACGAAGGACGGCGACGTGAGCATCCACGACGGATCTGGCAACAAGCTCAGCAACATGACGTTGTACGCGGTGGACGAGAAGGACAAAAAGTACAAAATCATTGGGCTGCACTGGTACGACGGCTGCGAAGGCCACGTGAGCGAAGACGCGCCGACGCTGGCAATTGCGTTTGCGGACGGAAAGGTGCAGATCACGAGAGGTCGGTACGACGACAGCGCGGTGCTGATTGACACGGGCGTGGAGCTGTCCCAAGTCAAGTGGAACTGCGACGGCACTGTGTTGGCTCTCGCGGGCACGCAAACCAGTCGCGGGGCGTCGGGGGACAGCCGCGAGTTCAACATTGTCCAGTTCTACGATCCGTTTGGGCGATACCTGCGGTCGCTCAAAGTTCCGGGCAGCAAGATCGAAGCATTGGCGTGGGAAGGCACTGGTCTGCGCATCTGCCTCGCGGTAGACTCGCACATTTACTTTGCCAACATTCGGCCCGACTACAAGTGGGGGTACTACAGCTCCACGCTCGTGTACGCGTACAACCGACCCGACCAAGTTGAGAACTGCGTCGTGTTCTGGGATACCCATTCGGACGAGCGGTACATCAAGTACGTCAAGTCGCTTGTGGGCATTAAAGCCGCGGGCGACAACGCCGTGCTCGTGTCCAAGATCGTCAACGAGCCTCAGCAACAATTGGGAAATGACCACGCGCCGCCCGTGCCGCCCAAGCAGTACTCGCTCGTGCTGTGCGACACGATTGGCAGCCCCGTCGAGTCGAAATTGATTGACTTTGAGCCGCTGTTTCTGACCATGACCCCTCGTCACATAATTGCCGCATCCGCCGACGCCATCTACGTCTGGCAGTATCGCACTACAGTGTCCAAGCTCTCGAGCGACAGCAGCAGCAGCACCGTCCCCAGCACCCGCGGCGGCCGCGAGCGCATTTTCTACGTGGACGACTCCCAAGGAAATGACACCGAGTCCTTCCGGTACGTGGAGCGGCAGCTGGACGACCCGATCTGCGCCATCTGCGCGTCCGAGTCGTGGCTGGTCGTCGGGCGCGCCAGTGGCATGGTCCACTGCTTCACTTTGCCCCACATCTCCCTCGAAATGAAGTACATCGTCCCATGTCGGCCGCAGATTCTGTCGTTAAACTCCAACTCGACCCAGATGGCCATCATCGACATCAACGGCGTGCTCACCATCATGGAGTTGGGGCCGTCCTCGGGCAACCAGAACCCCGTCGACGCCAAGATACTGCCGTTTGAAAAGAAAGACGTGTGGGATGTCATGTGGGCAGAAGATAACGCAGAGCTGTTTGTCATGATGGAGAAGGCCCGCATGTACGTGTATCGAGGGCTCGAACCAGAGGAGCCGGTGCTATCGTCGGGGTATTTGTGCTCGTACAAGGACCTGCAAGTGAAAGCGGCGCTCCTCGATGACATCCTCGCCAGCCCGGAGCAAACCGACAAGAGTCTAGTCCTCGACTACGAAACCCGCTCCCTTCGCGACGCCCGCGAGTTGTTGGAGAACGTCAGCCTCTCGGACGCATGCGACTACATCCAAGGTACAATCCAAGCCACCATATATATATATATATATATATATATATATATATAAATCTAAAACCACTGTCAGACCACTCACACCCGCGGTTGTGGCGGCTGCTGGCGGACGCGGCGCTGGAGCAACTGGACTTTGCCATGGCCGAGCGCGGATTCGTCAAGTGTGGCGACTACAATGGCATCCAGTACGTCAAGCGCCTGCAAGTGCTCAACGACCGCATCAAGCAAAAGGCCGAAGTCGCCGCGTACTTTCAACGGTTTGACGACGCCGAAGCACTGTACCGTAAAATTGACCGCAAGGACCTTGCGATCGAGCTCCGCAAACGACTCGGCGACTGGTTCCGCGTGGTGCAGCTCGTGCAATCAGGTATACATACATACATACTCCTGACACTTATTACAATCCCCCCAAAGGATGATTTATTGGTGATACCCCCCCCACACATTTCCTACCGACTATTTGAATGACCCCATTACATGACGACTGTGCAATCCCCCCGTTCTCCTGGTTGTACAATTTCAATGCCTTCAAACAATTGGAACGTACCCCCCCTCATATGCCCCCCGTATACCCCCCCCCCGAACCCCCTACTTGATTCCTTGTTATCATTTGTACGTAATGCTAAACAATCTCAACTGTTTGTGATGTGTAAGGCGGTGGTGACGATACGCTGCTTACCCACGCGTGGAACATGATTGGCGAGTATTATGCGGACCGTCACAAGTGGGAAAAAGCCATCAAGTACTACGCCCAGGCCAGCAACGTGCCGGCGCTCGTGCAATGCTACTACACGCTGGGCGACTTTACGACGCTCGACACGCTCGTGAACGACTTGCCGGAGGGATCGCCGTTGCTCGAAGAGATGGCGCGCAAATTCACCCGCGCGGGGCTGTGCAACAGCGCTGTGAATGCGTTTTTGAAGATGGGCGACATCAAGTCTGCCATCGACAGCTGCGTTCTGCTCAACGAGTGGGAGCGCGCCGTGACGTTGGCGGAAACGCACCACTTTCCCCAAATCGAGACCGTCCTGGCCAAATACGGCACCCATTTGATGCGCAATGGCAAAACCCTACAGGCTATCGAACTGTACCGCCGCGCCAACAAGAGCATGGATGCGGCCAAACTGCTGGGGAAGCTCGCCAAAGAAGTGAGCAAGAACCCCCTGCGCGCCAAGAAGCTCCAGGTACGTCTTCGAGTGCCACCCAGCAGCACTTTTATGATGACTACCCACGAAAACCCTGTGGATACTAGGTACTAGCAGCGTTGGAAGTGGAACGATTCCGCCGTAAGATGCTCGACACGTCCATGATGACGACTAAAGCCGGCGGTACGATGGGGGGTGCCACCACGGCGGCCCAAGTGACGGCGCAAACCCTCGAAAGTTTGGTCGCCCATGATGCTGCGACCAGTGAAAGTCGGTCACTCGACAATGCATGGCGGGGTACGTCCGTGTATTGCCATCTTTCAACGAAAATATTCAGCCCATTCATTCATGCGACAGAGTAGTACCATATATATATATAATCTTGACAAGATGCTGTCTCACTCAGGCGCGGAAGCATTCCACTTGTGTCTGTTGGCCCATCGCCAGTTGTACCGTGGGCAGCCCGAGCGGGCCCTTCGCACGAGTTTGAAACTGGCCAGCTACGACGACATTGTGGACGAGCGCGAAGTGTACTCGCTCATCGCTATCGCGGCCTACTACACCAAGCACTACGAGCAATGCAGTCGCGCGTGCAACCAGCTTGAGACGGTGCTCGTGGACAAGGACAAGGCCGCGCTGGACGCGCTGACTCTGCAGATCTTTTCCACCACGCGACCGTTCGACCCGCCCACGCGCCCGTACGAGTGCCCCAGTTGCAAACACCCCGTCAAGGAGTGGGCAGCCAAGTGCGACGGCTGCGGCCGCGGCTTCCAGACGTGCATGATGAGCGGCGCCACGATCCTCGATCACCGCACGTACATGTGCAAGACATGCCGGCACTCGTGCATCGAGCACGAAATTCGAGACGTGTCCAACTGCCCGCTGTGCCACGCGCCGCTCAAATAAGAACGAAACGTCGCCATCTCACGGTTTATGAAACTTGGATGTATATATAATATATATATATATATATACTATTCGTGCTCGACGAGGCTTGTGGTAGAGTACTCCGGAGTAATACTGGAATCACCGTCGGGGTGTGTGTGCTCCAAGTTTCCTCTCCTAGTTGTCCTTGTCTGATTGATCACTTGTCATCATGACGTGCAAAGCCATGCGGTAGCCTCCATAGCATGCCAACGCCAGCCCCGCCACCACTAGTCCCCAGTGCGTTGAGGACAAGACTTTGTCAAGTCGTTGTTCAGGTGCTATATCGTTCGCCACGACACGAATACTTCGACTTGGCAGCATCGTATACGTTGGATCGAACGGAAGGTAGCATGTGTGGCCTTCGTATCCCGTATCACACAGACATCGGCCGTTGATGCAGTTGCCGTGATGGCTGCACTGCTCGCGGTTCACACACAGAATCGACGGATCCCACGGAGCGGCATCCCCGCCACGTCTTCCGTCCACCACGAACGAGGTTAAATAAGCGTGAAATGCATTGTCCGATGGGCTCAGCCCGCCATCGACGACCTCGGCGTAGTCGCCTTGGGTTGTGGGAAAGGCCAAGTGAAAGCGGCCGCGTCTGGCGTATTCTGTCGCCGACGAGTGCAACGAAGTGGCTACTGGCGGCGTAAACCAACCAGGGCATCGCCAGCATGTCATGTCCCACACTCGCAATCGATCGTCGCAGTGGGTGGCGCAGTGGGTGGGGTCGGCCTAGTCACACACACATGCCTTAGCCGAGAGTTAGCCATCCATGTGATCCCGTGTGCTCACGAACTTGAACAACGAGTTGGGCAGAGGTCTTATCTCGAGGGGCCAAGACGCCCACCAACCGAACCAAGTCGGTGGTTAGGGCAGAGAAGAGTCCCCCCGTCGAGCCCGACCCAAAGTGTTGTGGCTTCAGGGACGGCTGCGCTTGAACACTTACGACCCACGGCTTGCCAAAGTCGTCTATTTCCATGTCAAATCGAAACAGTTGGAAAAAGCTGTCGATGGATGGCTGGGGGCTGGCTTGGCGAGCTTGCTTGGCAAAGTGACCTCGGGAGGCGGCGATGGTTTTCACGACGTTGCTATACACGTCTTTGTGGAACTTGGCCACGTCGACGCCCACGTGCTCCAAATGCCTGAGCAGGACCTTCAAGTGGCTCGTGCCTTCGGACTGGGTCGACGGGAGCTCGGTGTAATGCGCCTTCAAATCGTCCACTTCCCACGGCGGCAGCCACGACGTGTCAGACACTTCGAACGACTCGCGCGGAGAGGACGAGTCCAGCGCTGCGGGGTACTTCTGTACGCTCATGCGCAAGAGCACGTTGTGGTAAATGTAAATGCGCAACGGATCGATAGACGACACGACCACGAACACGCCGACATGCGCTTTGTGGCCAGAGAACAACATGGGCTCGACGACGTGCACGATGCGAAGCTGTTGGTCAGGAGTCGCCTCGAGCTGCGCTGGGTCTGTGAGAATGGTAACGGCGGCCGTGGATGGGTCGGCGGACGGCGCCGTCTTAGTGACAAGCCACCGGCGCTTGAAATGGGGGTCGGCGTTGACGCGGTCGCTGAAGCGGGCCATGCCGCGCATGGCTTCGAATGCCTTGACAAACGCTCCTTTGTGTCGAGGAAAGTAGAACTCGGGAGGCATGAAGTTGAACTCGTATCGGCCGTGGTCCCCTTGGAGTGTAATGTACCGACCGTAGCGCTTCGCAGGCGAAACCACGAGGTCGTGTCCAGGCAACTGGTTCACTTTGTGACGGTGACTTAGTTTGCCCAGTTGTGCGGGCGACAGTGGTGTTACGGACCAAAGCAGGTCAAATTCGTCCGCATGTGCAGCTGCTAGCTCCCACGAATGCGTGTCGACGCCGTCGACTTGAAGTGGCGCTAGGCCTAGCCGAGCGAATGCAGCGACTAGCAGCTCCACGAACGATGTGTCTTCTTGAGTGATCACGTATACCTTCCTCGCACGAGGGGGGTCAGGTTGGTTGGCCATCCCATCTCCCACGGCCCACAACGCGAGGCAAACTAAGCAATGACGCCACGGCAGGAATCGTGTCATGACGAGGACGTGCCTTCGATTTTCCGAATTTCGATCTTCAAGTCCGGATACGTAACCGAATGATTGCAAGAGTTGGCAACATCATGATGGAGATATTGTGCTTTCGAGTGAAATTTCGTGTTGTGGCGTGGTTTCTCGTTGGAATTTACATCGATTTGATTGGCTACTTTAGATGAGCTCAAAATTATTAACCAATCAAAACCTTCTAAATGAAATTCAACCAATCAGATCGATTGTGGATCGGTTTGGTCGGCGCGATTCGATTGCACCGCGTCCCCAAATTTGTATCAAATCGACAATATTGTCGGAATCTCTTAAAGCGACAGTGCAACACCACGAGGAGGACTTCACGGGCTACGACAGTCGCTCGCATGACGTTGTCGCCCTAATTGTTGGGACTTTGACGCTTGGAAAATCGAACTACTTTGAAGGGTCAAACATTCGGTTTTTGCTGCTTGCAGTCTTTCGGCTGCAGTGTGGATCTTGCACCACTAAAAATATCCTGCCATGATACCGCTTCGTACATGCATGGTGTGGGTCATGGTGGCGACATCCTCCTGGTGTGTGCATGCCACTCGCACGTCCAAGGTGTTCCTCTTACCAGAGGAGCAGCGAGACCACCTAGAGCCGCTCCTGACTGCGATGCACACCCTCGGCATCAAGGAATTCGACGACCGCCATGCAGATTCATGGGACGCAGCTGCACACACGAATGAGTTTGACGTGGTGTGGAGCTACGAGTACCCCGAGTGGGACATGCTCGGCCCGCTGCGCCCCCATACCAAAGTGAACCATTTGCCAGGGAATTATGCGTTGGTAACCAAAGGCCACGTGTACACCAACCAACTTCGCCTGCAACACTTGTATGGGAAAGAGCACTTTGACTTTATTCCACAGCAATTCCGACTCCCGGACGAGCGGTCTCAGTTTATGGCCGCCTTTGAAGCGTCTACCAACGCAGCAGCAGCAGCGGTGGCCGTCCGTCAACCTCCTTCCGCCACCGCTGCCGACGACCCAAGCTATGGCCGGCGGTGGCTGATCAAGAACCAGAACCACCGAGGCGTGCATTTCTTCAGCGGGCTGAACCACCTGGACAAGTACATGTCCTCCAACGACATGGTCGCGCAGTGCATCGAACCGCTGCTGATCTCTGGCCACAAATTCGACATTGGGCTATACGTGACTATCTCGTCCATCGATCCCCTCCGAGTGTACATCTACCACAACGCCCTCTTGCGCATGTGCAAACTCAAGTACCCCAAGGACCTGGATGACTCGGCCGACGTCGAATCGTACGTTGTGGACGACTACCTGCCTCCGTGGGAGATGCCAGACTTGAAGGAGTATTACAAGGCCATTCCGTCAGAGGATCGTGAAGGCACGAGCCACTTTGACGTGCTCAAAATGTACTTGGACTCGATCAACATGGACTCGAGTCGGTTCCAACAAGACATCTACGGCGCCGTGGCCAAACTCGTCGCGGGCAACCGCGGCCACTTCGTCCGGACCGAGGCACAGTTCCGCGCCGCGAATCACCAACCTCATGGCCACTTCTTTGAAATGTACCGCTTTGACTTCGTCGTGGACGACACCGGCAAACCGTGGCTCTTGGAGGTCAACCAGTCGCCGAATCTTGCCCCGAAACACTTTGCAACCGGCACCGACGCCAAAATGAAGCGCAACATCGTGCACGACCTGCTCACTTTGGTTGGGATCCAATCTCCACACGAAGCTTCGCTGCCCAACACGATCTTTCAGGTATTGTCTGATATATTATTCTTGATAAAGTATATATTCTTGATTGTTAATTTCCGGATCATGAATATATATCGCTCCCATTGGTCAGTCTGAAATTACTCTTCGCTGATTGGCTACATTTTATTTATTTTTACTGCGTGCTGTCTACTTGTACGGAAACGGCACAGCCAATGAAACATCGCGGCGAGGTTTTGGGATTGGTGTTACGCATAAATCGCGCAGAATTGGAAACTTTGTATTGTGCTTTCGAGTGAAATTTCATGTTGTGACGTGGGGTCAATCAAATCAATGTAAATTTCAACGAGAATTTAAATCGATTTTATTGGCTACCTCAGAAGAGCTCAAAATTGTTAGCCAATCAAAACCACCTTCTCAATGAAATTCAACCAATCAGATCGATTGTGGATCGGTTTGGTTGGCGCGATTCGATTCACCCCCTCCCCAAATTTGTATCAAATCGACAATAGCAACTTCTTCGTAAGTTATGATAACACGACGGCTGTAGGTCCATGAGACGTACTGCAAACCCAAGTGCCAAGACACTAGCCGTGTCGTGGACATGTCGTGCTGGCGCTGCCCGGGCTGGTTCTCCCCCCACGAAGCGACGACATTGCACCAGTCGGCCACCGAGTACCTCCGCCGCGGGGGCTTCCAACTGGTGTTTCCGTCCGTCGAGTTGGACCGATTTCTCGACGGAGGTCCGTCCCCCCACGACCTGGCGTTTTCAAGGTACGTGCAGTCGTCGTCCGAGCGTGATGTGGCAGCCGGAGCGACGTGCACGAGTCGCAGCCACTGCAGTATGCATGGGGACTGCGTGAACGGCCGCTGCGCTTGCGACGACGGGTACGAGGGCGTGGCGTGCGCCGGCATCCAAGACGCTGACCTCACGGACGCGTTGGAGCACGCCAAGTTTGAAGACGAGTTGAAGCAGCTGCATTCGATGAACTTGCGCGTTGTCGGCGCCGCGACCCCCCCGCCCCAAGGCGCGTCCGACACTGCGCTGGTTGTCTTGATGCTGGGCAATGTCGTGGGGGTGGCTATCGTGTACTGCGTGGCGACATTTTTGTACAAGTCCAAGGCGTCTGCCAAGGAGCACTGATTATTGTGGGTAGTGTAGTGGTGTTTATTATTCGATGGTATTGTCGTCTAACTGTCGAAAATGCGCACGGCAAATGCAGTGGGCAGACTTAGCTCTATAGCATTGACACTGTTAGCTCTGTACCAGGTAAACAACTGCTCCACGTGGAATAATAGCATTGAGAGATTTATTGTGAATTCGCTATAAATCGCCTGGTTTATCTAATCAATATTGAATCACGCCGGAGTTCTGATTGGTTGAATATACTTGGCCTTTCTGCAAGAGCCAATCAAATAATCCACTCAAAATTGGAGTAGCCAATAGCGTCGATTCGTGATTCGATTAATTCGATTCGACGGGGTCTGGAAATTCATATAAAATCCACAATATTATTGACGGGAATGATTGATTATTGGCGCGAATCATTCATTGTCAATGTTGAATCGTACGGTTGATCCGGATAAGGTTGGATTTCACACCAATCAGCCATCAAAATGCCCGCACGTCCTCGCACATGCGTCCCGCTGCCAGCCGGCCTATTGAAGCTGCATGACAATGCGTTCTGGACGACCTCGTCTCCCCATGAGACTAACCCGTTGGCATTGATTGTCATCAACGGCATCGGTCTCATCTCTTGCTTTGACCATTTGTGGGAGAAAGCTCGATTCACCGTGTGCGCTGATGGCGGGGCCAACAAACTGTACGATTACATCAAGCGCGACAAAGTCGTGCCGCCAAAGAACTACATCCCACAGTACATCAAGGGAGATTTGGACTCTATTCGGCCCGAGGTTGCGTCGTACTTTGAACTGCAAGGCACGCAAGTCATCAAGGACCCGGACCAAAACTCCAACGACTTGGACAAGTGTCTGTCGCTGCTGCGGACCCTCCAGCGCGATCTCAATGCCAACGGACATGGAGATGCCGTGAAGCTGAACGTGCTTGTCGTTGGCGCCATGGGAGGCCGCTTTGATCAAGAAATGCAGAACGTGAATGCGCTGTTTCAATGGTACCGACGGGCCTTGTTTCGATGTGGACACGACCCTTGAATGTATCAAGGATATGCCTAGGTCGTCCATTTTCCACCGCATGACCCTGGTCTCAGACAGCACTTCCGCCACACTCTTGGTTCCTGGCACACACTGCATCCGCCCCAACTTTGCCGTGGAAGGCCGCACGTGCGGCTTGATCCCCGTTGGTAACTTACTCTATGGAAAGCTCTTGTGTCGGGCCAAGAGTAACGGTGTGCTTAGGCGGGTCTTGTGAAATCCTTACGACCAAAGGGTTGAAATGGAACCTGACAAACCACAGCACGGCGTTCGGGGGGCTTGTCAGCACGTCGAATCATGTGTTGGACTGCGACGTTCATGTCGATACGTCCGATCCTCTCATTTGGACCACAGAATTATCGGCATAATACAATTGTGATCGGGACTACCGTACCTATTCCATTGGATACGTCCATGCGATGACGGCTGTAAGCGTTGTTGTTGCGGTAGCTCCGTTGCTGGCATTTATGTCACCATCCTATCGACCATGTTATGCTTACCACAGAATTCGTAAGGTGAAACAGTAGGTTTTAGTAGGCTCGCAAGATAAGCCACCTTACGCATTCCATAAATCAAATCTGAAATAGGTCAAATGTTATTGAAAGAAGCTTCATGTTTGTATTGTGCTTTCGAGTGAAATTTCGTGTTGTGGCGTGGTGTCTCGTTGGAATTTAAATCGATTTGATTGGCTACTTCAGATGAACTCAAAATTATTAGCCAATCAAAACCATCTCAATGAAATTCAACCAATCAGATCGATTGTGGAAAAACAACGACTAAGCAAGGAAAAATGATAATCAATGTACTCGAGAGTGCGATATATCGCTGACATGAGAATTTAGCTGGTGGTGGCGTGAGTTGTTTGAGTTGCTGGGATCGTGGTAACGCTAATTGTGTATTTTCGAAGGCGATAAAGTGATCGTCTTAACCAATTATATGGCAAAGAAACCTTGCTGCACTCTGATTGGTTAATAATCAGAAGTAAGGCCAGCCACCTTACGAATTCCACAAACAAGTCAATAATCGCCGGACTTTCGAATATATGATTAAAATCTCAGATTAAGAGAGTACATTTGTGAGTGCTTTTCAACCATCATTGTTTTTAGCCAATCATAATGCAACCGTCATACTACGAACAGTTTAGCTACATTACTACCACCATTACGACTTGAAGCGACTCCAATAATTCATTTTTGTGCAAATTTGATGCTCAATATCACAAAAGAAAGAGAACAAAAAACTAGAGGTAACAACCATTGGCAGCGAAGCGCCGAAACGAAATGTTGGTGGTCAATATCGACAACGCCTATTTGTGTACGTCGTGTGGATGTAATTTGGTGGTGATGTCAACTGAGCAGCGGATAGTGAATACTCGGGAGTATTTTTTGTAGTGTGTTGGCGAATCAAACGGCTTAGGGACTTGTTGAACTTGTCGTGGGACATGCAGGGCTAAGGTATTACTCGGCGTATTGAATCGAATTATTTCTGATTCGATAGAAACTCTGATATTGTTGAGTGCAACGATTGCGAATGTATGATGGCTGTGCTGAAGCAAAGTGTAGTCAATCGTACCAGACGGTGTGCTATGGCTCCGTTGATGTGGGTATCGTTGGTGCCTTGGAACTGTGAGATTTCAGGATATGGCGCACTGCTAACACATATACTTGTAAATTTGAAGATCCTTTCAAACACAATCTTCAAGTTCGAAATTCGTGTCTTTGCCGACATCTTGATATTTGTAAGGAACTTATAATAAACGACAAGATACTGTCCTGTCAAAACTTTGTATCCATTGCCAAAGGCAGGGGGCATTACGAACCACGGTATAAAATATTAAAATCAATTTTTTCACAGTACATTTATATTTTTCTTAATATTATTTAATATTATTTTTAGTTATAAATTAGATACTATTAATAGGATAAATTACAGTGGATCCTAGGTTTTTGCAGCTCGTATAAATTAATATCCTGAGAAACTACTGACAAATATTCATTGTTAACAGGAGTTTAAAGAATCGATACAATTTGAAATTCAAAGCCTTTAGCCAATCCGGTGCCAATATGGTGTCGTCATTTCGACCCCACAAACGTGCACACCACGAACTCGTTGCCGCACCAATGTCATTAGACTTACTTCTCACAAGCTAGATATTGTGTACTTCTAATGTGACAATTATACAAGTGTACTGTACTAGATTTCAATACTAACTACTCTGGGTATTTATCGAAAGGTGGTGGGTATTTGTCGTTGGAATGTAGACAATATTCACCAAATATTAGATAATTTCCCTATAAAGTCAACAAACACCGAGTGAATGACGTGCCCAAAACCCATAACCTTTGTGCATAGTTTACCTCTACAAAACTATATTTCACCCATGAGGATCAACTGTACTTAGTACTAGTACGTAGATACTAGTATAAAATATTATAGAACATTAATATTTCTACGTAGTACCGGTACTCCGGAGTACTGTGGTCGTAATTATTTTATAAAATGAATATATTTATATTCATAGTTGAATTTTTTGCCATAAAACAAGGACTTTTTTATCACGTTTCTGTGAAGTGAGAATATTCCTATTCTATTTCGTTTGGCGGAAGGAATATCCGGATATTTCAAATTCTATTGCTTCACTTGGAATCAAAGTCGCATTTTCCTTCGTGAGCCAAATGTTCAAGTTCGTCGTCGCCATAGTCGGACTGATTGAGACTGCCTCTGCACACGATCATGGCGCCATGAATGCCGCCACGGCACTCCCAGGAGGCTCGAAGCATTGCCCCATATGTAACATGGATGTGGTGAGCGACTGGTACATCCAAATGGCGCACGGACAACGAATCTACTCGTGCAGTATGATCGACGGCTCCCAGTTCAAGTCTGGAGTTCGTGGTTTTTCGCACGCCTCGCTCGTTGGCGCGACGATGGTAAGTAGAATCGAAATGTCGTGTTCCATCCCACCCACCATCCGTTGTAGAAAGACATTTCGTCCAATCCATCCTGCGACAACTCGTGCCCTGACTGTGCCGCCGGTACCGTGCTGGATCCCATGTCGGGGGACGTTGTCTCTGATCTGAATTTCAAATACCTTTGCCTGAATCGCGGTCAAAAGGTGTACTTTGCCTCGGAGGCCACGAAACAACAGTTTGTTCAAGGGTCCTCGACCACGCCGGTATGCCCGTATACACATGACGACAAAACACTCACGTGTATCCACAGTACTTTGGTGTGGACAAAGTCGTGTGTGGCGGTTCGCCTTGTCCCGACAGCTTTCAAATCCCACCAGGCGTCCAAGCACCGTGGGCGGAACCGGCGCCGCCTTTCTGCACGGGGTCGTCCGTTATGTTTTCGGGTTTCCAAACGTCCGCGGGTGGCACATGTGTCAAGCTGTTCTTCCAGTCGTGGGTACTAGACACCCCCATCAAGTACTTTTTCGGGCTCTTGGGGGTGTTTCTCTTGCCGTTGGTCAACGAGTACCTGGTCGTGTTCCGTGAAGACACGCGGATGCACTACATCAAGACCAAAGTGTCCAGGTGTGAGATTCCAATTCAAAAGGCCATCACGTTAAGGAATATCGTCTACTGGTAGTCGGTACCAAGGTGCGTGGACCAAGCCCGGCCGCAAGCTGGTGCTGACGCTGCTGTACATGGGCCAGATGACGCTCGCGTACTTGGCCATGCTCGTAGTGATGGTGTACGATTCGTTTTTGTTTTTGGCGCTTATCGCTGGCTTTGGGGTGGCGTTCGCGTGCTTCAAGAGCGACCGGAGCCTCGGCCTCAAGTCCACGGCCATGATGCGCGCCACGTGGCGCTTTGACGAGTCCGACTTTTTGACCGTCCTGAGCGTCGAAGGCATGATGTGCATGCAGAATTGCGGCAGCACGGTGCAGTCCGCCCTCGAGCAAGTGGATGGTGTCAAGCACGTGTACGTTGGATTCAGTGAAAAGTGCGCGTATGTCTCGGGGTCGGCCCCCACGGAAGCGCTCGTGGCGGCTGTCGAGGCCATCGGGTTTGATGCCCGCGTGTTAAGACGACCGCGAGCCGAATCGAATGGAGCGACGGCGTATGGGAGTAACTCGCACTTGGCGTAAATGCCACTTGTTTGAGATTGATCAATTGATCGATCGTTGTAGAGAACTCCGAGTGCTAGCGGAACCCAAAGCGGGTAGGCGCGCCGCAACTAACGTTATCGAGGGAATTTGGTTGCATGTCTCGAATACAACTGTACTATCATTGCGCCATTTCCAACTCACCCCAACCTATAACATGCCTCCACCTTGTACGATCGTTCAACATGTGGGTGCTGCGCATGGATTATCCATGGATATCGAACGACTGTATTGAAATTACAACTGAGGCCAAGGTAGTCCACAGGTACTAGTAGTAGTAGTAGTAGTAGTAGTAGTAGCTCGTCGCCGTAGCATGTGAACGTACGGCGCTCTTGTTGGTTCTATCAATGGCCGCAGTAGGCTCTGGTATTCTTGTGGTGGCGGCGAAACTGGGCGGAAGTGGTCGCATCCAGTTGGTGGTCAATTATCCGGATACCTGATGGAAACAGTGCGTTGACCAATTGGATGCCGTTGTCATGCTTTTATCCGTATGGTGCATACCAGTACTCACGACTTGGCCCATTTTCCACTTTGCACATCAATGGTGGCCTTCACGTCGCCGTCGTCGAGTGTGGGCATGCAATGGCCTGCCAAGTTCGGCTTCCCTCCGATTCTAGACCTGGCCAGCGCCAACCTCAACTACACCCAAGGCACGCGCAATGTCTTCAAGTTCGGAGGCACGTCGGTGGGATCGCCCGAGCGACTGTTTCAGCTTGTGACCATCGTCAAGGCTGAACGGAAGCGGGTGATGTCCGTGGTCGTGTCTGCGATGGGCAAGAACACTGACTTGCTTCTGGATGCTGCGTCCGCGGCTGCTTCGGGGGATATCGATGCAGCATTGGCCTTGATCGACCGCGTCGAGGAGTTGACGATTCGCAATGCGAACGACACCCAACGCCTCATTCTTGGCGACGACAAGCCAATCGAAGACCTCACGAAAGACATCCAAGCCTTCCATGTCCCACTGCGTCAACTACTGCTTGGCGTGAGTTTACTGCGGGAGCAGACCCTTGCCGCCCTCGACACGGTGTTGTCGTTTGGCGAGCGCATCAGCGCAACCATCGTCGCCGTACGTTCGACAGCGCACAAAACTTTCATTCACTTGCTTTGTCTTAGAAACTTCTGACGGCCAACGGTGTCCCAGCCATCTATGTGGATGCTCGGAAATGGGTGGTCACAAACGAGAGCTTTGGCTGTGCCAAAGTCGACTTCGAAGCGTCCAAGGCCAAACTCGTGGCTCTAGCTCCGACGTGGGGCTCTTTACTACCCGTGATCACGGGCTTTATCGGCAAGTCGACGTCCGGCCGCACCACGACCCTGGGTCGCAACGGATCGGACTACACGGCCACGCTCATCGGCGCCAGTTTGCAGGCGCGTCCGACATTGAAAGGATTCACGTGATGACGTGGCAGTCTGTAGGCAGACTACGTGGTCATCAACACGGATATCTCGGGGGTGATGACCGCCGACCCGCGCATCGTCGGGTCCGCCACGTCCGTGTCGCATCTGAGTCATCACGAAGCACTGGAACTGGCCATCTACGGCACCCGCATGTTTCACACGCGCACGATGGTTCCGTTGATCAATTCTGGTATTCAAATGATATACTAGTATATATATCTTGATTGTCAAAATGATATATAGACGAGCCATCATCAAAAAGTGATATATGTTGATGACGTCATCCAAACGTGAAACGTGATATAGACTTATGATACTATGTATCTAGGCGTGACCATGTTGATTCGCAACACGATGGACCCGAGTGGCAACGGCACGTACATCAGCAGCTTGGCGAGCGCCGACAAGTCGGTCACGTGCACCACATCACTGGAAAACTTGTCGCTCATTGAAGTACGTGTATATTCCGATTCGAATTCGACGTGTATAGTAATCATTATGCGACAACGTATAGGTCCGGACACGGATCTTGCAAGAAGCCGACCGCCACGAACACGGCAACGTCGGCGCCCGCGTGATTCAGTGCCTCGAGCACGAGCGCGTCCACATCTGGCTGTCCATCCGAGCGGCGCACGGCCAGTCCATTTCCATCGTCGTGCCATCGCATCAAGAGGTGGTCGCGCGCACCGCCATCGCCACGGAGCTCAAATCGGAGCTTCAAAACAACGAAGTGGACACAGTTAACTGTGTGTCGCCCGTCACCATGTTGTCCATTGTGGGCGAAAAGCTCAACAAAGCATCGGCAAACGCGGCGAAAATGTTTACCGCCCTGGCCACTGTACGTGCTCAGAATATATATGATATTCCTGCAGTGTATTGATAATTGTCGATATTAGGCTGGGATTGATGTGCTGGCGGTGGGCCAAGGCACGAGTTCGCGGTCGCTGAGCTGCATTGTCCACGGCGCCAAGACCAAGGTAGGTAGTTGCTCTCGAACGTGTTTGAAACTGCGTTCGATTCGTAACCACTTGCTGCGTGCGGTAGTTGGCCGTGCGCCGCGTACATGACGCGTTCAACGCGTCGACGTTGGTCGCGAATTTGATTTTGCTCGGGTGCAACGGGGTACGTCCATCGCATTTGCCTTCCATACTCTCGTCGTTATGTTTGTAATATCGTCATGCGATCTAGACGACTCGCAGCATTCTCGACAAAATCATCGGCCAAGCCGACAAATACCGGCAGCGCCACAACGTCGAGCTGCGCGTGGTCGGGTTTGGCTCCAACTGTACGCCGTTCCAGTTTGACCCGAATGGCATCAAGCTCGACACGCTGGTCGATCAACTTCAGTCGTGCTCCAAGGCCACTCCCCTTCGACGGGACTGCGGCCTCTACGACCACGCCCGCCCCTCGGACGACATCGTGTCTCTGATCCATGTCCGTTCCCCCCCTCTCTCTCACTTGCTAGCCCCGTGGGTTTCATTTGTGTTTGATTGTTTGCTTTTTCAGGACTTGTCGTGTCCGATCCTGGTCGACTGCTCGGGGCGAAGTGACAATGCTGCGTTTTACTCGAGCTGCTTTGCCAAGGACATCCACGTGATCGTGTCCAACGTCCGGTCGGCCAACTCGGTACCCAAGTCGTCTGCGTCGCCGTCGCTCCATGCCCTGGACCCGTGCTACTTTTTGTACAATTCGGTCGTCGGCGCCAGTTTGCCCATCTTCGACACCCTCGCCAATCTCCTCAACACGGGCGACCACCTCCACCGGGTAGACGCCGCGCTCAGTGGCACCCTTGGCTACGTCTGCGACAGAGTACGGCCAAATGAATGGCTTTCGTTTCGATAACAAATTGTTTGCTCGGGATGAAAAACATATGGGAATGGATGGTTGAGATAGAGTCGTGGTGGTAGGTGATGCGAGATGGCGTCACGTTGTCGCAAGCTATTCGCGATGCGTGGGACCACGGGTACATGGAGGCCAACCCCAAGGAAGATTTGAGCGGCGATGACGTGGCCCACAAAGTCAAAGTGTTTGCGCGGGCGCTGGGCACGTCGCTCGCCTTGTCCGACATCGAGGTACGAAAAAGCACGATGAAAACCGAGTGGCTTATACACCGAGTAGGTGACACCGTTTGTGCCGACGTCGATCTTGGACGACTTGCACTGGGACAACGATGTTGTGGACGTGGAGAAACTGGTCCAGGTCAGAATCATGGCATTCTGGTTGCTATATGAACGTTTAACACGTGGCTGGCTTCCTTTATGGTCACTTTGTGGAGATTTCACTCGACTTTGTAGGCGCTTGAAGCGTACGACGCTACGTTCGACGCTACTTTTGTGCAGCCTGCGTTACAACAACGTACGTTGAATTTGACTGGTGGGGATTTGATAGATGAGAAATTTTATTGGCATATTGTACAGGAAAGCGCTTGCGATATGTGGCCACGCTGGTGATGGGCACGGCGTCCTTGAGTGCCCGCATCGAATTGTTGTTGGTCGACGAATCCCACCCGTCGTTCCGCACCCAAGACAACGACATTGCCGTGGGCCTCACCACGACTGAATACAACGTAAGATTGAGACCTTAAACACAACATGCCTTGTAAATATGCGAACGTAGGCTCGGCCGCTGGTTTTGACGGGAAGTGGCACGGGCGGCAGTGCCAGCGCCACGGGGGTGATGCGTGACATCTTGACCATTACCAAGAGTTTGCAAGGGGTCTAAGGGCAAAACTCTGTCGACTGTTTAATCCTCCACTCGCAGCCTTCCGCCTCATGGAGGCATGTAGCCGTTAGCCTGCTTGGACGACGAATCTGTCGACTTAAGTCTTGACTTCAAACAACACCATTTTTCCCACTTACTACCACTACTCCAACATCAGCATCCCGTCGAGTTCGATATTCGAAGCAATTTGTTGCGTCCTCAAATAGTCAAACTTGCCGTTGAACTACTACATAAACGTTCGACGAAAACGTTTCAAGCAGAGTTCGTGTCACAGAGTCGTAGCGACTGTGCCTTTGAGTAGCGATGCTGCGGCTACTACTGGTATTGATAGCTGTGACGGCCGACGGGGTCGACTTGTACGGGTTCAGCCAATGCACCAACAACCAGCGCACACTGTTTTACTACTCGTCCATCGCTCAAACGTGCGAATCCAATGCGACCCTCGTCACCCTTCCTCGTACATCCTCCTCCTCTCACTCGAGGATGAACGCTCACAAACATCTCCTGTAGCCGTCAACGGTCTGGACTGCTCGTTTCCTTGTCGTCAAGGAACGTTCCTCGGTGCAGAGTGCGTCTTTATCCATCTCGATTCGAATGAGGACGTATGGGTAACATACTGCTTAGCTTTTCTGGTCCCACGCCCGTGTCTGGATGCGAGCGCTGTCCGTCGGGGTCGTTTTCCCTCGGCGGGGGAGTATCCTACTCGAGCATGACCAACGCGTGGTCCCGATCGCTGCCGCCAGCGTTCGACACGGAATGCGACTCCCGCGATGCCAATTCCGGGGTGTGGGTCAACAACTGCCTGCCGTGGACGTCGGACGCGTCGGGGGGCTATGTCATGTCTGGGAACAACTCGAACATCGCGTCCACGTACAACGCCGACCGACTGTACGCCATCTTGAGGCTCACCGCCACGTTTGTCCGCCCAGGCAACCTCACGTTTCAATTCAAGGTAGCCCATCACATTTCCAAGGCTTTGGTTTGTAAGTGCGATGCGTCGAGTAGGTGGATGCTGAGCCCCCGTATGATGGGCTCATCTTTATGATTGATGGCATCGTGGCCATGACGATGGTGTCCACTACGAATGGCTGGGCTGAAGTCACCTATGGGGTCAATCCTGGTTCCCACGTGTTTGTGTGGAAGTACTCGAAGAACAGTGGGGGCGACTGGGGGCTAGATCAAGCCGCCATCCGGCTCGTCGAGTTCACAGGCACAAGGTACATCGATGCATCCTATTTAGCTCGCACAGCTCTCATGATGGATTTACACGGTTTCAGCTTTGCGGACACGTCTTGCTTGCCTTGTGGGGGGGACATGACACGGGGAAGTCGACGCCAGTGCCGCCTCTGCGACGCCAATCAGTATGCTGGGCTGGACGCCAGTCGGTACGAAAGCTTTTGACTGTTGGGAATAGCGCTCTGAATTGTGGCCATGAATTAGGTCGTTCACGTGCTTTCCTTGCCCGTTCAACTCATTCGCCCCTGCAGGCTCCATGAGCATCGACTCTTGTGTGGCCAGTCGGCCTTGCGATGTGACCGACATGGCGGTGTACTACACCCCGTGCGCCAACAATAAGCGCAATGTATCGCGCGTGTGGGCCCGGCCCATGACGTGCAATGTCAGTTTACCATCGGCAACTCCATTGCCCGTGAACGAAGTCAACGTTGAATGCGGAGACTGCACTGAGGGCTACTACCCCGACTCTAGTACGTCCGTTGATGTCATATTGATTCCAAAGGCACCATGTTGAACCTTGGGTATTTATTCGTGCATAGCTGGAGTGTGTCAAACTTGTGCGGATGGCCAAGTAATTGATATCTACGGCAACTACTCGTACGCAATGAACTCGACAACGTCGGAGAATTCCACCAACACGGTCGACACGAAAGAGGCCGGCGTGATATCGCTGTGTGCCAGGTGCCCCCCCGGAACCATCAGCATCCGGTCGCAGCTGTACGGCATCATCACGCGACGGGGGTGGAGTTTGTGGCCCGCCATTGTGGACAACGTCACAGCCGTGCGAAGCGGATGGAAGTTGACCGAGCAAGGCATCACCCGCGACACGGCCCTGAACCCCCAGTGGCTTCCAATTGCACCACTACTCTTCAGCGTAAGTTCCAAGTATGATTATGTCATCATTTGTTTACACAAGTTTACTTGATAGACATTACACGCGAACCGGGGGGTTCTCGAGATCAACTACACGCTTTCAGGCATCCCCACCACCCCCGGCAACAAGGCGTGGCTCGAATTATACGTCAACGATGTCCAAGTCGCGATTGCAAACCCATCGACCAACGGCACTTTCCTCCACCAATCGCAGCTCAGCCCCCGCCTGGACGGCAACTCGACCCTAGCGGTGCTCTTCGTATGGCGCACGGGCAGTTCAGCCGCCGACAAGGCGTCGAATGTGCTCATTCGGTCTGTGAAACTGTCGGGAACTGTTTCTGGAGGCACGAGTGGATGTGGCAACTGCCCGACGGGATATCAGCCCACCGCGAATCAAACCTCGTGCGCAATGTGCCCCGCTGGCTCGGCCGCAACCATTCTTGGTACGCAATCCGTACCCTGTGTTATGAATACCGAACGATGTTGCCTCATGCTATTATGGATGCAGGGGGTGGGGGTATCGGCTGCACGCAGTGCCCGTCCGACACGTTTTCGTATGCCGGTGCCGGCATTTGCTCTCCGTGCGGCACCAACACGTACAGGTACTTTTTCATTTCCGAGCTAGGGGTTGGAACAACCTACTGATGCATGTATACCAGTGTACCTGGGTCGACCATTTGCCGTGTCAAGCAGCTTCTCATGGACAGCGACGCAGGAGTCATGTACAACTTGACTGCGCTGCAAGCCTTGGTCGACCCATTGGTAGATTTAGACGTGGCGTCGGGGTACCTTCCCCTGTCGCCCGTGAATTCGACCACGCCCATCATATTGAACGCTACAACTGCGACGTTGATCGGCGTGTTCCGACCCATCGTACCCCAGATTCCTGCGCAGTATGTCGTGGCGTCGTCGTCGCTTGTTAACACTGGTGCCTTGCTTGTGGGGTCCCCCCAGAGTTACGTGGTTGGGCTAGCGATGTCCAACACCCGAGAGGCGGGCAGCAGTTTTCTGTATAATGCCGATCGATTTGGCCTCGTGCAGTGCACAGTGCCCCCGGTACGTCCAAGATTTCTCGTAGCCCTCGGTGAACGGTTTACTCATATTGTATGTGTGGGTTGTTGCTGGTAGCAATTCAACCTGTTTAATGTTGGCGGGAAGTTAGACGTGGCACCGCTGTCTAGCGGACGCGGCGTTCGAGCCACGTATTCCCTCGGCTCGCTTTGCAGTACATTAGGCGTGGCCAACAACTACGGCTACGCGAAAACGTCCATCGAGTTCATTTGCGACCCTGCTGCAGGTACGTGAGGGCCTGTTCCTTTGCCCGAGGAACCAGTCCCCCCTCCTCACTCAACCAATGTGTCGTAGTGTCGGTCACGCAGCCCGTGTTGATGCCGTCTTCCGAGTGCAATTACAAACTCACATGGACCACCGCCGCCGCGTGTCCGTTGTGCGACCTTCCGCTCTTCACGTACAGACCAATCGAAAGAACAGAATCCCGACTCATGACTTGAAACTTCTAGACCCACCAAGTCGGCATGTTCGTTGATGGGAAACCAAACGGTTACGTACGTGCCGGCCGTGCCTTGTGTGGGGGGGCGCCAGCCCCCGTCCCTTGTCACTGTGCAGACATGTGCGAGCATTACGTTGGACCAGCAAACGGCGGGTATTGCAGCAGGGGTCGTGTTCTTGATCCTTCTCCTCATCGTGGGTCTCATCGTCGGCTTTGTGGTGGTGTATCGAAAGTACAAAGCGGTATGGTATCATTCCAAGTTTAACAATTTGTGTATGTACAGCACTTTGCTTAACAATGGATGGCTTAGACGCTGCTGGAGTTTATGTACTTGAAGGGTCAAGTGACAAGTCACGAAATGCTCGAGTCAGGCAGCACCCGGTCGGCAGATGGAGCGTACGAATTCGATCAAAAGGCCGGCACGCTGTCACCGGAAGCATCCGTCGTGTCGGACGAAGCCGACGAAGAAGAAGAAGTGAACATCAAGCCCAAGGCCAATGTTGTCATGTAGTAGTTTCAATTAGTGCACGTCATTTTGCATAATACGTACCTACACTCGTAATTAAATGCTCTTTGTACACGGTACTACCACCAGGTCAAGGACGGTTTCGTTTTAACAAGGTGAAACTGATGCCATGTGGTCAACACCCCAGCGTTGAAAGCAGCCATGATGGTGTCGTCAATCATTACGATGGGTCTACCTGCCACTCGGATATTTCCCAGTCATCAATTGCGAAGCGCTCATGGAATTCAGCTACCCCCTCGTTCCCATCGCGTCCATCCACAATGACCAAGTCGTCAACGACGATCTAAACGATCTCTGGGATACCGCGTTGAAGCCATTCCACCAGTTCGAAGGCATCGTGGACAACTCCCCCTGTAGCGAGCAATCCCTCCTTCCGTCGTTCTTTGCCATAGAATCCACAGAATACGAGCAGCCCGCCGCGTCCAGTTTTAAACACGAGGCACTGGACATGGAGTCGATGTTGCCATCTCAACTACCCAACGATAGCCTCGAGCCCATGGCGTTCAACCCCCAGAACATGACCCACGTCCTGAACCACTTTCCCGAACTACACCCCATGGACGGATCGTTTCTTCGCAGTGCGTTTGAAAACTTGGACGGACTCCCCAATACGCACTCGCCGCGGGGGACAACCCCCTCCACGACACACGATTCCCCCACCGCCGCCACCATTTACCCGACGGCTCTGTCCGCAATCTCCCTTGTGGGCCATCTCTCCCCCCACATGAAATCCCATCACATGCCGGACTCGCCCCCCACCTCCGCCACTGGGCTTTGCCAAGTTCCCCAATGCGGGCGCCGCATCCGTTCTAAAGGGTTTTGCAAAGCGCATGGCGGGGGACGAAAGTGCACTCTCCCGGGGTGCAACAAGTCTGCTCAAAACGGAGAGTTTTGCATCGGCCACGGCGGCGGGAAACAGTGCGCGCACTTAGGGTGTCCAAAGGCCGCCCAATCCCATGGCTTGTGCAAGGCCCATGGCGGCGGCGCCCGTTGTAAGCACCAGCATTGCATGAAGAGCAGTCAGGGCGGGGGGTACTGTCGCGCGCATGGCGGAGGCAAGCGATGCCAAGCGGAACACTGCACTAAAGGGGCCCAACGGGGCAACTTCTGTGCTACACACGGAGGCTTTCGCAACTGCCAAATCGACGGATGTGTGCGGACGGATAGGGGGGGAGGGTACTGCGAAGTCCACCGCCGCGACAAGCTGTGCACGGTCACCGGATGCAAAAAGCTGTCCAAGACCAACGGCCTATGCACAGTGCACTTGCGTCGGGTGGACAAGGAGGTCAAGAAACAAGCCAAGAACCACCAAGCCATTGCAAACGCAGGACAAGCAGCGCAACAATGCGTCATGTTGCCGGTGGGGATGGTATTTTCAGTTTAGTTCTTAATAACTGTTGCTTATATTAAAGGCCAACAGGTCGACCATTATAATCCCATCTCGGTGACATGGCTGGGCGTGTACTGGTGTCAACGACCTTTGGACGGCTCTTTGGACTGCTAGAAAACGTTGAATGGCGTTTCGACAGCTCATGTCGAGACAGTCGATGCGGGGTATGCTGGTACGTCTTCGCATGAATGGCACAGAGGATGTCCCCGTGACGGAGTTGGCTGAACGATTCAATGACCACGAACTTGTTGTATCGGCCGTCGGCATGATTGATGTGGGCTGCTTCACGCAACCATTGGTCGAACGTGTCATTCCCAACCTACAGGAGCAATCCACCGTTGGTTGGTGGTATTCATATCAAGGATTGATATATATATATACTATACCTGCAGTTTGTATCGAGCTTTCGCTTGCAAATCGCCCCACGAGTGCGCGTACAGACGTGTCATGGTGTCGCGGTTGTCGTTGAGGTACACAGACACCAAAATGCTGACGGGGTCGTTGAGCGTGGACGGGGTTCCAGTAGGTGCAGGAAGTGTAGACCGAGCCCACGTCCGTCGCTTTGTAGTTAACGGCGTTTGGTGGTATTTGTCCAAGTATTGAGACGCGCGTGGCGGCGGCGGCAGCAGTTCCAGAGGTTTGGCTTGCCGCTGTACGTGAAAGACACGTGAGATTGTGTTTACTAAAACCAGGTCCGTCTCGTACATTCGAAGCTGTCTGCAGCCGAGCGCGGACGCACTTTTGTACCTTGACTTGTGCTTCCTACGATGAAGCAATTGCGATAAGATGATGGCAACGAATATACGGAAGGACCCACATGACGATACAGTCGGGCGACGCGATGGCGGTCTGCATGGGTTTGCAAGCACGACCGTTCGAAACAGTCCCACATCGCTCGATGTTCGTGCCGCCGTCGAGAACCTGCTTGACGATTTCGTTTCTTTCGATTAGGACTATTCATATCAGCCTGTCGAGGGGTTGTCGGGTCGGGTTCAGGGGTTGCGCTGCTGCTGCTGATACTACTACAACTGCTGACTGTACTGGCAGTGCTGCCCCCATCGACGTCGTCATCGTTCTCGTCCGGGTTAGCTTTGGGCAGCAATTCTCCCAGCAATATCTCAAGTTCTTGAATCTCATCCACCAAGCTTGTTGATTCTACCGGTGCTTGCACTGGGATTACGACATGGTCCACTGCTGCACCGACAGCTAGAAGGCAGGCATCGGCTAGCTCTTGCACCAATTCGAATTCGTGTCCGTCAAGGATAGATGCCATGTCGATCTCATGACGATAAGCATCTTCTTCGCAATGCAGCGCTCCTTGGACCTTCTGGATGCTGGCCTCCACATCTGCGAGCAGCACCAGCAAACTCGACGCCATTTCGGCCCTACATTCTGACCACCCACGTCGATGAAACCGTCAGCCGTTACAGAATCCCCGGATACTTTATCCGGATATCCGTTTCGTTTTCTCCAGAATATGGTGCACGTCATGTAGTCATGGATCGTGGGTTTCAGCTTTCATTTGCGATTTACCACTCAAACCCTCAAGTGCCAACAATATCAACGATGCCATGCACCTGTGTGGGCCTCTTAAGCCTCGTCATGTCGGTGGTTGCCGTCGTCTTCTCCACCACAGCCGCCGGCTTGCCACTCTGGTCCATGCTTGGTGTGTCGCCCAAGCGTGAAATCGCCGCCGCAAGCTTTACAGCTGGTGTATGGGGTTATTGTACAGAGCTGTCATATGCCAACACAGGCACAACGACGGCGTCGTTGCAAACTACCGGTCCACTCTCTGGAACCCATGGCCAATGCTACCTCTACTATACGTCGAACACCAAGGTGCGCGTGAATCTGAACAACGACCTGAACAACACGATCGTTCTCCCCAACCAAGGTATCTGCGCTACGTTCAGCCAAGACAACAGCAGCAGTGCCCCGCGTTTATTTTCGACCGTCGAAGGCATCGATCAAGCCGTCTTCGACGACTTTCTGACCAAAACCTGCGGAGTCAAAGGCAAGGTCACGTTGGCGTTCTCGATGATGAGTCCTGTGTTTGGCATCATGGGAACTCTCATGATCGCCCTTGGCGTGTGCTGTTCCAAGAACCGGTCGTGTCTGGTGTCTTTTGCACTGTTCATGACGCTTCTCGCCGGCGTGTGGTCGCTTATCGTGTGCATCGTGTGGAGCCAGCAACAACCAAGTGGCAACGGCTTGAACTTTGCCTTGTCGTATTACTTGGAGATAGCCGCGCTCGTGTCGTATGCGATTGCAGTGTTCTTCGTGGCCGTGCACATGACCCAAGGCACGTCGCACGGAAAGGCCAAGTCGTCGCAAGGTGGCACTGCAAAGTTGCAAGAAGCGTTGGAGAAGCACAAGAAGGTTGCCGCCGCTGGCAAGCAACCCACCCGGTTGGTATAACCGCCTCCGTCATCGGAGCCATCGATTCATTTGAGTTAACTTCCAACACACGCACACTTTGATCTTATTTGAAATTCACTCCAGGTGTTGCGGCAGCAACAAACATGGTGCGGGTTCAACTACGAACTTCGATTGTGATTCAAGCATCAGACAATTGAGATTCCTTGAATCCTACGTAGCTGTGGTTCCTACAGGAGCTGCCTTGTAAGGAACTAGGTACTAGAATTGCGTGTCGGCCCTTGCGGCGACTCAAAAAGCAACAAGGCAGTTGATGTACGAACCTCGTGGTTTCATTCCGATACACTTTTAATTCATATTTGCACTTCGATTTGTCAATCCTGTGAGAATGAGTTAGATACGATTACACTGGACATGAGTATGCACTGCGGAAGAGGGTGGTGGCTAGAAGATCAATTGTGACAGGTTTTGCTGTTGAATGACTGCAACGTCGAGATTTAAATCACCTCTGGCGCCGCCTTGACCTTCGCCGCGCGCCGAGATGTACATTTCGTCGGCGATTGGACTCTTGCTGGAAGCGCTTGTCTTCGGGCTCTATGTGGGTGTTCCCCTTGTTGCCAATCGAGCAAGCATCATTGAGCGCGACTGGGCCGATGCGCTGGATTTTAGACAAAGCACCGCATGTGTCGTGTGGCTGGCCCTGCTGCGCGCCCTTCTCTTCGTCTACGTCATTTGCGTGACCAAGAGCTCTTTGTACAAAACGACTCGATGCTTTGTGTTCCTAATCGTGTGCAGCCAACTCTGCATCCTCACAGTGCTGAGTTTGATCGTGTACATCTTCCAGAACGACTCCAAGGCGTTTTCGCTGTTCCGGTCGGACGCGTGGATGACGAGGTACTGGTGGAGCGTCGTGCTGTCGTCGATGGTGGCCACGGCCTTCCAAGCGTTGTGTGTGATTTGCCGCAACCGCGAGCGCGAAATCCCTGGCAACCATGAAGAAGAGCACATCCAGCAACTACTCGAAGAGAAAAAAGGCATCAGTCGCAACGATCCATCTTCCGTCGCGATTGACGACGCGCTATTTTCGACCAAGAAGAAGAAGCTTGAACGGTGGCGCGACAAGTGGGAGAAGCTCGTGTCCACGTTCCGCAGCACGACCGACCCCACGTTCAACGCCGTGCTGCGCATCTACGCGCACAAGGACGACGCGGCCATGCGTCTCGAGCACTTGTACGATGCCGATCCCAAGGAATTTGAGTTTTACATTCCGCAGCTATGCAGTTTTCTGCTCCTGGGCGCGTTCCAGCAGAGTTCCGAAGGCAAACTGAGCTTGATCTTGCTTCGAGTGTGCAAAGAGTACGTCAAGTTGTTGTTGTTCATCCATCCCCACGAAAACGCTCACAAAATGCATGCATAGGTCGCATGTATTTGCCCAAAAGATGCGCTGGTACTTGGAGTCGTACTGCGTCGGCAGTCCCGCGTACTCGTCGGAAGAGAGTCGCATGCGGGTGCAGATGCTGATCGACGAGATCTCCGTCCGTGGGCTGGACCCGTCCAAGAAACTGCTGACGCATCAAGCGATGGGCGAAAAGCCGTTGGCCCTGCCCACAGCTAACGTTGTGATCGCCCCCGAATCCGAAATTCTGCTCAAGGACAACGACACTACGCATTACCAGACGTTCCAGCCAATGCATGAAGTGGGCGCCGTGAATCCGTTCACGTGGAACCATCGGTTCGTGTCGGAACTGGTCGCGTTGTCGTCCAACCTGCGTTTGATTCCCCGGGACCGCGACCAGCGCAACATGCATCTGCGCCAAGTGCTCGCCGAGTTGCAAACGACGTTTCTCCCAAGTTTGTCCCTGTTTGTCCCCGTGGGCAACCCCTTCCATCGGATCAAGAAGATCCACTTGAACGAGAGCTTTACCTTCTCCACCCGCGAACGGGTGCCGTACCTGCTCTGCCTGGAAGTGGTCGACTTCTTCTCGTACGAAAAGAAGCCCATGGACCGGTTCGCGCAGCTCAAGAACCGGTTCCGGCTGTCTATGGTCGCCAGCAAGGCCGATTCAAGCAAGCCGTCCACGCCCGTGGTCCGTCCAGGGGACCTCGAGGGGGCCGAGACGCCCGTCGTGCGCCACGTGACAGACCCCGACAACTTGGGTTTTTGGAGCGAACCCAAGATGCCAGAAACTACGCTCCTCGATGGACTGCTGGGGTCGTTGAAGCCCAAGGCCCTCACGCCCTTGAGCGGTCCGCCGTTTCAATCGGCCCGCGCCATCAGCTCCAAGGAAGAGTCGCTTTTGCCCCATCACACAGCGTCACCTCTGCAAGTCGGGGCTTCGAGCTTTGAGTATCCGTACCCTGCCCACCTGTCCCCCAAAGTGAGGGTGAGACCCCTGTCGATACACATTCCGTCGTCGCATGTGGACCATGTCTTGTCCCCCACCCCGTCGGAAGGCATGTTGACGCCGACGGAAGCCGCCCGCCTCCGACGCGCAGATAGCACAGACGAGTTCCTGGCGTCGTTGCGCTTTGCAGACGATGCCGAGCCCAGCAGCCATCACCACCCGTACCACCACCACCACCCCGTTCCAGGTCCCCGAAGCCCGTCCAGCTCAGACTTGCCATGTGTGATCTTCAAAGAACGATGGGTGGACAAGGAGGCGCGGCTCCGGGCGACGAGTCCGTGGGGCCACCTGCCGACGTGGCGGCTGCTGCCCGTGATCGTTAAAAGCAACGACGACCTCCGCCAAGAGCAATTCGCGTCGCAGCTGATTCGCCAGTTTGCCAACGTGTTCTCGGACGCTAAGTTGCCAGTATTTCTGCGTCCGTACGACGTGCTAGCCACGTCCCCCACCGCCGGACTCGTCGAGGCGATTGCCGACACGATTTCGCTCGACTCGCTCAAGAAGAACGACCCCGAGTTCGTGTCGCTCCAGGACTTTTATGCGCGGCGGTTCGGTGACCCGTCGTCGTCGACGGGCCTCGCGGCGCAGAAGGCGTTTGTCGAGTCGATGGCGGCGTACTCAATTGTGTGCTATTTGCTCCAAATCAAAGACCGGCACAACGGCAACATCCTCGTGGACGCGGACGGCCACGTGATTCACATTGACTTTGGCTTCATGCTGAGCAACTCGCCCGGTAACGCCGCGTTCGAGTCGGCGCCGTTCAAACTCACGTCGGACTTTGTCGAAGTCATGGGTGGGCCGCGGTCCGCTGCGTTCCGGCGGTTCCGGTCGCTCTGTGTGCGGTCGTTCCTCGTTGCCCGCAAGTACCGATACCGCATCACGCTGCTCGTGGAAATGATGGTCGCTGGCAACGAAGACCTGCCGTGCTTCCAGGGCGACCCGCGGGGGACCGTGGACCGACTGGCCGACCGATTCCGACCCGACTTGTCGGTGCACGAGTGCGAAGACTTTGTCCATCAGCTGATCGATGCGTCGTTGGACAACTGGCGGACCCGCTGGTACGACAAGTATCAGCGCTGGTTTGTCGGTGTGTTTTAGATGGCTGCGTCACACGTAGTACAATGTTATCACACAAATAATTAGTACCCCGCCTTGTAATACCCCAGCTGCAGAGATGACATATGTCTCTCCACTGCCCATACATATATGGATGGCCCTCTTGTCGAGGATAGTTCACCTTACTGTGAATACTTCTAGTATACTGTATAGTACAGTACTACTCGGTAAGTATTAAATGACGATCTTGGGGACCAAATTGTAACCGAGTAGTGAAACCGTCGATAACGGGGTTAATCGCAGGGATTTTACGTCGGCCCTAACAAAAGCCACGCTGTATGAGATAGAAATGCCAGACACGAAGAAGCAGCCGCCGCCACCCCCGCCGCCGTCGCTGGGGTCTCCATCGAGAAAGCGGAAGAAAGGAAAGAATGGCATCACCCACCCGTTAAAGCGAGGTCGACTGGAATGGGGCCGCCACATGCGGACGAAAAAGCGGCAGTTTGCCGCCACGATGATCCAGCGCAAGTTTCGAGCGTACCGATACCACATGGACCACCGGGAAACCAGAGACAACGTGCGATCGACGATGCAACGAGTCAAGCTGCATCGTATCTTCTTCGACAGGGAGTTCTGGGAAGGCGTCAACCTCCGAGACCTCAAACGCGCCGAGTTGGAGGATTTGGCGTTCCGATTGGAACTGCCGACCACCATGTGCAAGAAGGAGCACATGATTCGCTCGATCCAGCACTGGATCGACTTGCGCATGCACGTGCAAGACGTAGCCATCGAAGCTGCGATGCGCGCGACCGAGAAGAAGCTTCAAGGTACTGTGCGTCGTCAAGTGCCAGTTCCTGTCATATTATTGGTTTGTATAGCCCAGGGATGCGTGTACGTGCTGCCTGCATTGCCCAAGGGGGAGCCTCGAATCATTCGACCACTTAGTGGCCGCAACATCACCATCGTCGCCGCGGTGTGTGTACCTTCCTCCTTTTACCAATCGATTTGATCGTGGATGGCATGATAGGGCTACGAATCGGAAGCGTTGTACGCGATAAATTCTGCGAGTGGGGCCGTGTGGTTGTGCAAGACGTCAGGACAGTCGGCGCAAGTGGGGTACTGCAGCACGTTGGTGAACCAGGACACGTTTGATCTGCCGTACCAGTCGACGTGGCTGGCGAACCCCATGCCGATGCAAACGTTGCGAATTGGACACATCGAGTCCATTCAAGTGACGCATTCGCACGCGATGGCGCTAGCCAAGGCGGGCGAAGTGTACAGCTGGGGCAGCAACGCCCACGGCCAACTGGGCGCCGACAATGCGACCAAACATCACCAGAATCCCGTTGTGGTCGGGGCCATCGAGAGCTTTGTGACTATTTCCATTGGAGTCGGCGCCCAGCATTCCATGGCAGTGTGCAATCAAGTCAAGGGGCGCGACGGCGTGCTGTTCGCGTGGGGAAGTAACTCGCATGCGCAATTGGGCCTCGATGAGGGAGGTGGGCGAGTTGATATCTGTCTGACTTGCATGGACTAATGTGGGGGACTGGCTAGGCACGGTGTTCACTCCTGTGGAAGTAAAAGCCTTGCTCGGAGTCACGGTTCGGAAAGTGGCTTGTGGTACATTGCACAGTGTCGTGGTAACCGCCGACGGTGACATGTACTCGTGGGGGTGCAATGACGGAGGTATGTACTACTGATCAAGTATCTATGACCAAGCATTTCCAGGTCGCCTGGCCCAGGCCATAGGCGACAACATTGTGTCGCAGCCCCGAAAGGTCACGGGGCTCATTGCGCCGTACAATAAAGCCATCGACATTGCATGCGGGCCATGGCACACGGCTGCGCTGATGGTGGATCGCCTTGGTCAAACCAGTGGCGTCGTACGTCTGGGTCGTGGTTCATACATGTATTTGACGTTGTATGTAGGTATTTACGTGGGGAAATGGAATCTGCGGCCAAGTGAGTACTCTGCCATTGTCGATTAGTTGAAATCGAATGGTTGTTATAGCTCGGACAAGGCAATGTTCTGCATGCCACGTCCCCCCACATGGTTATCCTCCCCCCCATGAAGCGCGCCAACGAGCCGCTGGAGTTCGTCAAAGTCGTGTCTTGCGGGATGCATCACACCGCCGTTCTCACGGAGACCGGGTCTCTGTACACGTGGGGAAGTCACCAGGCGTTCAGTCCCCTGCCGCACAAGTTGCCGTCGTTAAAAGGGTCGCGGGGGCGCATTGCCACGAGTACCCCTTCGAGTTTGCTGATCAGGCTGGTTTTGTTGATGCCTTGATGTGATAGTCGCGTGTGGCGCTTCGTTTACCGCGTTTTGCATTTTGGCCATGGACGAACAGCTGTACGAAGCCAAGCATCGCCATTTGCTGTGGCATACAAGGTCGACCGAAGTACCCAAGTTGGATTTGTCCATGTGCCCGCCAATGCCATTGCAATCCTCTCATGCGTGCATTCCTCGGTATATCACTCAATTTGCATCACATATACATGCAATGTATGAACGTATCATGGCGTAGGTTGCGTCCAAGTGCGGAAATGCGAGCTGAAGACATGCTCAAAAAGGCGGCGGAGGACGCGTTGGACGGCATCGACTTGCAAGACATGCTGCATCCAAGGTATTACTTGCTGTACATTCATCCCTTGTCAAGAACGACACAAAAGAAAACTGACCTGTTCATGTTGGGGGTAGGTGTCGGCTGTGCTGGCGGTGTCCAGGGTTTGAATCCACTTTGAACAAGCTCACACTGTGTCGCATATGCAAGCACAAGCGAGAACACCACGGTTTGCATCGTCGTTGCAATATAGTGAGCTTGTTGAATGGTTTGAGTAGGCAAGCGCAAAGGGTCCATGGGCGAATACGAAGCGGTGCGGAAGCTCCAGGGAAAGTTCCGGCAGCGACAAGGGGTCAAGTTCCTCCACCAAACGTTCCTCGAGCGCATCCAGCGCGTGTTTTCGATTCGGCACGACGCGTTTTTCTATTTCAACACGTGCAACCACCACAAGTCGTGGGCTCGGCCGACGCTGCTGCCCCTGCACTTGGAGTGCCCCATCCGCGACCCCGACGACGACGATGTCATCAAGCCACCGTACACCGTCGACGACGCCGCCAGAGTCATCCAGAGCCTATACCGATCCCGAAAAGCCCGCAAACTCGTCCAGGCGATCCTGCGCAGTCGGTATGAAACCTGTGTCAACAAGGTAGACGGACGAACGTACTACCGAGACCGGCGCACGAACGCCGTGCGGTGGGACAACCCGTTCCACGACGTCCCCAAGCCGATCAAGCGGCGGCGAGGCATGTCCGAAGCCGAAGCTATCGCCACCGTTCAGCGATGTGTGCGGGGGGCGAAAGCACGCAAGAACCTGCGGCTCATGATGCAAAAACGATTCCAAGCCGTCGTCGACACGTCCACAGGTGCCACGTATTACTTTGACTCGAAAACGAAAGACGTGACATGGACCAAACCGAGGTAATAATAATACTACCCCCCCTACACTATCGATCGTCGTATGACTGGTCATCTTGCATGCATACCCCGTAGATTCTTCAACGAGACACCGACGGTGGAACCTCGCAAGCCCCGACCAACAACGTACACCAAAGCCACGGCGGCGTCGACGCTGCAGCGGCTGTACCGGGGTCGGAAAGCCAGACGTAACCTCGTGGCGCTCGTACAGGCGCGGTTCCAGCAAGCGTGGGACCCTACAACCCAACAACCTTATTTCGTCGACACCGTCACCAAAACCACGACATGGTCCAAGCCAGCGCTGCTCAAACATGTCGAGATTCCGCCCGTGTACAATACCATTATTGGTCACGACAGTTCCCTGCACCACAAACGAAAGAAAAAGAAGGCGTACAACATGAACGACGTGGATGCCGCCATTCGATTGCAAGCTGCGCTGCGGTCGAAACTTGCTCGCAAACGCGCCCAGAAACAACTGCATCGGCAGGTACAGTATCTAGCATACCAAGTACATTTAGTATGTCGTCAATCAATTTTACATGACTGTGCAGTACGAGCGCGTGTGGGATCCCGAAACGAAAGCCCATTTTTACCACAACATCAAGACCGACGTCGTGACGTGGACGCCGCCACCGTTGTGGAACGATGCGGTTTGATGATATATATCAGTATTGTACTCAAACGGCAAACTCAGGCTTGCGTCGGAGCTAGGTGTACGATAAAGTCGTGGTGGAAATGGCCAAAGAGAAGGAAGCACTGGCGGCGGCGACCCAAGCAGCCGACAAGGCATCTCGAGGTACATGAGTATTTTTGTGTCGAGTGACTAAACGATGTCAGGCGATCAAGGTGACAGTAATGCCACCAACGGGGGTACGGAAGGAGTGCCATTGAAGGTCTCATCTGCATTTGGCTCGTGTAGAAAGTGTACAAGCTGTAGCTAGCCCCACGATAATATCCACGCCCCCAAGGCGGCGCCGCCCTTACACCGTACTGGACCCGGAAGAAGCTGCCAAGATTGTACAGCGGCACTATCGAAGACACAAGGCCCAAGTAGTGTCTATCAACGCATTGGTGTCGCGGTTTCAAAAGGTTTACGACCCCAATACTCAACGGTATATATGTAGAGGTGTTGTTGGGGGGAAATCATCACGATTCGCTGCAGGAGCTTCTACTACGACCACGTGAACAAGACATCCTCATGGACGGCGCCACTGCTGCTTCAAAAGCGCACTCGATTGACAAGCCCGAGTCCGACCAAGTTTAAAACCCAGGACAGCGCGGCCGTGCGCATTCAAGGAATCTTTCGGCTCCGTAAAGCCCGCCAGGAAGCTCTGCACCTCGCCCAAGCCAGCTACGAAAAAGTGTTCGACGAGACTGTCCAAGCGTATTACTATTTCAACTTGAAGACGGGCGAAAGTCAATGGACCAAGCCCAAGTGCTTTCGAGCCAGCGACGCTGCACGCGTGGTCAACGTGGACGGCGAAGGACAGGTCGTGGTGGAACCAAGCACCAATCGAATACTGTAATGCACAAGTACAAAAACCAATGAAGGTCCAATACGAGAATGACGGTCTTGCACTTCACACTGGAAATTGCAAGGAAAATGACTACCGGACGGTGTTTAACCGTATGATTTGCGTGTTTTAAACAATCCCCGAGATGTTTAAACTCGATTTTCCACCCATCCACACACACGAATGGCGCGAGGACGACGAGCGAGCTCGGCGTCGCAAGCGTGCGTGGTGTGCTGCCTGAACATTGACAACAAGACGAGGTTCCAGACCGTCGGCTCATGTAACCACTTGGGCTGCTGCAGCATCTGTGCCCTGCGCATGCGACAGCTTCTCAAGTCGAAGCACTGCGTCATGTGCAAAACGGAAATGGACCGCGTGATCTGCATTACCGACGACGCGATGACGTTTGAGAGCTTCCAGGACTGGGGGGACAACATTGGCCCAAGCCACACGTTTGACGAAGCTTCGGGCATGTACTTCCTCAAGGAAAACTACAGCGCCGTGCAGGGTCTGCGCAGCCTCACGTGTTCCGCCCGCGCGTGCCCCGACAAGCACAGCTTTCCCAACATCAAGGCCCTCAAGCAGCACTTGAACACGAAGCACGCGTTGTCGTATTGCGACATCTGCTTGGACCACAAGCACGTGTTTCTCGAAGAGCAGGAGCTGTACACGGCCAGCGCGTTGAAGAAGCACAAGACACAAGGGAACCCCGAGCACGGGTTCAATGGCCACCCCAAGTGTAATTTTTGCGCGAGCAGCTACTACGGCAACAACGAGCTCCACGAACACCTTCGGAAGAACCACTTTGAGTGCGAGATCTGCCTGCACGCGTACGGGATTGAGAACCGGTACTACAAGGACTACAACGACATGGAGAAGCACTTCCGGTCCGAGCACTTTCTCTGCGAAGTACCGTCATGCCTTGAGGCCAAGTTCGTCGTGTTCAAGAACCACATCGAGTTCCAAGCGCACATGACCAACAAGCATCCGCACATCCCCGTGAGCAAGCGCATCGACGTCAACTTCTCCGTGCGCCGCGCCGACCGCGAAGGCCGCGACGAGTACAAACCCCGCGACGACTACACGCCGCTGTCGGTCGCGTCCGATGCGGCCAGCATTACCGTGGCCGACTTTCCCGCGCTGGTTGGCAACGCGGATACGCTCAACTTCACGCCATGGCAGAGCCAAAGCATCCGCATACCGCGCCAGGAAGACTTTCCGCAACTGGCGTCCTCAACCTCGGCGGCATCGTCATCTTCGCTGTACCGCAACGCCATTGCGCCGCAGCCGACGCTTGCCATGCGTGCCCACATGCATGGAAGCGACCCATGGGAGTACCCCGAGATGCAGCAGGCTGCCGAAGTGTTGGGCGCCAACAATCCGTTTCTACGGTTGGTGAAACCGACCAAGAAGAAGAAGAACAAGGCGGCGGCCACTCCATCGCCGTCCCCGCCGCCCACACCCGCCGCGGCTGCTGCACCCCCCGTGGACGAAGACGAAGAGAAGCCCGCGGTCAGAGCCTATATTTCGACAGACGAGTCGCCGCAGGAATCGGTGATTGAAAGCATCCAAGCGGCGCTGGGCAGCGAAGCCAAGTACGTCCAATTCAGAGAAGTGTGCAAAAAGTTCCGCCAAAAGGAGATCCCGGCCGTGTCGTTTTACAGCTTGGCGCGGGCTATGTTTCGACCTCAGGACTTGCACGAGTTATTTCCGAAACTCATGAGTTTGCTCCCCGACGAAAGCCAAGTCACTGAGGTGCTGGTGCTGCACAACAATTCGAAACCGGTGGGGTACCACGACACGAAGCTGCGGAAGCGGCCGTCCAAGGTCACCGCAGAGACGGCGACTTCCCCGCCGGCTGCCGCCGCCGCCACGTCTTCGGCTCCTAAACCTTCATATGCCAATCCTGCGGCTTCAACCAACGCTCAAAGCGCCCCCCAACCAGCCGCACGGGCGAAATCCGCCGCCGAAGACTGGCCTGCTCCAGAACTTGCTCCGAAACCAGCTCAAAGTACTAAGCCGAAAAAAGCCAGACAAGTGCCCATTCCAGCAGCGGTGGGCTGGGGAAACGCTTTGAAGGAAGTAGGGGCCGTGCCCAAGTACTCGAAGAATGGCCACCAGATGAACGTCGTGCTCAACAACACAGATCGGGACGCATTCAACGCCCGGGCGCGCAACAAGAAAACGAAGGCGACCCCTGACAACGTCGTGGGCTGGAGCTCCGCCGCCAGCTGGAGCGAGCCCGTGTCCGCCCCCATCGTGTCTGGTGGCTACACGCCGGAGTCGTCCAAGATTCAGATCGTGTCGGCCGAGTCAGTTCAAGGCAGCCTCCACGACCTGCAGTTGCAAACCCAGGGGAAAGTACCCAGTCGGACTCGAAGCGACTTCCCCGAACTGCCCAAAGCAGCACCCGCCATCGGCATCCAGCACGTTCAGCTATTGGGCAAAAAGCCCGGAATGTCGGTTGCAGCGTGGGGGGAAGACGATCCCAATCACCAGACACAACAGTCCACCCCGCAGCAAGCGTCCAAGAAGAAGAAGAAGAACAAAAAGGGCAAATTGACGTTGGCCGAATTCGCCATGTTGTCGGGTTAAAGCAAATGCAATTCGAGTGGTCAATCAGTCGGCGTGGGCTAGGGGTTGTCGCCACATGGACGTGGCTTTCGGGCGATGAATTGATGGTTTGGCCATGGGAACATTGGGCCTAGAGCCAGCATCACACAAATAGATAGTATAGTATGTGATCATAGAGGTTATACCGATCAAATGCATAGATGAGCCCCATCAGTACCCCCATGAGGCAAACAAATTTGAGCAACGCGACGGCCACGATTGAAAACTAGCCGCACTTGTGAATACTGTACTACTAGGTATAGGAATATGGAGATGGGGGGTAGGTCGACTTTACAAGTGAGGGGGGGTCCACTGTGTCTGGGGCGTCGCACGAAATGGTGTCGCAGATGCTCACGAGCATGGATTCTAAGCACACAATCCAATGGGAAACAAAAGTTGACCCAAGTACTATCCACTACTGTACTAGGATACCGTAAAGTTGGTTGGCCTCTGGCTCGCCGCGCCGCAGTGTCGTGGCATCGAACGATGGCTCTTGGTATGGAAAGCACGCTTGGAATAGCGCCTGATGATCGCTTCGTTGTCAAGAGCGACGAAGGTAGTGGACAAACCTGGCACTTTTGTTTGAGGCGACGGGCAGAGGAGTGCGTGCACTTGGCATGCCGAGCTTGGGAGATGTACGTGGGGCAGTTCAAGATGTCGCAGTAGTCCGCCATACAAAGCCCCGTTGGCAACGAGCTCTACGAACCGAGAGAGTTCTCAAAGGTCGTGGCACTTCAAAGTGTGGAAAGTACCGAGACTGGGGTGTGCTTGCGGTCGAAATGGCCGTCGAGGTACTCTTCGTTGCGGAATTGCTTCTTGCAAAACCCACATCGATACCTGCCGCTGTGTGTGCGTTCCTTGCGCTGTTCCTATACATGCATTGCAGTGTCACATGACGAAGGCATCAAGGGACGCGCCAAATCGAACATGCTCGAGGTGGAGAATGTGGTCGGCCACGAACGGACACTCGTCAGGCACGTGGAAGTGCATGGCTTGGGCTGGCAAGAATACTTTCTACGAAACCAACCCATGAGCTCTCATCATAATGAACCACCACTACGCTCGACTTGATGTACTTGGTGGATGATGTGCATGGCTTCACGACTCAATTGCCGGGAACATAAGTGCCTGTCGGGATACTGATGGAGGCGCTCAATCATTGAGTGTGCTTACGTGGACGCAGTGGCAACAGGTTTTGCGGTACTGCATTGCCCTAGTATTATGACTAGTGCGCAGACGAGTGCTTGGATTGGTGTTATCATCCTCAATGAGAATGGCGAGCCGATGGTATCCATGATGGCGGTTGGTGCTCACCCGTCAGCCTACTGTCGAAGGCACGGAAACAATTGGTTATCCGGATGACATTGTGCTGTCAACGTAATCTCCCATGTGGTTTGCACTAACGTTACTGTAAATTAGGACATCAGTGTAATCACCCACTTCCAGGGCTCTTGCGCATCACCTTCGGCGATGTGATGTGAGCCTTGCAGATATTGTACCCTGATATTGGCAGAACTCGCCAGTGAAGCATCAGGTGAGAAGGGCTACTGTAAGTGAACCCACTGTCGCCGCAATCGCTGACGTATACATTTATGGGACACGGCTGGGCCAATGAGGGCGCGTCGCTTGGATCCTAAAGTTCACATTCCAATTTGAGTCAAAGGTGCCACCATGCTCACAGTGTGCACGTACAACATCCGCTTCATCCTTGATCGATGGCCCGAGCGCAAGCCTCTCGTGGAACAAGTGCTCCGACGCGCCAAAGCCGACCTCTACTCTCTGCAAGAAGTCAACATTGGCGGCTACAAGTACGGCCAACACATCCAATTGCCAGCCACGGCATTGCCCACCGACGAACCCTTTGCGACGTTTGGTGCACCCGCAGCTCGCCGATACCTCGAGACGATCCCCTTCGTCGGATGGCTCTTCACCTGTGCGAACCCACTCGCTGCACTGACGTACGACCTGTGTGCGTGGTTCAACGAGCGGTACTTGGCCTCCATCTTGGGGGGGCATGTGCAGTGGCTGTACTACCATCCGGTGTTGCAAATCGTAACGTTTCTGGGCTTGGGCACGGCTTGGGTCTTTGGCACATCTATCCACGCTCGCCAATCCCTCTCGTAATAACGTCATATGCTCAATGTGGTTACACCTTATATTCATATGTAGCCCCAAAGACCACACCCAACTGCTCATCGGGGGGTGGAAGGTGGCCCAGCGTGTGCAAGCCACTGTCGACGGCCACGATATTGTCGTGGTCAACGTGCACTTGGCCTCGGACCGCGACGAAGAGCCGTTCCGAGTCGAGCAAGTGAGGCTGATCGTGGATTGGCTCGAAACAACGTCGGACGTAGCCAACGTCATGATCATGGGCGACTTCAATTGCGAACCGGACAAGGAGTGCTACTTATACTTGGAAAAGCGGGGGTTTCTGAGCGCCCATAAGGTCGTGCATGGAGAGGAACCCCCGGTGACGTTTCATCAAGGCTTGGAAGCCCCCACGAAAGACGTGGGCACTGAAGTGTGCCTCGACTATGTGTTTTATAAGGGCCAGGTAGGGTGATTTGGTGCAAAGTTCAGGTGGTTGACGATGCTGTTGTGCATAGTTGACCCCCCAGTCGATTTCACTTGTTGGCACCAAGGCCAGTCCACAAGACTCGACGTTGTACCCAAGCGACCACTTTGGGCTGTTGGCCACTTTCCAAGTTGGTCCAAACCACTAAACTCAAGCTTGGCTAGCTTGCTTCGTCGTTCGTTCGTTGCATGGGATAGTGTGGTGGACTGTCCTGTCCACACACTCTCATGGGGTTGTGCGCAAGTAATGCAACCCATTGCGATTGCCCTTTCGCCATGGTTCTGCGTTAACTGTAAATAGGAGGAAGGATAGTGTGGTCTACATGTGCATGCGACGAAGCATGCCGTAGTCTTCCTTGTGACACTTCGTCGTCGTGGTGTGTGCTAGCTTCGCTGACACAGCCGCCTTGACGCAAGTATTGCCGCGCTTCCACCCGTCTCAGGGCTTCTTGCCTGGCTACTGCTTCAAGTTCGATGTGCCGCGTCGCCACTGAAAGATCGCCACCAGAAGCCCCATCGGCTTTCTACGTCGATCACGGTTCTACAGTTCAAATGTCTGGTGGAATATCTACGACGTTCGTACTCTGGACCGCGCGTTGCGTGTGATGGCGTGTTCCAGGCCATGCAATCGCAACTTTGTATTGACCGGCAGTTTGCTCTTTCGTTTCCGCCGCTTCCGGTCGTCGCCGTCCACCGTTGTGCCTTCGACGCCTGTACTGCACGTGGTTTCCATGATAGCGTTGACAAGGAATCTCCTCCTCTCAATAGACACATGAGTCTTGGCATCCAGCAGCCCTCGGCTCTGCGCCTAAGTTCCAAGAAGACTGAGTTCCCTCACTTTTATTAAGTGCAAAACCAACCCGTACGTACCTCCATGCTCTTCTTAAGCCCGGTAAAGGATGCCGATCGATCCAAGTCGTCCAGGCGTGCGTGGGCTGGGCCGTGCTGCGGCGTCAACGCAAGCACGAACTCTTCAAAGTCCACATAGCCGCTGCTATCCGCGTCGATGGATCGAATGATCTGGTTCGATTCGTCTGTGGTGAACGCCAGACCCAGAGTGAGCAGCATCTCTTGCAGCTCATCCGTCGAGACCGTGCCCGACGAGTCCGTATCCAACAGGTCAAACCAGTCGCGTAAAATACGCTTCTCGGCGATCGTAAACTCGTGCGGACGGGCTTTTTTGTGCTTCTTCATCCACTCGCGCTCTTCCGAGAGCCGCAGCTCCTTCTCAATCTGCTTGAAATTGAACCCCGCGTGCATTTTACCAGGGCTTGCCCCCTCTGTCGACTCTGCATGGTGCCACCACAAATCTCGCTCCTTCTCAAACGTCAACCGCTCGTTCACCCGGTCCAGTGGTTTCAGATTCAAGCAACGGGCTTTGGAGCGTTCTTTGTGCAGACCCTTCACATGCGACCGTAGCTCATTGAGGCTCACGCTATTCATACCGCCAGCGAAGCCACCACAATGGAAGGCGAACGTGTAACCAGCGAAAGCGGCGGCGATACAGTATCGGTTTCAAGCGTTTCAAAAACGAAACGTCGCGACCGTTTCTCATACACGACCGGAAACGGTACAAATTTGATGTGCTTAGAATTCCCTTGTACTAACGCCATGCTCGTCCCATGCGTGCAAGGGCAGCACGTCCCCATGGCCTTCCAACACAAACGGCGTCGTGGGGTTGCGCACGTGCTTTGCGATCGCTTCCATTCGCTAGAAAGAAACGAAAGTTACTGTAGTCAAATAACCCGACATTGGCGTGCCTACCTTTGGCAATTGCATGCACAAGTCGTTGCGATACGTTTGGTACTCATTTTCAAGTCGAAGCCACGCATCGTAGCGCGGAAACGTTGCCAGCAACGCCAGGTCCATGTCGTCTTCAAACAGCCGCTTGGCGTCGTCCAACGTGGGAACTTTCACCAGACTCGTGTCTTCGTTGTCGCTTTCACTATCACTCAGCATGTCGATGGGAATGGTTTTAGACGTGTCAATCAGGGCGGGAGCGCCTGGCGGAGCGTCCCATAAGGCGGCGGTCGTCTCGTTCGAACGATCCCGCCATCCCACCCAGGCGGTGTGGAGCATGTAGGGGGTCTTAATCGCGAGAGAGATAGTTCCGGGGGTGTCTGCCATGACGTTGAGCGTCGTGCGAGCCACCTGTCGTTCCCGACGCCGCGGCTGTAGAATGTACTCGGGGTCCGTTTCCAGTGGAGACGTGAGGGGGGTGTACACTCGGAGGGTCGCGGGGGGAAAGATAAACACGGACGGCTCGAGCGTGAAGCGCCACACGAGTTCGGCGTGCGGAACGAGCGGGATGGCTTCGACGGGGACGATGGCTCGGGGCACCCGGACGCCGGCCTCGTGCTGCGCGCCCACGCGGTGACTGCGAGTTGCTTCCAACGGTACGTACTGCGGAATTGGTAGCGGTTGCTGCGGTCGATAGCCCATCTACATCCATGTGATTAGGTCTCTGAACGTCACGACACGTGAGTACCAGGTTGGCCTCCAGGGGGACGTCGAGCGGAAACAAGTTAAAATCTTGGAACGATGCCGTGTCGGTGGCCACGGCTACGGGGAACCGTGCGCGGGACTCGCTCTCCAAGTACAACGGGTACGAATGCACCACGACAATGGAGCTGACATCGCTAGCAGGTACAACAGGTGAAGCCGCCAGCGAATTCAGCATGAACGAAGCATTGTCGTCCGAGTGTTGCGAGTCGGATAGTGGTGGCTTTTGCTTCGTGTCGGTTATCGACACTTGAGCAAACTTCCAGTCCCTAAACCGAGGTGAATATTGGCACCTTGTGTTTTGTCGATGGTTCACCTACCGATCGACCATTTTCCGAACTTCTAATCGCGTCGTGGCGGGGCCAATCCACGCTTGGAGCAACCGCAACCGCCGTTTCGCCCGGTTTCTTGTGATCAACTTGGACACCACTTGCACAAACCTCGCGAGCATCTACGTGTCCAATGATAATATCATCGATCTCATGAAGGTAGAAGATGTCGATAATCAAGGGCAATGTGGTACGAACCCGCTTGCGTTTGGCCCACAGGTCGTTTTTGTACGGATTGAAGTCTGGGACGTGGGTGGGGGTATGGAAGGCAGGCAGCACGGCGCGCACCGGCGGGATTGACGAGACGCTTCCACCGTGGCTGGCAAACGTCGTGCGCAACACTTCGCGGGCGTTCCGCTCCCGTTCCAGCTTGTGATACGTGCGCACAGCGTAAATGAAGTCAATGTCTCGGGGGGCAAGCAACGAGTCCCCCACGAACTCGCGGTTGCTCTGAAACTCAAGCTCGGATTCCATCTTGTCGATCTCTTGCAATTCCTACGCCACGTGTCGACAGGTGCTGCTACTGAGTAAAAGAAGGTCCATCATTACCTGCAAAAACACGAGTTCTTTCAATTGCCGAGTGGTCGGCTTGGTCGACACGGACTCCTCCATGAGCAGCACGTCAAATGACAGACGACCACCGCCGGTGCTCCCTGTTTTGAGTCGCAACGCTTCTTGCTCGGCCTTTTGCCGCTTTCGCAGCGCCCGGTTCTCGTCGATGGCGCGCTTGAGGTCCTTTGGTTTGAGCTTCCCCGGCTGTTGAGTCAGCACAAAGTTGGTGGCAGTAATACCGTCCATGTGTTTGGGTATTTTAATGCCATCCATGATATCCACATCGTCGACTTCACTTGTCGCGGTCTTTTTCGTTTTCTTTGGTGGTCGTTTGGACGGTGGGGGGTTGTCGTTGGCTGGTTGGTGTGGCTCTAACATGGTGTCGACCGTGGCGTCGCCTTCTAGTTGGCGATCGGGGTCCACGGCTGGATCGTTGTCTTCTACTTCGGCTAAGCCATTTGAACGATAGGATAAATGTCCTATGGGGTGGCGTACCTTGGTCATTTGAAGGAACTTGAAGGCCAGGAGCGGACGCGCCAGAAATCACACACGTCATGGGCTGAAAGTCGAACTGCGACACGAGCAGTTCAATCTCGCAAAATACGTTGGCCATCACGATCGGCTGGAACGCAATCGTGATCTCAGCCTCGCCATTGGCTGGAATCGTGCCATGCACCGGATGAACAGTGATGGAGCTGTGGGCGCGCTTGACTTGGATGCGGAACTCAAACTCAATCGGAACACTGCATCCAATGGTCACGGTCCGAGTCGAGGCAAACCCGAGCGGCTGCGTGCCAAAGTGGATTTGACGTGGAAAGTTAACCTAGTCCTCACGAGCGATCTATAAAACAGCATGTGACATGGTTCGAATCTACCTTGTTTACAACGGGATACGCATGCATGGGAATGATAAAGTTGCCGCCTTCGCTGTGGACTTTGACGCAATCGTAGAAGTACTTAAACTCGTGTGCTGTGAACGTCACGACCAGATCTTCGCTCATGCCAGGGTATATCGTTCCTCGTCGATTGTTTTCAACATGAAACGGACCATCCGTAGGCGTCACAATGTGCATGCGCGTGCTCGCCGTGCCCTTGTTCAAGATCCGAACCTTCTGGGTCAACGTGTGGTTCAATCGAAATCCTCCAAAGTGCACCACTTGGGGAATAGCTTCCAACACTGCATTTCCTCCCACATACGGAAACTTCTGCGACGCCAGCGGCCGAAGCAGCTTGGCATCTTCAGGCTTCTTACGCTCCGCCACGAGCTCCATGTGACCCTTCGACTGACTTTTGTATCCGAAATGCAAGAATGCAGGTCGTTGCCTCAATTATCCGGCCGTTGACATGTTATCCGGATACTCAAAGTTTCAACAATCAACATGCCAACGGGCCTCTGGACAAAGGTTGCTACCGTCGCTGCTGGCGCCGCCGCCGCAGCGTACGTGGACAAAAAGTTGTACCTGTCGCATGACATCATGACGTATTGGCAGCACGCGATCTCGTTGCTTCAGGCCAAGTACCTCATTGCGCGTAACACTCGTGTCGCCGATTTGTGGGAAGAGCTGGTTGACGCAATGCCATCCAAGGTCCTTGTGATGTTTGAAGGCAAGAAGTACACGGCCGTGCAGTTGGAAACTGAAGCCAATCGCATCGCGCATTGGGCCATGAGCGTGGGCTTGACGCCTGGTTCCATCGTGGCCTTACTCATGGAGAACCGGCCCGCGTTTCTCACTACGTGGATCGGCCTCTCCAAAGTCGGCGTCGTCGCCGCACTCATCAACACACATGTCGCCGAGGAAGGCCTTTTACACTGCATTAACGTGTCCGACGCTTCCGTCGTCATCTTTGGCGCCGAATGCACCGAGCAAATGCACCGCGTGCTGGACCGCCTGCCGCCGCGCATCTCTGGGCTGTATGTCTACAATGATGGTACTGCACTCATTTATGGTCATTCTCTTACGCCGTTGTGATGACGAAGAGGCGACGTCATCACCGCCGTTGTTTGCGCGCTCCTTGGATGAGGAGTTGAAGCGCGTGTCGTCGCTTCGACCACTGGCCAGCCAGCGCCAATCCGTATCCTCCAACGACATGATGCTGCTCATCTTCACGAGTGGCACCACGGGATGGCCCAAAGCCGCGCGGGTAGAGCACCAGTCCCTCCTGGGCCGGTCGATGGTGTTTGTCCGCGCAGCAAACGTGACGCCTTTCGACCGACTGTACTGTCCGCTGCCTCTGTATCACACATCGGGAGGAGTGGTGGCCGTGGGTGTGATGCTGTTGTCGGGCTGCTCGATATCTCTAGCTCGGAAGTTCTCTACCACCCATTTCTGGTCGGACGTACGAGCCACCGAGGCCACGATGGTACAGTACATTGGGGAAATGTGTCGGTACCTCCTCCATGCGCCGCCCTCCGACTTGGACCGTGCCAATGTGGTAAAACTGTCTGAATTTCAGTCACTTGTTCCCCGAGTGCAAAGTCACACGTTTTGAGACATGTGTAGGTACGGGTGGCCATTGGAAACGGCCTTCGACCGGACATTTGGGCAGCGTTTCAAGATCGTTTTGGCATCCCCACAGTATGCGAAGTACGCACGCATCTTTGCAGTTGTAGTGTTTTTTCCAGTACTTTCACAACATTCCGGTGTAGTTTTACGGCTCCACTGAAGGCGTGGCAGGGATGCTGAATGTGTGTCGCGAACGTAAGGACCAGGGCCATTTGGGGCAATACGGGTACTTGGCCACTGCCGTGTCGGGGTACACGATTGTAGAGTATGACGTGGACGCAGACGCGTTGCGAAGGTAGCATTGTCTTTCTTTTACCCAAAATTTGGTCGACTTTTGTGCGGATTCTTTGCCAAATCTATCGATCGATTCTTGTCCTGACTTTTGAAAAGATCGTCCAGTATCACATAATTTTAGTCACACACTAATTCAGTGTTGAATTGGTCCAGGTGAATTTGATTGACCTCTGTACTATTTGTTCCATGTCACATATATTATTGTATAGAGTTCATACAGTCAGTAAAACACCATTGCTTCAATATTAAGTATTGTAGAGATGCAAACGGGCACTTGATTCAATGTGCCGTGGGGACCGTGGGAGAACTGCTGCTCCCCGTCCGGTCGTACTCGCCCATGCACAAATTCCAAGGGTATTTCAAAGATGACGCTGCGTCCGCCACCAAGTTGCTCGCGAATGCGTTTCAAAAGGTAAGCAACGACCCCCCCCACCCCACAAGTCTCTGAGCGCAAACTCGTTTGAGTAGGGCGACTTGTACTTTCGAACGGGCGACCTGTTCCGAATGGACGATCACCGACGCTTCTACTTTGTGGACCGCGTGGGCGACACGTTTCGCTGGAACGGGGAAAACGTCGCGACTTGCGAAGTGGCCGAAGCCTTGTCGGGCTTCCCTGGCATCTCTGGTACAGATTGTACAACAGCCTTCACAAGTTTATAGAACTATTAGAACGCGATGTTGACTAAATTGAATGGATAGACATTTGCGTGTATGGGGTGGCGCTGCCTGGCCGAGACGGACGCGCGGGTATGGCGGCGATGGTGTTTGAATCGTTGGACATGGACGCGTTTGCCAAGTTCTGTTTATCGAAATTGCCGTATGTTAGTTCATGTTGAGGACTAAAGTGTGTGACATGAGGCAATGTATAATGAGTAGGAGTTATGCAGTGCCGCGGTTTCTTCGACAGGTGCCAGCGATGCATGTGACTGGAACGATGAAGCATGAAAAGGCCAAACTTCGGGCCCAAGGCGTGCAGTTGAGTGGCGGTGACCGGCTCTTTTACTTGGACCGGTCGAACCCGTCACAGCCCACGTACTTGGCTTTGACTGATGCAAACGTCCACAGGATTGTAACTGCGTCTCGGTTGTAAACTCGGCCCAACGACGTGATGTAATAAAAACAAAGTTGTTGGATCGATTCGCCAGTAGTGGCAATACAACTTTTCATATACAACGTTCAAATCCAGTCGCCGTCGCGCAGTTTCTGAGGCAGGTACTCTTGCGTGAGGAATTGAAAGCCAAATGTACTCAGGGCCTCTACATACACACACCCATCAGTGGACGGTGGATCATCTCGTGGCAGAGTAGGTACGGATTTCGGCCTTCTCCTTGGACTTGAGCATCAATTCCAATTCCTACAGCGACATATATATATAAACGTAGATAGGGGGGAGGCAACCCAGAGGAATTTGAAGGTACCTTGGACCAAAGCGGGTTTTTCTTGATGAACTCTTCCTCGAGCATGTCTTTTCCAGTCTTGATGTCCGTTTCCTTCATGGGCAGACGACATTGGTCGGGGATCTTGTACTTGGTCAAGTCGGATGGCCGCACGCCGAGCCACTTGATGTCGCGGCAAGTTAAACTCGCGCTGTCGTACGACATGTTCTTGGACCCGCTCATGTACACGGACAGAATCTTCAACCCTACTGAACCTCGTGCATGACGATGTTGAGATATACACGACAGCTAGTCAGTCGCGTCGTACCGTACGGGTCGCTGTCCACAAGACCTAGCACCGGCAGATGGAGTTCGTTTTGAATTCGCTTGAGAAACATTCGCGTGGCCACGTCGGGCTGACCTTTCGCAGTCAAGATGATGCACGGGTACTTGTTGTAAAATCGATCTTCGGCCAATCGCATAAATGCCGCGTCTTTCTCGACGAGTAAAATGAACTTTGCGTCGCTCCTGTCCACTCGTTTACTGACGCATTGCACGCAACGGACGTACGTGATGTCAGTGAGGCGGTCGATGTAGGGCGGAATGGCCTTCCCGCCCACGCCCATGCGCGTACAATCGATCAAGTCCCCGTCATCGCGAAACGCAATCCGACCAACCTGGGAAACATCGACGATCAATCTCCGCCATCCATTGTATCGTACATACCACCACCCCCTTTTCGGAGGCCACAACGTGCAGCGACGACCGCGTGCAGCCGACCATGCACGCCACGTCGTCCAGAATCGTATCGCTTTCGCTTTGATCTTTGAACAGCTTGACGTCGGTGTAAAACAAATCGCGTTTGGTCACGTGGATGCCTTTGGCTAGCAATTGGTGCACCAGCTCCATCACCTTGGTCGTGATGGCAGTCTTGCGAACCTGTCATAAACGTAGGAAGGGCCTTTCGTCAAGTGGTAGGATCGATCGTACGGCAGACATGTTGGTGAAGTCGCGGACGCTCAGTTTGTCGGCCAAGACGATGCGGTCCAGCTCCGTCACGTAGATTTGGTTGGCGGTGGTTCGCGAAGGCACTGCGTACCGAAAGCCTTCCCCGCGGAGGATGGAGGACACCACCCCCACTACCATGCTTTCGATCTCGGTCGATACTTCGGTTGGGACCATCTCACGCACTTCACGTACGTTGAACACGTTGAGCTCGGCCAACGTTGGCAACTGACCCCCCGAGGCCAAGGCTTGTGTCAGTTGGTTCACTTTCTTCAACACGGGGCTCTTGTAAACAGACGCGTCGATGGGAACCATTTGGACTTGTGGGCGTGCCGTTGGTGGCAGTGCAGTTGTTGCGGTAGTTGATGCGGCCGGGGATGGATTTTGCAATGCTGCAGCTTTAGAGGCTAGTGGTTCATCGTCCGACGAGTCTTCGATCGGCATCGCTCGTTTCTTTTGTTTTCCATTATGCTTTCGAGCCATAACGTCGTCGATTGTCCAAGCGCAAGAGTTCCGTTGTCGAAAAGGTCGTGCACTCTCGTAAGCAACGGGAAGATCTTTGTTCATATGATATCATAATAGTATCCGGATGAAGGTGTCGATACTTAGTCCGGATAATGATTAGCATCCGGTATGTCTACAGGGTTGAACCCGTTGAAAACGTGATCACCAAATATTCAGTCCGGATAACGATGTATGCATCCGGTGAGTTTAACGTTGAACCAAATAAAAACGTGATCATACGATATTCTGAAACGAACATCCTTTATCACATCCACAGCAGTCTTTTTCAGTTAGAATGCATTGCTCTTGTAAAGGGGGCTTTGCGGGTACTGTATCTGATGGTCCCGGCTATCAGTGTACTTACAGAGCTACAAATCAGTCGAACAATTAACGCAAACCCGTTCCGGAGTGATGGTTGCTGCACTCTGAAATGAATATGAATCCATTGGAAATCCGGAGTAAGTTACGCAGTAATTCTAGAAGTGGACATGTATGACAGTAAATCACATAAAAATGCAAGGGCCAATGATAACCTAGTACTATTACTGTAATAGTATGTACTAACATTGCAGATTAACGTTAGCTACCGGTAGGGCAGTTTCTGTACAGGTCACAAAGACAACTTTTCTAACGCTCTTATCGATGGCGAAGTTGGCAGGCGCCAAAATAACTACACGAGGGTGCTATCCATTTCGAAACGCCTCCAGTACTTGGAAATTGCCGTTCATGTTCCCAGGAAATGAACATTGCACTGTTGTAGAATGGGAATATTGTTTGGTGTAACGTTAATAATATATCAACCTGCATGAAGTTACTACGTAACTAGTACTACGCTTGAGTAGAACTGAACACTCGAATACCCAAAAGTTTGTTGTAGACCGCTGTTGTGTGTGCTTGGCATCCATCACATACCAGTAAATCCAAGCACGTTCCAATCTTGCCCAGGGTGCAAGCCGTGTCCGTCGCAAAGTGTTGACAGTGGGTAGTAAGTACTACGTACAGTACTCGCCCCACTTCCCTCGAGTAAAAACCATTTCCCCAGCTAAGTCATATCCAAGTACAGTGCGACTTATCCCGCCGCCATTTCAACCGATTTTGTATGAAGAAATGTGATCCGTCAACCTCCTAGACTTGATTTAAGTGAAAATGTACATCAACATCCTGGATGTGTTGCTGAACCTGAGTGGCATTCGACGTACTTTTTTTCAAAATTAGGTTAAACAGGAGGCATGACACGACCAACATTTCATCACGACCAAACCGTCTTCTGCACACTACAGACGAACACCACATACGCACGTCGCAAGGAAGCCCTATCAAGGGTATACGGCACATCCTTGGGTATACCTATGAACTAGATGCATTCGCTGCAGAAAGATGTTCTCCAGTGTTCAATAGCTCCTCCCCTCAGTTGTGTGTGCCGTGTTTCTGCATATCAAATGAACGTCGTATACACTTCAGTTTAGTAATCATGTATTCCGTCCGCTGCGTACATGGTTGTGACCATCTCCGCTGGTGTAATCCTGTGTTGGTTGGTCAAAGCAGTGTCCAATTGTCGTAACCCACAACAGATCGCCTCGCCGCGGCCCCTTCCTTCACATCGTCGCCATGCACATCAACAACCTGTCCTTCCTCATGCTTGTCCTCGCAGTCCTCGCATCCCTTCTACACACCTCATCGGCTCGCCACATGGCAGCCATCACGATGAAAACGCTTCATCCGGAGAACGCAACGATGCCAGCAGCGCATCGGTACCAAGACGACATCGTGGCAGTGAGCTGCTCGCCGGTGGAAGCCACCATGACTCCTCTGTGTGGCGATCATGATAACAGGCAGTACCATGCGTACGTGTGCGAGAAACAGTGCATCGACGCAGTGAAGCACCTGTTGCGGACACGGCGACAGGACGAGCAAAAGGCCCCTCATGCGCTGTGCCTCGCAGAGTGGAAGTCCATCGGTCGTGTTCAAGCCACCGAGTGTCCCACGGAACTCCAGTCATTCCTTCCCGCGTCGGCGTTGAGCGTGAGCACGATTGCATCGGCCATTTTGAGCGTCTTTGTGCTCTTTTCGTGCAACTGATGTCGTATATCGGCGGTGGTTGCAGGAAGTATGGGGAGTACTAGTATTATTGATAGTCGATAGAACAGCACAACAGTGTAGGAACGTCGTCAAGTGAACGTGGGTGACCCTTAATATATACCGCGTCCTTGTTGATCCATTATGCGTCGCGACTCGGCCTTCTTGCACGATCCGCTTATCATTTGGTTGAATTCTCCATACTACTGTACCTAGTAACAAAATATTGGATCGCTGAAGCAAAAAAGTGGAATCAAAACTCATCCAAGGCCATGGATTCTTCTGGACTTGGCTACTTGAAGTACAGTGTATGTGTTCACATTGCAACAGTTGTAACGTCAGGTTGAAGTTACTTTTTCACGACGACCTTGGGCTTGTTGGGGTTGTTCTCGAGCAGCCACTTGCCGAGTCGGGTGATGGCTTGCAAACCCATGGGTTTGTCTTTGCACAGCATCATGAGGCCTCGCGAGAGCACTTGGGAGAACCGTTCGTTGCCGGATTGGGCATTCGTTAGGTAGTGCTGGGCGGCAGCGGCAGTCGCGAACGCCACGGGAGGGCGCATGCCGGCAAGGGACGAGTGGAGCTGGAGCTCATTCACCCCGCCAGACGGGGCGAAGAAGAGCGACTCGACGAGGTGAAAGTAGTCGGCCTGGGTTTTCGTGAGCTTGGCCGCTTTGAGCTCGTCAGCAGAAAACGCCCGAGTGTACCGGTTGGTCGTGGTGGTATTGATCACCGTACAGAGAACTCCAGCTGGCTCAGTGTCATACAGCGCCACGACGTGGTCTTCGCCCCGAATGAGGAGGTTCGCCCGGAATACAGGTCCAGGGACAGTCATATGGTGACGGTAATGTAGAAGTAAGGCGTGAAACTGTCGTGTCCTTTCGTTGGCGAAACCGTCCACAGGTCGTTCGATGGGCCATGAGTAGTGCCGATGGTCCCCATCACGGCCATCACGGTGGGTGGATTGACAACATATGCGCACGACCACGACATTTACGTAGAGGCGAAAAAGGTCAAGACAACGTTGACGATTGAGGTGGCATTAGACGACGGCGAGTTTATCAACCCGACATTTCGCTACCGCTTCCTTGATGGCAGCAAAAAAGTCACCCCGGTACGCGTCATGCAAGGAATTCATGTGGCTCACGGAGCTTTGTAGCCTGTGGGAACAGCGGGGTCTTGGGTTGCCATAGCCGCAGACGGGTCGGTGGTGGTCCCCGCAGCCAACACACCCGCTGTGAACGCCGCGTCGAAAGCGCCGTCGTCCGCGCGGCAAGGCCAGGGCACAGTAGACATTGCAGAGGCGGGTCCAAAGTACTTTCGCCACGAACAACACATCCCCGACATGGAGATCACCGAAGTGTTTGCAACCAAACTCAACGACAACCCCATCGTGACATTCTTCCTCGGCGACCAAAGTCCTGCGCCAGTGGCCACGGCGGTAGTGGAGCACAACCACACGACAACGCCAGGCACCGGACGCAACTTTATCACGTTCTTCGAAGTGGACACGAGCCCGCTCTTGGCCGGGGAGTTGGTCGTGGAGCACCAGTGGGGGTTTGACTCCGCCCCCAAAGACATGCACTTGCCGCTTGGCGCCCCCATGGTCAACGCCCATGGTAAGACTCTGTGCATTCTTCATAGAATGCCTCCCCACACTCTGTCACAACAGGCATCCGATCGGTGGTGATCCGGGTAAAAGTTGACCACGCCATGTTGTCGTCAACGCTCCAGCAGTCGTTGAACCCCCTGACAGTATGCATTCGAAAGGCCACGAATCTGCCTGGCATCACCGTGCAATCCAAGCCACTGCTGCAGTACATTACCCCCACGCCGCACACAGCCCTGCACAAGTGTTGTGTGCCAGCGTACGCGTCGCTTCGCCTTCCACAGTGTCCCAATCGAATCGTTCGAACGCCGGGCATCCTGCAGGTAGGCGCCTCTATCTCGTGACAGCAGTTGCTAACGAAGTTACTAGGACTCGGTGGTGGCGTGGCGGCACAAAACAACGTTTTTGTGTGGGTCGCTCGACTGGCCGTCGCTGCAGGAAACGTTCCAAGCTGGATATGTCCAAGTCGAATTGCATGATCGAGACGTGCACGTGGACCGAGAGTACAGCGAACTCGTGAAAAAGTGGGAAAGTTATGTTGGCGGGCGCGTCCCAGACAGCAGCAGCCACGGCGCAGACCACCACTCGACGTCAAATGCGAAATTGGACCTGTTCCAAGTCGACGACATTGCCAAACAAGACATCCAACACCTCTTCTACGTCCGCGCAGGCGACCGCAACGCCCACGGGCTGTGCACGTATCGTCTTTATGCGCTTCTCAACACCGTACGCGCCATATCATGGATGATTTGTGTGGCTTCGTGGGGCTAGTTACAATATATATATATATATATTAATAAGTATTATATTGTAGACGAACTTGAAGAAACAAGAACCTGGAAAGCCGTTCATGGCGCTCAAGTTCACCGCCGATGTGGTGCAGCAGAAGCGACGCCTTCCTCCAAAAGAAGGCTCGGCTGAAGAAATCAATCTCTCTCAAGTACACATTGGAGAGATCAATTGTTTGTCTTGACTGATAACATACACCACAGGTCGACAAACTCGTCCGATTACCAGGCTCGTACTTGAATTGCATGACGTCGTTGACGCTCGAGGCGACTTTGCAGTTCCCGCTCACGGGTCCTCCGCCATCGACAGCCACCACACAAGGCGGCGCGTTCACTCGGATGGTGGTCGTGATCCCATACAATGACGTGGCAACGCTCCAGAACATTTCCAAGGCCATGGAGGCGGTCAACTCGGCCGCGTTGCCGGGGGTGCCCCTCCGGTCGTACCAGCTCACTCCTGCTCAAAAGATCGCGTGCGACGGCGGCGACTTGAACCTCGTCACAGGGTTCCAAGTCATCGATTCCCATTATCGCATGTTGTTCTTGGAGGGCATCGCAGACGCCGGCCTTGCGACGATGTACAAACTCGTGCCCCGGACCGCGGCCAACTCGCGCACCGGGTTCCGCATGTTTGCCAACCTCGACGTGCGCTTCATCCACCGACTGTACACGGCCTTTGACGTGGACATGAAGCGCATTAAGCTGCGCGACCCCCTGCCGGATATCGCCAAGCGCCCCGAGCTGTACATGCGGTCCAAAGTGTCGGAGAATTGCTTCCAGGCGTTGAATCGGCTCGGGAACGTCCGCGCGGTGCGTGGATTTTTATGATTGCATGGCCATGTATTTTGTTGTATTGTCACATGTCGACATTGCACTAGGCGGACCGGCTCGTGGAGCTCAAGGACTTGAATTTGTTCCCGACCGTGCAAATGTTGCTTGAAGTCGAAAGCAAGTACGGCGAAAGCATCACACTCGAGGACATCCACGGAAGCCACGGAAGCCACGACCAGGCCAAGCAGCACGTTCTCAAGCAACTGCAAGGTGGCTCCAGCACGATCTCGGCAACGACCGGCACGGCATCCACTACGAGTCACAACACCATCGAAACCACAACGGCACTGTCCACTTCAGTTCCCGGTGAGGCCGCGGCGGTAGCCGTTCGATACAAGGCAGAAACGGACGCCACCAACAACGCGTTCGACCTCGCCAAGAAGAACTGGACTCCCAAGGATTACATTCAAGCCAGAAGGTAGGCATTGCAAGACTATTTAGTATTCCGTTTGTGAGGTGTTCAATTTTTCATTGTCTAGGGTCGACCGGCAACTGGCTGACAAAGCGTACGCACTAGTCAAAACAGCAAACGCGGGGGCAGACGACGGCGAGCCCGTGTACATTTACAGCGGGCAGAAACTTCGGGTATATCAGCTTCAAGCGCATTGTTTGAAGGGATCACGACACTGCGTGTGTTGTGTAGACGAAAGATTTAGCCAAGGACGCGATGCGCCAGCGCTTGTCAAGAGACCGAAAAGCCACGTACACGTACAGCAAGGACTTCAATTCGTTGACGATGAGCATGGTGGATGACACGAAGCTGGCTGTGCTGGCCGAGGCCGAGTCTCGCGCCCAGTTTACGACACCCAGTGGGTTTGTCTACCCAGCCCCTCGCCAGCCGAGCGAGTTTTACAAACACAAAGACGCCCCGAGCGCTGCAAGATGCCAAGATTTGCACTCGCCGTGGATTGAGAACCTGTATCACCCCCAGCCATTATCCAGGGGCGGCGAAGGCGAAACCAGTCCGTTCTTTAACAGTCTTCCGTCCAAAGACATGGTGTTTGGGGGCACGAACGCCGACGGCAGCGTGAATGCCGAGTACTTCAAGTCTGTGCACCTTGTGGGCGACGGACTGGCCAAGGAAATGGAGGAAGCCAAGGCCAAGGACCAAAAGGAGTGGATGGACAAGCTCGTGGTGGATCGAGATAACCTCCGGTTCATCGCGCACGGGGATATCATGGGGCAAGGACGGGCGCGGCCGTCGCCGCTCGACAAACCGTGCGACATCCTCGCGGGACCGGTGCGCTCCAAGCCGCTGCGCATCGTCCGCGCGGCCAAACTGCCGAGTGGAAAGGCTGTCCCGCTGCAAGCGATGCCGGTGACCATCATGGACCAAGACGTGTACACGGGCGGCGCGAAGAAGGTGATCGTTCGCGACAAAGACTCCGCACTGTTTATCGCCAAGAACGATCGCGGCGATGCCAAAGACTTTTTGTTTCCGTCCATCACGCAGATCCTTGTGCCAGACGTGAACAAACACACGACGCTGCTCAAGCCAAGGAAGCCGCTTGGGGATGCGGAGAAGGCAGGGCTGCGATGGACCAACCCCAATCAAGACTCGAGATAGGCTAAAGTCGACTGAATGATGGTGATTGGTTCAACAAGGAATGAATGGGGTTCAATGTGACGTGGCAGGCTCTGGCCTGCGGAATTTGGATGGGCCAAATGGGCCAAATGATTGGGCCAAACACGACTTAACAAATCGAAGTAAATAGATTTTCATCTAATATGGTCGAAGTAAAATAGCGTTTTCATCTAATGTGGTGCTTCGATTTTACTACGTAGTACTACTATACGTATAGTAATTAATAAGTCAGAATCGAAGAAAATTGTTGTATATCCGGATACGCACATTATGTTTGTCTGGCTGTACAGAGTGCGAATTGGGGTGCTGAAGCATGGAAGAACAAGGGCAGGTTGTCCAGCTCACCCAAGAAGAGCATGCTGCGCACTTGGCGCAGATGGAGCAGCAATTGAAGGTCTTCTGGGCAGGTCAGTTGGCAGAGATGGAGAAGCTGGAAGTCGGCAGTGAACAAGGTAAACGATGAGTTGCTTGGACGGGAATGGGCCACAACGTGTACACCTACCGTGATAGATTTCAAGAACCACAACGACCTGCCACTCGCCCGAATCAAGCGAATCATGAAGTCCGACGAAGACGTACGAATGATCAGTGCAGAGGCGCCCGTCTTGTTCGCCAAGGCGTGCGAGATGTTCATCTTGGAACTCACGTTGCGATCGTGGGGGTATTCCGAAAAGAACAAGCGCCGCACGTTGCAGAAGGAAGACATCCAGACGGCGATTCGGAATACCGATATCTTCGACTTTCTCGTCGACGTCATCAACTAAGTGCAGCCAGCGAGTCCCATTCAGTGGCAGCGCAGCTCATGAAGCGACCTTCCATCCACCCCTTTGTCCATGCCGTCTAGGGATTGCTGCACAAGCACTCTACCTATTGCGCGCACGTTTTTATTTTGCGAATAACCTAATTGATGCCATGTTACAGCATCACCCCTTGCGTCTTCACATCGCATTCCTCGGAAGCCAACCCCATCTCCTCGTCGTCACTTGCCACCTTTCATCTGAAATCCTCGCATGATCCTTCCTCGCGACATCCATTCCTCCATCCATCCATGCTGGCCTCACGCTTGCGTCGATTCCAGGCGCCGCCGCCGAGAATGGTGTTGACGACACTCCCGACTCTGTAAACACATCGATGACGCAATCATTCCTTGAAAACACACACTCCCATTCGCCGCCCAGCCATTTTCAATTTCGACCCTGACGCAAGAATTATGCCGTTCGACCTTGGCGAACACTGCAGCAAGCCAGGCTGCCACCAGAACGACTTCCTGCCATTTGCATGCGACTGTTGTGCGGGTGTCTTCTGCCTCGAGCATCGCACGTACGATGCCCACTCGTGTCCCAACGCAGGCAGGAAGGACAGCCGCGCCATCACGTGTCCGCTTTGTCGCGCAACGATTCCACTGACCAACGACCAAGACGTGAACGTGATCTTCGAGCAACATACTCGCGCTGGAAATTGCAACCCCGAAAGTTACAACGACAGGAAGAAGGCGAAAGCACGATGTGAAGCCGAGAACTGCCGGGAAATACTCACCGCGTCCAACACTATGCAATGCCCGACGTGCCGCAAGAAGGTGTGTCTGCGGCATCGTTTCGAGACCGACCATCAGTGCAAGCGCCAGCGTCACGTACCTCCCAGTCACCCGAAAGCATCGACTACTCGCACGACTCCGTCATCATCGACTGCACAGTTGCAACAACGATTGAATAGCGTCGGCACCTCCGTTTCTTCCACCGTCTCGCGCTTGGTGGGCAATGCCAAGGTAGCTAACCATCTTGTCACGTTCTATATATGCTAAATATGATTTGGGTGCTTTGCCTAGAATGCCTTTCCAGCCTCGACAACTTCTGCCGCCGTCACCACTTCGACCGACGCGTGTCCGATCTGTCAACAGACATTTCGATATACGTCGCAGTTGATTGCACATGTCAACAACGCTCACCCAGATGTGTCTGGAAGTCGCGTAAGCTGCCCATGATCTACGAATACCGTTGCCTTACATTCGCGACTTTAGAATGCGAGGCCCGCCACTGCCGTCGCCGCACCCCCCCCTGCCCCTGGCACCGCCGAAGCATGCCCGTACTGCCGTGCCACGTTTTCAGAGGTTACGCAGCTCGTGGCGCATGTCGAACGGGACCACGGAAATGTACAAAACAAGTCTGAATGCATTGCCATGTAGGATAGATAGGTAGAGGTAGCTATGGTAGAATGATTAAGCCATCAAGTAAGATGGATCGAATTGACCTAAAGTGTCACCGCCATCCCTACCGTATTGCAATGGATTCGTGATTGAAAAGGAGGGAGAGATGTATTTGTACACACGCAATTCCTTGTGTTTAGATTATCTTTACGGCAACTCCACTGTCTTGGATGGGATCTCACAGATAGCGGCGGTGGCTCGTGCAACGACGTCAACGCCTATCCCGACTTGAACAGCAAGATCGCGACTTGCCCCAGATAAAAGTAGATGAAGTGCTTGGTTTCATGCGTGACGTACGACCCAAAGTTGCGACCGACGATGCAATGCCACGTCGGGTTGTATTTCTTGTCGAACTCTTTCTTGATGAACGCCGCAATGTCCTTTTCGATGTTGTACTTCTCCAACGCTTGCGACGCGCAGTCCACTGCGTCCTGCTGCATGTCTTCATGCATGTCTGCGTTCTTGATCACGGCCTTTCGTTCCGACATCCTTGTTCGTGGCTCGTCGCTCACCGCGCAAAACTCGAAATACCGTCGGTCGCGCCTCTATGTTTCCATACTTTTCGTATCGGCCATTCCAGAACTTTGCCAAGGTATACAAACTTCAAGCCTAATCCCATTTCCTTCCAAACTTGATTTCCACCACAAAATCCAAAGATTTGTTTGGAACAATATAATGTATGAGCCATACAAAGACCAAGTCAAGATCCCATTGCGAATAAAATACTCTGGCCGTTTCCACGCCGGTTCACCCGACCCCGTAACGCCTGGAAGCGAAACCACCACTTGAAACGAGCAAGCAAGCATTCACAGCTCACATCCTATCAACTGGGTTAAAGCCCAAGGCACGGTGTAATGATGTTGCGATAGACCATGGTACCTGGCACCTGTGTATCCAAGGCTGTACAATAATGGTCAAAAGGTTCGACCATGGGATCTAACGTGTCACTTGGTTTGGCCCTCACGCAGTGGGAATTGGAGTTCTCTCAATATGCTTTTCGGGTGTGGAGCTGTGGATGTGCAGCGAAGTTGACCACCAATTGCGGCACGACTGGTACACAATCTGACTAGGTGTAAGCTGGTAAAACGCGTTGTGGTCGAGCTACCAGTAGAGCTTTGACATGCATCACATGTTTAATTGTGCGAAAATATCGGATAACCCTCTATATTTCAATATCCACTCTGCTGGAACTGGGAGTCGGTATGAAGGAAAGGAAGTGAATCCGGATATGCTACCTTTTGAATTTAATATTGTTATGACAGTCAACCTCGACGCAACACACACACCAGATTACTCGGTTGGCACCACAAGCAGCACTTTAGCCATGCAGGTGCTGACGTTGGGCCTCGTGGGGGCTATCATATGCCTGTGGTTCACGTTTGATGCCGGCACATCCATCTTCATCATGCTCGTCATGTTCCTTCTCGTGTCGTACGTCGCAAACCGCGTCCTGTTAGAGTCGTCACCGGCGCACTTTCACGATATCGATGTCGATCATGACGAGGACGTCATATTCGACGACGAGTACGAAGAAGGCGTGGTGAAGTCTGCACCGAAGAGGTCGCATCCTGGTGAGAAGCAGTCGTGGAATGTTCCAGCCCTCCACATTCGTGAACTGGTCATGCCATCGACTACTTCCCAACTGCGGAAAGATACGCTACAGGTAGGCCAGGAGCTGTGGCCCAACTCGGACACGCCCGTGGAGATCGAGAACGAGTACTTCAGCGGCCGCATCCTGTTTCTGCTCAAGACGGAGCCACGCAGTCCAACGTGGGGCCAACTGTTTGTCGGCCGTCGGCGACTCTTTTGGATCCAATTGCAAGGCAAGTTCAAGAAACAACCGCAAGGCATCGTGTATGTGGGTGGCGAGATCCCAAACAAGATGAAGTTGGGTTTTTTCGCCAAGGGGCTGTGCCGCGTGTTGCTGTCTGTGATCAACTGCCTGGTTGTGGGCTTGCACAATAGCTTTGGGCGGTTGTATCCTGGTGACGTGGCGGCAGTCGACGACGAAGAGCTGCCGCACTTGGCATTTCCGCTGCATTCTTCCGTGGACGAGTTCATTTGCACGCCGGCAGGAGAGGACCCGCCGGCGTTGGGGGCGGACGGCTTTATGGAAACCCGGGAAGAGCGGGCCCACCGCCGGTCCGGCAAGCACCCGTACGAGTTCAACACGCACGACACGTACTCGTTTTCATTTTTCAACTTTTACCTCGACTTTGAAAACTGGAAGGTTGTGAACGCCCCGGGCGTGCCGGACATCCATTTGGCCCAGTTTTGGGGCAACATGCCCCTGCGCATCGTGTCGTACAGTTTGGCCCAACCGTCCCCTCGACACACTCGCGCCCTCAAGCTGTACCACTTTTGCTTTGAGCTGACCCCGCCCACGAGTCAGTTGGACTCGTCGTTCATGCGGACGGCGGCGGACGTGGCAGCCATTGATGTGGATGCGGAAGAGCTCGAGTTTCTCCGCGACGAGCAAAACGCGCACACGCAGCTCGCCAACGAACTGAGCTGCTTTGTGTTTACTGTGCCCGCATGGCTCGAGTACTTTAGCACCCACGACAGCGCCAAAGGCCCCGGCCAGCGCCGGGTGGCCTATGTGTTTGACATTTTGGAGTACGCCGACTCGAGCCGGACGCGGCTCAAGCGGCACCACGTAGCCATCCACGGCGCGTCGCAGTCGCACATGCCGCTCACGCTCGCCAACGAACACCCGACGGGGGACGCATTCGGCAAGCAGTTTGAGTTCACGGTCGAGTCCAAGTTGGAGAGCGGGGCGGCGATTGAAAAAGAGCGCGTGGACATGGAGTCGCGGCTGGTGGAGATTTCGCGCGACCGTATCATGGCGACGGACACGGATGGCCAGAATCATTGGCAGCGGCGGTCCATTGCGCACTTGATTGCGGCCAAGAACCAGCTCAAGCGGCTGCTCACGTCACCCAGCACGGTGCTGCCGTACGCGCCTTTCTTTGCGGCGCGGGGCCTCGTAGCCAACGCCACCCAGTGCCATGTGGTGCGCATGGTGCGCGATTCGCACTGGCGCAATGAGTGGATGATCCTAGACACGGGCAAGTCCAAAGCGCTGCGTTTCTTCCGGATGTCGTCGTCCACGGCGTGCGTGACGATCCACGTCGCAGATATCTTGGCGCTGTCGTCCGCCGCCGCACTCAACCTCCCCGCCACGGGCAACTGCAACGGCATGCACTGGTTTCAAATCGAAACCCTTGCCCGGGTGCACGTGGTGGCGGTGGCCAGCTACCAAGAATTTGAGTTTTGGACGTCGGCGCTCGCTGGCGAAGTGGACAAAATCGTCGCGGATGGCAAGGACGTGCTGGCTCGGTCCGTGCTCGGCCAGCCATTCCGCTCGATTGCAACCACTTTGGGCAAAGTGCGGCACCCCAAGGACGTATTCGCCCCCACTCACGACGGCCGAATTATGCTCAACGACCGCCGCATCGCCGCGCGATTTGGACAGCATCCGTCGTCGACGTCGACAGACTTGAAACGGTTTGCGGACGTATGTGGCATCGCCGAGAAAGCGCTGCGCATGGTTCTTGTACTGACCAAGCACCCCACGGTGTGCCTCACAAGCGAAGTGCTGACGTTTCTCGATATGGTGTCGTCGTTGAAACGCACATTGCCTTTGCTGGCGTCGATGCAAAGCGCGCCCCCCGCGGCCCACCGCACGGCGTTCTTCTTGAACGTGTACCATATCCTAGTGCTGCACGGGTCGTTCCTGGAGCTGCTACCGACTGTCAAGCCCAAGTTGCACTGGAGTTCGTTCTACCACGGCGTGTCATACGACATTGCCGGGATGTCACTCACGCCCGCCGAGATTGACCACGCCATCGTCCGCGCGTCGCTGTGCCCGCTCAAGCCGCCGTTTCCCGCGTTCGTCGTGCCTCGGTTCGCAGACGACGACCCGCGAAGTGCGCTGAAGCTGCCGACGGCAGACTACCGCCTCGACTTTGCCCTGAATTGCCTCACCAAGTCATGCGTCCAAGTGATTGCCGTGTTTAGAGGGGACGACCTGGACCGGCAACTCGACTACATTTGCCGCGTCGTCCTCAGCACCCTCATGTCGACCGACTCGAAGCGCCATGTGATCTACTTGCCTCGGATATGCGAATGGTACCATGCGGACTTTCCAGGCGACGACCAAGTGCTGTCGAAAGTGACAACGTTAGCGAGTCATTTGGACGGCGACATCAAGCGGGCAGTGGACGCCCTGCTCAGCCACCCCACGAAGCTCTCGATCAAGTATTTAAAGTACGACTATGGCTACCACAACACCATCTACCTCACCGGCGACGAGTAGTTCGTACCAGTAGTAGTAGTACTAGTAGTAGTAGAAGTAGTATCGTTGTAGTTAATGTAACTTACAGTGCATTGTTTGTATCCTACCTGATACACTGGCTAGCTGGCTGGCTGGCAGGTAGCCGTGTCAAAAATAGCAATAATGAACTCGAACTCCGTCATACGTGGCACGTTGTGGTGCTTGTAACGCGAACGCAGATGAAGATTCAACCACCATGGTCCTGGGCTGTGATTGGGTGATATTTTGAGAACTTTCACATGCAATCAATATTAATATTCACCTTGCACCAAGGGTTAATTGAAACAAGCAACGACATGCATACGGCTTCCAATATAAAATTAAAACAAAACATATTAATAATGCGTGTATACAATTGAAATTCGAACGAAGTCGGACGTGATTACAACCCACACATCGTTTCAGCATTGGCATTGTGGATTCTTCCCCTCGACATATGGGCCATCGTATTCCCATTGCCGCGGCGACGGCTGCCAACATGCACCCGTGGAATGCCCCGTCATTGAGCGTCCATGAGACTAGTGTGCCGTCGAAAAGCATGCATCCGTCATCACCGCTGCGAAAGGGCAAAGTGATTGTGCCCAACTCGGATGCACCCATTCGGTTCGAAAACGAGTTGTTCAGCGGCCAGATCTTATTCCTCCTGAAAACAGACCCGATGCCGTCCAAGTGGTCACACTTGTTTGCAGGTCGACGTCGGTCGTTTTGGATTCAGCTCCAGGGGCGCTTCAAGCAACCTCCGCTGGGCCAAGTGTACATTGGCGGCGAAGTGCCGAGGAAAATGCACCTCGGACTCATCACACGTTCGTTCTGTGGCATTTTACTTGGCGTGCTCAACCTTCTTGTGGTCGGTTTGCACTACAGTCTCGGGTTGTCGTCACCCGACGACGTGAGCCATGCCTCCGACGAAGAGCTGGGTCACATTTGTTTCCCGCTGCACTCGTCCGTCGATGAATTCGTGTGCACCCCGTCTGGACAAGTGCCGCCATCGTTGGGGGTGGAAAGTTTTGGCGAGTCGGCAGCCGCGCGGGCAGAGCGAAAGGCCACGAAGGACCTGTACAAGTACAATACCCAAGACACGTACACGTTTTCGTTCTTCAGCTTCTACATCGACTTTGTTTCGTGGAAACTCGTGCACGTGCCTGGCTTGCCCACCATCAACTTGGAGCGATTTTGGGACTCCATGCCCCTGCGCATCGTGTCGTACAGCGTCGCCGCGGAGATGGGCACGGGCGAACATCACAAAAAGCCCACGCACACCCAAGCGGACAAGGAGTATTACATGAGCGTTGAGTTGGACCCGGCGGCCATTATAGCGTCACGTCGATAAATAATACTATCAAATTATAATTGATTTTACAACCCAAGCCTGCTATTAAAACCTACTTAGCAGAGTACATAATTGCTCGGTAACATTTCGACCCTAGCCCCTGCACGCCTTACAACACAAGGAAAATATGGTCATGTTCACGAGGCAAATTATACTTACTCGTCAAATGTTGTATCCAGTATGCATGGTACAAGTAGCAGAGGCGTGTCCTTGTCGCATGTCAGGGGATGCTTGGTGTTGCTGGTGGTGGTAGGATGGCACTTGGGGGGGATGCTGCTGGTGGTGGTGGTGGTGTTCTTGGTGGCGGTGTTGGTGCAGGGGGTGGTGGGGACGGGGACACTCCAAGGCCATACTGTGCGGCAGTAGTGGACGCAGGGCTTGCTTGGTGTCGGGAGGGGGAAGAAAGTTCGGGTCATCCTTCAGGTTGAGTGCGACGAGGAGGGTGTCTAGCACTGTCGGGGCGTCTAAAGTTGGCAGCGCCAGGATTTTAGCGATGGCGGAGTCGGCGTCTTGCTTTGTGAACGCCATTTGGGTCCGGCTGGGGGGTTTCTTGTTGCTTTGGCTTGAGATGGCCACGACGGCAGACGCCACGATGGCCAGCAAGTCAGTCGAGGCTGTCTGTGGGACCGACGCCTCTTCGAGTGCTGTCAGGAGCATGTCTTCCTCGTCCACCGTGATCGTGACACTGCAGTCGTAAATCCTAAATTCCGCGTCGTCATGCTCGTCTTCGGTTGCTACGATCGCCAGGATCATCAACACCATACGATTCACTTGGTTACCACCCACGAATCATGGTTCCTGCCATACCTCGGTCAACGGGGGCTGAAGGGTGCTGCAGGTGCATGGTGACGTGGTGGCCGCTTTCTATGAGCGCCATGTCAAACAGTAGCTTTTGATACCGCTCGCGTACGCCCTTGGCAGACTTGTTCGCGAATTTCGTGGCAATGATTTCCCACGGGTAGTACGCACAATTGCTGTAATGGGCGAGCAATTCTTCAAACAACTGGTCATCCGCGCGTGTCCAGCGACTGTCGACCACTTGCATCGCGTGCATTTCCTTTCTCTTTTGCGTATTGACCATTTGAAGCTGCAAAAAGTACCGGTTCGCATGCAGTTTGACGTCTTTGAAGTTGCGCGTGCCAACGTAGTCTGCGATCATCGTCCACACGGCGCTACTTGGTGTGCAGTGGCCACACTTCTCCAACGCTTCCAGGAACCGGCAGTGCTCTTCATGTGTCCAAAAGTGCGGCGAAATAGGGTTGCACACTTTCTTGCCCATGACACAATGCCGACCTCGTGAAATGGCGCACTGAAAGGTCAGGCCAAAACGGTATCCCCCCAAAGGTCACAGTCCCTTTTCGTTCGTGGCATGAGTTTCTACGCATTATATTGACACTCAATACAAATGGCTTGTTGGAGTTGAATATTGTAATAAAATTACACCCTTGGCTTTATTTTATCAACCGACACACGTATCCGGACAACGCATTTCAAAAGATTGCAACAGGATGGCAGTGCGCGCGCCAAGCCGAGGCGGCGACGAGGAAAGGGCGTTTGACGCGGAATTGATCCTGTTTGTCCCGGAAGAGGAACGAGTTGCAGTCATGGTGGAAGCATGCTCAAAGCATAGTCGGTCCTTTGTGGCACACGTTTATCGTCCGTTCCTCTCGTATGCACTACAACACCCTCATGCGACGTCGCTCCCTGCACTCTTGCGACGAGTACGTACCTTGTGCAGATCATTGCATGCGTTCGTTCACGAGTCGAAAATGTGTCTAGTTCCTGGAAGAAGTGGATCTTGCGAAGCGAGTCAGTATGATTCGAATTGGATGGGAAGAGCTGGAAAAAGTACTGGCGGCAAACCACGACAACAATACAGGTACGCGCACCTCCATGTTCCATTCAGTCCCGTTGAATTCGTCGCAATAGTGTGCGTCGTAGCTCTGGAATCCTTTCTCGCCACTTGTCCCATGCAAGTTGAAAGCATGGTTGACTTTATTGAGCGGACAATGACGTGCGATCTGTCCAAGGACGTTCGCAAGCAAGTCATGCAGAGTACGATTGTGTGTGTATTCGCATGACCGGTGCCGTTTAGCCCTGAGCTTGCTAGGTGTTTATCGCTGCAACTTGAGCGACGATGCAAAGCGATGGTACTTTGTCCAAGCTATGCAGCTGGAATCGACGAGGTACGTCCATCAGGAATCGCTCATGTCACCCTCACGCGTTCAGCCACCTGCGCGAGTTTGCTTTGGGATACCTGCAAAAGATGGACCTCTCCCATGACGCCGCGCTGCACGCGATTGTAAACCAATTGCGAGACAAATCGAAACGAGTTGCTCAAATCCGCACATAATATACTATCATTTGACGCAGGTGGCTTGTGTTGTAGATGCACACGATGGCGCTTTCCTTTCCTTGAAACCATTTTCAAGGTGCGAGACACAGTGCATCGACTTCTCCTTTTCACATGTGTGTCTAGGTCGATCCCAAGGTGGTGTGGATGCATGATTTCCCGCACTTGTTCGTCTCGTGAATGCCACGGATAGACTCTGATGGATCACATCGGTGTCACGTCCATGGCGCAATGCCTCGGACTCGTGTCGAACCTTGCCAACCCCAACGACGACAGCCATCGCATCGCCCTGGCGCGCATGTGTACGTATCTAGATTCATTCATTCCATCCAACCATCTTCGTGGAAGTCGATGTTCACACTATTTAGTGGTCGTGTATGCTACCCATCCAACGCACACCCTGGCTGTGACGTGTGATCGGTTGACACTTTTGGACTCGTTTCGTACGGACGTTCTCGACGACGTGGTGCGCGACCAGATCGGGCGGTTGGTGTTGCCGTCGTTCTTCGTCGCGCGGTTGTTATAACAAGATCACACCTTTGGTTTTGAAGTATCGAATGCCCACATAAATGAGGACCCCCGCGGCGGTCGTGGACACGCCCAAGACGGCCCAGAACAGATGCGGCTGCGTTTCGTAGCCAGACACGAGGTTCATGCCAAACGCACTCGACACGAACATGGCCAAGTTCATCGCGAGCATCACCATGCCAAAGATCGTGTCGATCGAGAGCAGGGCGTTGCGGACCGAGTCGAGTTTCAGCATCACAATGTTTTCCGTGTTGACCATGCGCGTTTGAAGCAGCCCCACCTTGGTGCGCATCGCGTGAATGTCCTACGGGACATACGCCACACCATCCGTCGATCTCAACAACAGTCTCGACTCCATCAACTCCTCTTACAAGCAGATACGCCTCCACGAGTGCTTCCGCTTCTTCCACGTCCAGCCCCATCGAGTCTGCGACGATCGTCGGGTTGTGGTACAGCTACCACCAGCATCACGAACGAACTGACACACGTGATGGCAACGACCGTACCTTGGACAAGTAGAGCAATCGCATGTCTTGGTCGTTGTCGAGCAACTCCATGAGAATTCGCCGAGTGTCCAAGATCTACGAGAAAATATTCACGTGAGACCATGCCGTCGTGTAGATGCTGCCGACCTGCGACTCAAACTCGTGCACTTTGTTCTTGAGGATCGTCAGCGTTTCCAACTCCCCCGACGCAAACGACGCGCTGGACAGTCGCGTCAACGCCAGCGATACCTTGTCCACGAGCTTCTCGCAGTCACCACTGAGCAGTCTACAGAGATCCATCGAGATACTGTATGTCACGATGGGAACGGTACTTGCACAGCGTGTAGAAAATGGCCTCGAGTGCCCTATACGAAGGATGTTCAAGTTGTCCCAGGAACACTTGCATGAAGAAACAAACGGTAATACCGGAATTCAAACGCGATGTCGTCGTCCTCAGCGCAGCATTGAGCGACCTTGTCGCGTAAGATCTGGATCAACGTGTCGGCTCCCGTGGGAACGAACATGAGCAACGCATTGCGCATGACCACGCAACGCAATGGACCTGGTGGGAACGTGAGTCGTCGTCAGGACATACGTGCAGAACGAAGGGTAGTAGTGTAGCTACCGCAATGGACCAAAATGACTTGTCTCCGAATCGTGATGGACGTGGCGTTGTCCATGTTGTCATCGAGGTTCCGCAGGTCGCGCATATGCAATGCCTAATGGAGTGTCAACGCACACACAGTCGATGTGCACGAGGCAATCGCACCTGAACTTCGGCATTCACGGGCAATTGACTGAAGCTAGCTCGCCGCCGCAACCGTTGCCCACTCGTCATGTGGGATGTGGGTGCAACCGATGCATTTCGATGCGATGGTGCCTTTCGATGGTCCTTGTCTGGTCGTGTGGCGTCTTGCACCACCTTCAACACGTCGGATCGCGCCATCTCAACGTATTCCATCTTGCCAGAGGTGTCGAACTTGAGCACCTACGTATTGAGCCGTCGAGAAACTAACCCCTGCATCATCATGAACTATACCATTCTCTTGGAGTTCAGTGCATCGAGGCCCAAAAGCAATCCATGTTCGTGGCTCGTGCAGAAGTCGTGCTCGATCAATGCCTTCGTTGGGGTGCCAAATTGACCAAACACCCAATTCGGCGGCTACATGAGGTCCACTTCCACAGTCATGATGACTCCGTTGCGGTCATGCATTACGACGTACCTCACTAGTGTTGCACGATCCGTACTTGGTCATATCGGTGTCGACCAATCTCGACTTCGCCATGCCTTCTTGGATATCTTCAGCGCAGAAACCGGAACATATCTTGCGTCGGTCAATCCGAATATTATTACGAAGCACACATCTTGAATAAAGTAAGGCTTATCCCGCCATCCACGTATTTTAATTCCGACCAATCGCAGTCGGCGCTGGAGATCTTCTTCGACATCGTTTCTGCCCAGTCGCATTATTACTCAAATTGAAGCAAGATGGCGTGGTTTTCCTCTGGCACGACGAACGACGAGTTGGCGATGGCCCTCAAAGGTGCACTACGTCGTCTTGATGGACACTGACCGAGGCCGTGTAGGTCACGACATCATCAAGTCCAAGGAAGTGCTGGATGCATTCCGACAGGTCGATCGCGCTTTCTTTGTTCCTCGAACCATGCTTTCCAGGGCTTACAAAGATTACCCGATTCGAGAAGGCACCCTGCACTTGAGGTAGATGGTGGACCAGTATGTGGAAGAGATGATGAAACATGTTTAGCGCCCCACACATCTACGCTCAAGTGATGGAAGCGCTGGAACTTCATCCTGGCGCGTCATTTTTGAATGTTGGGTCGGGAAGCGGGTACTTGTCGTGCTTGGTGGGTGCGATCACGGGCAAGGTTCGTATATCTTTGTTGGTGGTTCAGACCTTGAACGAGATGCTCATTCGTTTACAGGATTCCATCAACCACGGGCTTGAAATCGACCCCGGCGTCGTCGACTCGTGTCGGGCTTCGTTGACTCAATATGCGAACCACCAACGTCGAGGTAGCGCTCGTGACGCGCCACCCAACAATCAGGTCGACGACTCGGACGACGAGGATGGCGGCACCAGCGAACTCTCTGACGAGGACATGCACGAGGTTGAAGTTCCCCAGCAAGGCATTGAACGACGATGCCTTCTTGGATATCTTCAGCGCAGAAACCGGAACATATCTTGCGTCGGTCAATCCGAATATTATTACGAAGCACACATCTTGAATAAAGTAAGGCTTATCCCGCCATCCACGTATTTTAATTCCGACCAATCGCAGTCGGCGCTGGAGATCTTCTTCGACATCGTTTCTGCCCAGTCGCATTATTACTCAAATTGAAGCAAGATGGCGTGGTTTTCCTCTGGCACGACGAACGACGAGTTGGCGATGGCCCTCAAAGGTGCACTACGTCGTCTTGATGGACACTGACCGAGGCCGTGTAGGTCACGACATCATCAAGTCCAAGGAAGTGCTGGATGCATTCCGACAGGTCGATCGCGCTTTCTTTGTTCCTCGAACCATGCTTTCCAGGGCTTACAAAGATTACCCGATTCGAGAAGGCACCCTGCACTTGAGGTAGATGGTGGACCAGTATGTGGAAGAGATGATGAAACATGTTTAGCGCCCCACACATCTACGCTCAAGTGATGGAAGCGCTGGAACTTCATCCTGGCGCGTCATTTTTGAATGTTGGGTCGGGAAGCGGGTACTTGTCGTGCTTGGTGGGTGCGATCACGGGCAAGGTTCGTATATCTTTGTTGGTGGTTCAGACCTTGAACGAGATGCTCATTCGTTTACAGGATTCCATCAACCACGGGCTTGAAATCGACCCCGGCGTCGTCGACTCGTGTCGGGCTTCGTTGACTCAATATGCGAACCACCAACGTCGAGGTAGCGCTCGTGACGCGCCACCCAACAATCAGGTCGACGACTCGGACGACGAGGATGGCGGCACCAGCGAACTCTCTGACGAGGACATGCACGAGGTTGAAGTTCCCCAGCAAGGCATTGAACGAGCCAACAAGCAAGTCGATGCGAGTTTCAGTGTGTGCCACGTCGTGTGCGGCGACGTGTTTCGCATGAATGTGGCCAAGAACATGAAATACGACCGGTACGTTCCATTTCGCAAGATCTGATGAGGGCTTAGCTTTGAGTTTTGCAGCATTTACGTGGGCGCGAGGGCCCCCGAGCGGTTGCAGGACATGATGAAGGAGCTTCTGAATCCGTTTGGAATTGTCGTGGTACGGGGGGGTTGGTAATCGATCATCCACAGAGTATGTCTCGATCTTGTAGGGGCCCTTTGAAGGCAAACTGAAGAAGATCCGCCGCCGCGACGGCGACCAATTCTCGGAGGTGGTGCTGGGCAATGTCACATTTGCCCCGATGCGCGAAGTGTCCAACAATGGCGACCCGATTGAGGACGCCATTTGTTATTTTCCGCCCCAAGGTAGAGATCATTTGAGGTATCTCGATGGACTTTGCCTTGACCGACTTGGTAGTGTGGTCACAACAGCGCCATCAGACGTATCCCCGTCGATTCAAAGAAGCCGTTCATTCGCTCATGACGACGGACAGCCGCTTGCCGTCCACGCTGTGGCTGCGGGTGTTTGAGTAGGATGGGTTGACGAACCATACACGTTAGGTGACATTTGTGGGCTTAGGTTTTGCTCGTATGATTGGTTCCACGAAGAGCTGAACGACATGGCCAAGCTACGTGTGCTGCTGGAGAGTACGTCGACTATAAGACATGATCTAATGTGTGTGTGATGGGTCAGTTGAGTCGAATTCGCGCGAAGATGCCGAGAAGCGAGCGCTTAAAGCTGAAGTCGAGCGCGACAAGTTCCGCTTGCTGTTGTGGCGCCAGCAAAACCAGATCCAGCACCTCATGGCGAGGTCGTGTCCTTGATGAGTATGTACGCGGCAATGGTGATGTGGGATTGTGGCGTGCGTAGGTTGGCGCGAGGGGAATTGCAAGAAAATGCGAACAACCCGATCAGGGCCGGCCACGAAGGCGACGCAGGGGATGACGATGAGTTGGTGTCAAGCGACGACGATATGTCGGACGACGACGACGACCTTTAGCAACACATGATGCATTTGCAATGTATTTTGTACCATTAAGTAGGAGAAATGGAAACACTAGGATGTGCACGACATGGTACAGTTTCTGGAGAGTGTGAGAGGTCGCTATGCCACGTCACACGCTAACTGGAAAACATTAATATAATTAAGGCAAACTGCTAACATATAATTAAGGCAAACTGCAACTGGTGGTCAATTGATATTATTACAGCAAGGAAATTTGAATAAAGTACTGTAAGGCTTGCCACGCCATCGGAGGATTTATATACGGACCAATCGTAGTGTGGCAATCCGAGTCATAGCTTGCTTCAATGTTGAAGCCATCCATCAATCGCACCAGCAACCATGAGTAATTAACTGATGTGAGTTTTGGATTATCACTAGGAGTTCCGAGTACATACTATAATCGTAGTATAGTAACGCTAAGCTAATGCAGTTTTCAGAAAAGCATGAGCCAATTAAAATCGATTTACTTCTTTTTTTGCACGACTTAGAAAAACACGTCAAGGACTTCATTTTCTACTTTTGGTATAGTGAGTTGTGTGGAAAATCGCAGAAAAAGAAGTAGAAAAAGGAGGAAACTACGGGTAACGTTAGGTTAGCACTTTTTCATTTTGCTAGAAATATCTACTTGGGATAGAGAATGAATGGCAAGTCGGCGATGGATCTCAAACGTGCGGATGGGCTGAGGCCATGCATATTAAGATGAATGTTTCATCAAGTCCAAGACAGTAATGGACGCGTTTTGGCAGGTCGGTCGCGTTTTCTTGGTTCTATGGTGCATTTCAACTAAAGACTACAAAAAAATGCCTTGTCTATTCCAACTTTGTATTGATATTTATTAGGAAAATATGCCGTAATAACGATAGAACTGGTCAAGACCAACAGAAGTTACGGTTCAAAATTTCGATTGGTGAAAAATTGATCGAGTAATAGAATTTAAACCAACCAGCCTTTTTGTATGGAAATATATGGAGGCAGGCACATTTTGGCCGAAAAGGAGCATCAAATATATCTTGGTCTTTGTATACGGCACTTATCCGTATGAACGTTTCCATTGTATCCGGATTATTTATATCAGGATGTTTAACCTATTTACCAGATAAAAAACGTAAGTAAAAATAATTTAACGTCAACATTACGTGGGTTTAACTGAAATAACCGAGGCGTTTAATAGTAAAACGTCTCCTCCTGAGGATGGCCGATCTGTAGTCTTTAGATGAAATGCACCATACCGACCACATTTTCCAGACTAACTGTATGTATAGTCCTTTAACCCAAAATTTGGACTTTTTCGATCGATTCTTTGTATTGACTTTTGTATGTAAAGATCGTCCTTGTCACGTCGCATATTTTGAAATCAGCCGACGACTATGACGAATTGGCGATGGCTACAACATCGGATGGACACGTTCTGAGGCCATTTATGTGGTAGATGAAGGCTCCATCAAGTCCAAGGAAGTGCTGGGCGTTTATCGGTGTTTGCATGCGCCTCAGGGCCTACAGAGATGGCCCCACTGACTTTGCTTGAAGATATGTAGAATTACTTGCAGAAACGACATACAAGGTTTGAACAAAGTTGAGTTGTACATGTTAGATGATGACGCCTCGTTTGCGGAAGAACGCAATACCAACGTAGACCGACACGACGGCGCAAAGGACGGTGATGGCGAGGACGGCTACGAAGGCCCCTTGGGTTTGTTCGAGGCCGGACGTGAGATTCATGCCGAAGGCCGCCGTGACGAACATGCCAAACGTCATGCAGACCATGATGAGCGTGAAGAGCATGTCCGCCGTGAGGAGGTAGTTGCGCACGGCGTCCATCTTGAGCATCACGACGCTCTCCGTGTTTTGGATGCGGTGCAGCATCAGCGCGACCTTGGTCTTGGTGTTGTGGATGTCCTGGAGGTACACTTCGAGCAGCGACTCGGCTTCTTCCGCGTCAAAACTCCACAGTTCGTTCATCATGATTGGGTTTGCAAACAACTAGTACACAACCAAGCGTACCGATGACATCAACTCGTTCGAGATGCACACAGTACGTACGTACCTGCGTGAGGTAGAGCAAGTGCAAGTCCACTTCATTGTCGAGGATTTCCATGAGCACTCGTCGCAGTCCATTCACCTACCCCATCAACTTTGTTTGCATCTCATGTGAAACCCAGACAAGGAAGGGTTACTTGGGATTCGAATTCGTTCATGGCGTTTTTGAGCGTGCGCAGCGTCTCGAGCTCCCCTGATGACATTTGGGCACTGGCGAGGCGCTCCAGGGACGAGTTCACGATGGGGGCCATGCGCTCAAAATCATTGGCGAGGAACCTAAGTAATAGTGAACGAGTCCATCCCATATGACCAAGGCGGGGGGGGTATGTAGTACCTGCACACGGTCGAGAGGATGGCTTCGAGGGCACTACAGCGATGATGTAGAAAACCCAAAGCATCTCATCGTTTCAGGGGAAGCGTACCGAAACTCAAACGCCATTTGGTTGTCGTCGTCTTCGCCGTGGGTGTCGTGGAAGTTTTGCTTGAGCAGGTCCACCAACGCATGGTTCGTGTCGGGGACAAACATCAAGCAGCAGTCCCGCATGATGACAGATCGAATCGGGTCTGCACATGAGCACGTTATGATAATGATTGAGAGAGACTGACGACGCGTGGACCTGCGTTGATCAAGATGGCCTGCTTCCGCACCACGATGGACGGCTCATATGACTCGACGAAGGCGTAGTCCAACTTGCGCAAATCCCGCATGTGGACCATCTGCATTTGGCATCGTAACCGAACGAGTCATCTTGCCATGGCAATAAACGACGACCTACCTGTGCGTCGGACACGGACAGTCCATGCGGATGTGAGGGATTGGGCAGACGACCCGTGATGGATGGACCTGCATGCAAGATGCGATAACGTGATGGATGGATGGGATGGGGAAAGAGCCTGGCGTACCAACGGGAGTTCCATCTGATGGTTGTTTTGCGGCATGCGGCGACCCTCCAAGCGCTGCAGCCGCTTGCTGGGTCATCTTCAATACGTCGGCTCGACGCATGCGTAGCATCGTTGCGTTTCCATGCACGTCAAATTTAAGCACCTACCCAATTCTTCATGTCAGAACCCATCGAGGTGTCGATGGCCTAGTACGTCTTGAAGGCCAGTCTTCGAGAAGGAGTCCTGTGAGTCGCGAGCGAGTGGATTGGGGCGCACTGGCAGCATGTCGACAGTGACAATCTCCTTGAGCGTGTTCCGATGCACTTGGACCCACGGACTTGACTCGAGCGATGGCTTCAGTGGCGGGATGGTCGACGTCATGATGGTTCACACTGTGCCGATTGATCTTCTAACTTTATCGTTTTTGGAAGATACGTTGTTTATCCGGATACATCCGGTTGTCGAAGTTTTCCAAGCATTTCATTGGTGGGTGTGATAACGTGCAACTTCGAAATGGAAATTGCTTGGATCAATTGGAAAACACAAGATGCCGAAAAAATGAGTCAAATCAATAATATATATTAATAAGACCATTAACTTGCTTATTACGATAACTTCTGGGGGTTTACGTAGTGGACACGACGAATGGCTTGTTCACGCGAGGCGCAAAAGAGCATGAATGCACCGCCCTGGCCCAAGACAACAGCTTGAGCAATGAACACGAAGCCGGAAGTGATGGCAGTTGCCGCAGTACGTTGCTCGGAGGCGACAATAAGGGCGCTGGTTGCAGTCAACGAGATCGCATCTACGATGAGAAACCACTGGGGCAATGCGTGCATTTCTTGAGGGAATTGCTTGAGAAACGAAAACAGTGTGCCCAGGGCACCAAGCGGGGTCGTGCCGGGGGAAGTGGCGACGGGAAGGACAAACCCGACCCAGTAGTGCAGTGACAACAGCACCGCAAATGAGTAGTAGAGTTGAGTGGCCGTCACAGAAGCCGCCACCGCGTCTTTTACAGAGGACGGCGGTGTCGTGCCAACGGTGACAACTGGCCAAATCCACGGAGACACGATGGGCCAAAATTGAAATACGACGAACGCCACGGGGTAGTACACGTCAGGACCGAAGCCTAAGTACAAGAGGGCAGCACCCAAAACCACATTCGCCAACGCAATGAACGCCAGCAGTCGAGGAGTGCCGACGCTGATGGAGGACGGCCGATCCACTGGTGCCTGATGCGCCAACGGACTTGTATGGGAGTAGAGAAACGACGGGAGCCACATCGCTGGAATGACCACGGATATGCCAATGTATTGCATCAAGTAAGCAGTCAGACTGGCCGAGGCTGCAACACCTCGAGATGCCACCCGCGTGGATTCCACCCCCACGAAGATCGTGTTGCTCAGTGCCGCACTGAAGAGGAGGGCGTTGGTCAACGTCGCCACCAATGGAGACGGGAAGTCGCGACAGTCTTTGAAAAAGTGCGTCAATACACACACTTGGTTGTCAAGGTAGGGAACCCCAAGGCGAAGGAACGGGTCCGGACCCCCTCCGGGGGTGGCATGCGGCAGTCCTTCAAGGCCAAAGAAGTCTCGGCATTGCGACGGAGGCTTCCATTTCTCAAGCACAGGGCTCAGTAGAACAAACGTTCCAAGTCCGATCGCCACACCCACAACGCTCGCCAACACACGCATCCCACAAGCTTCGATCCACTTCGAATTTGTTCCCCATCCCTTTTGAGTTTGGTTGCATAGTACTATTAATAGTAGTACTACATATTAATACTTCTACTAATACTTCGAAGTAGTAGTACTATTAATCTTATCACAAACTTTATTAGTATTACTACACCGTTGTCCGGTTAATTACCAAATACTTCCTCCACTCCAAAAAGGTGGAGACAACTTTTTTGGTTTGTTTTTTATCTTTGTATTTGTATGCTCGAAGCCCGTCAAAACTGTATTCAATTTGGGACTTTCACGACGAAAGTAAACATGATGTGATTCATTCTTAGTCGTCAGCGACAGTGCTCATATCATCAACCATTGTGCAGAATTGATCAATATTGGACATATTGATCGAACCCTCAATCGACGCAAGCACACTCGATAGGTTATCTACTCTACGCTCAAAGTCTTTACGGCTTTTCATGGCTTCAATGGCACAGATTAAATCTGGGTCACATTCCAAGCGAGGGCTCACTGGTCCACGTCTTACGAGCTTGTCTTTGTGCAAATGAGGCAATTTGTACGTACGAGTTGTCCCCGTCCATCTTCAAAGACTCTTCCATAACCTTTTGAAGGGTCATAAACGTCTTGTCGAGCACACGGAAATCGAGTTCGTCGAACGCACCATGAACAGCCAGGATAATATCGTCAATACCAGTGACGACTTGTCGATGCTGCAGCGCTTGAATAGAGTTGAAAAACCCCAGGTCGAGGACGTTGAAGTCTGGGCTCATCGCAGGCTGTGCAACCAGTTGGTTTGTCTAGATATGCCGTACTTCAAGTATTAATACTATACGTATACGTACTGTAGCGCGACAGCGAAACGAAAGGTCAACTTCACATTATATAAATGTCACCCTAATACTATCAATAGGGATATTTTGCAAATATTATACTATTCATAGTAAATCAAAAGCACAGAGGCGGCAACAGCTTGGGACACTCGTGCTGTGGCTGTGGCAGGTTGTGTTGGTCAGTGCATATCCCAGGGATGTAAGTCAATCAACAAGTTGTACTACTCTTTCCTTGAAATACGCTAGTTTACTACGTTTGCATGGCTTCCAATTCCGCGATCTCACCGACATAAACACAGTACATGAAGGGTGTTACATGATTGATGGTGTCACCTTAAGACAGCGGCAGGAACGACGTGGCATCGAACACGGCCACGTGCATGTACTTGTTGTACAGCGTCTCAGACAGAGCCAACGGGTCGCCTTGGGGCGCGATGGGGTACGACTTGGTCTCCCGATTCCACGCGAGTTCAAACGCCTCGGTGACCTTTCGGACCGCCGCTTCATCCACTGGCCGGCGCTGCTCGAACGCCGCTACGACGTCCTTGAGCCAAAACTGCCACCGCGGCAGGTAGTAGGACGACACGAGGCCGGCCCACTGTTTGGTCGCGTAGTCGCCCAGCACGTTGCCGTTCGCGTCGCCCCACCGGGTCACTTGGTTGCGCGCTTCGTACTCGTAGTACAAACTCAGGTCAGACATGCCATCGTGTCCGGCCAACGCCTTGGCATCATACAGCCACTTGCCGAGCAAAAAGTCTTGATGTGTGCCTAGAATGCGGTCCATGTCTTGCATGATGTCCAGGATAACGCGGGCGCGGCCTTGAATCTATCCCCGCCACACAATATGAACAACAACCTTGAGATGTGGATATTCTGTCTAGACGAACCTACCTGCTTCAACGGGGTGTGATCGTTGTGGAAATCTCGCTCCAGACCTTGGTAGTGTTTGTATAAGAGGTCGCTCAGTGCCTGACGGGTGACGTCGACCACATCGTGTAGGTATGTGTCCACGAGTTTGAGCTCGGGCGACGACGTGCCGGCCGCCACAAGGCTGCGCCACGCCACGACCACCTGCTTGGCATCATACACGATCTTGGTGCCCATGAATCCATCTTGCACCATCTTCCAGTGCGGACGGATCGTCGCAAGGCTCTTGGTCACTCCGCCAAACACCTTGGTGACGTTGTACACTGACTGCAGCAGCGTTGTCCACGTGTGCTTGGCATTGGCGTCGTCGATGTGGTACCGACTGTGGACAAACTCTGGCAGCCACGTGATCAAGTCCACGGGCTGGGCCTCCCACGCCATTTGCAAAGTCAGGTCGTACACGACGTAGTTCTGGAAGATGCCTTCCATCGTAAGCCCAATGCCAATCAACGTGCCGTTGGACGCGATGCGCGCGGCCACCGGGTCCGCCGCCAGCGTCGGCAAGTCGCCGCGAAGCCCCATGTTGCCGCCAAAGTTGTGGAGCACGCAGTAAATCCACGCTTTGCCAAAGTAATTGTGGGTCTTTTGCCAAATTGGCACGACCTCGCTACGTACGTACATGGAATTATAAACACACAAGCATACATATCGTCATGTACTGGCTGGCCGTGTGTAGCGTACGTACGTACCTGTACAGGTCCAGGATGATGAGCTTGTCGTCGGGCACGCCGCCAACATACGCTTGAATGCGGTCGTTCGTCCAGTACTCGCTCAAGAACAGCCAGCCCTGCATGAGCCACACAGCGTTCGGATCGGCCAACGTCATGCTGTCGATGACTGCTTTGGAGGCTTTGGCCAAGTACGCGGGGTCGGACTGCGCTGGGTCCATTTCGTTGTATGTGTCTGCTTGGTACAGGGACGACGTGTAACCGTAGAGGCGGCGCTGCTCGGCAATGAACGTTTGCCCAATGGAAGTATAGAGGGGATCGGTGGGGTCCAACATGTACACGCAGCAGAACTCGTCTGGGAAATTGCCCCAGTTGGGCGACCGAGAGATGGTCGCGTTCTTGTAAATGGTGGCGATTTCCTGGGGAATATGCCCTGCAAAGCCCGGCAAGGCAGGAATCATCCCATATTCGCGCATGCGATCGAGGATCTTGACTTGCAAGTCGAATTGGTCGTCTATGAATTGCTGGGGCAGCGGCCCTTTCACCCAACTGCCGCGGAGGTTGCCCATGCGACCCCATGCCAGGAAGGCAGCCCCCGCGAAGAACTTGTCAAGTCCCGCGTCGCTGACATTGAACTTCATAAACGTGGACTGCCACACCTTTTCTTGACCCGTGAACGCCAGGGGCATGTTGATGCCTGCATGACGATGAGGCCATTGAGTATAGAGCATTAGGTACCTACCATTGAGAGCCATCCAGTCAATGTGCTTTTCCCACTTTGTCCATCCCCACGTCCATTGGGAATAGCTCACAGTACACACGTTCTCGTAGTACGAGTACTTGGCGCTTCGTTCGACGCGTACGACAGAGTTGATGCGAGGAAGGGCCTTGGGGAGATAGAGCTGGTGGTCTTCCCAGTCCGTTTGGGTGTGCACCACGTGCTTCAAGTACCTTATTCGAGTGACTATGAGTGAGGAGTGAAAGAAGGAATGGAAATACCAATGAAGGGCGTAGCCCAGAGCGGTGCCACTCGACCCCTTGATGGCCACCTTATCACCATTCGACCCAATCTCCAACACGTCGCGTCCATCAGTCGTGGCTGGAATGACGTGGAGCGAAAACTAGAGCAGTGACATGTTCAGGCTCGGTGACAACGAAGGAAGGAAAGGGCGTACTTGATCCAGGTACTCCTTTCCAAGGCGACGTTCAATCAACCCCTCCGTAGCCTTGATGGCATCGTGTTTAGGGGGTGTCAACTGGATGCTGCCCAGAACTGAGGCGGCAGTCAACGCCACCGCAGTCACAACATGAAGAAGCAGCTGCATGACCACACAACTCCACTCAATCTCGCAAGTGAGTGTGGTCAATCCAAAATCTTGGTCACAGACAGAAGGTACTCCTCCCCCTTCTTCAATTTGGTATCCGGATGTGAAAAGTACTCATTGACCATATCAATAAAAATAGCTGCCTAATTGTATGTTGGTCAATAACGACTAATATAATTATCCACGTCAATCCAAAAATTCCGGATACGCGAAGATCGCACAGTTCTTGACGACACTCTTCATCTTGAGTGGCCGCAAGCAAGCATGCTTGGGCTAACTGTATGGCAGATTTTTGGGGCGATGTGCTCGGCGACGTTGGTGGTCGATGCAATGCTGGATGCCCCCCAGCATGACGCTGTCGCTGCAGTGAAAGGGCTTGTGTCCCGCCGCCTGGGCGAGAAATACGTCGATCAGGTACAGCTCCGACAGCCGGACAATGCCACCAACTGACACTATCTGCATACTATAGTTCTCTTTTGAAGTTATTCCCGCCATCGACGATGGCAAGGACGTGTTGGAGATTGGAAACGACGGGGGCAAAGTGCACATTCGCGGCTCCAGTGGCACCGCGCTGGCGTATGCCGTGCAATGGTACCTGAAGCAAGAGGTCCACACCCAAACCAACTGGGACGACCACGTTCTTCAACTTCCCGACACGCTGCCTCAAGTGTCGTCGACCGTGCGAGTAGAAAAAGTCTCCAAGTACACGTACTACCAAAACGTGTGCACGGTGAGCTACTCCATGTGGACGTGGGGATGGGAAAAGTGGGAGTCGCATATCGACTGGATGGCTCTCAATGGTAGGTTCATACTCAATGCTCTCCAAGTACTCAAACCGTCACAAGCACCTACTATGATACTACTCATGTAGGTATCAACATGCCGCTGGCGTTCACCGGTCAAGAAAAGGTATGGCAAGCCACGTTCAAAAAGTTCAACGTGAGCGACGCCGGGCTCAACAAGTTCTTCGCGGGGGCTTCGTTCCTAGCATGGGGACGCATGGGCAATGTCCGCGGCAGTTGGGTGAAAGGGCCGTTGGCCCAGGAATTCATCGACGGCCAGTTCGACTTGCAAGTCAAGATCCTCGCGCGTATGCGGGAATACGGCATGATCCCAGCGCTGCCAGCGTTTGCGGGGCACATTCCCGAGGAAATCACCCATTTGTTTCCCCATGCCAAGACGTATCGGTCCCCCAACTGGGGAAATTTCCCCGACACGTACACGAACGTGTACATGCTGGCGTCATCCGATCCGTTGTATGTCGAGATCGGGCGTACATTTCTCGAGGAGCAGACGCGGCTCAACGGCGGGTTCACGTCGTCCTTGTACCAAGCGGACACGTACAACGAGATGGACCCGTCCTCTGGTGACCACGACTTTCTCCATGAAGCGTCGAAAGCCGTGATCGATTCCATGACCCAGGCCGACCCCCACGCCGTGTGGCTACTCCAAGCATGGACGTTCAACCGCGGATTCTGGGGCCACGATCAAATCCAATCGTACTTGGGCGGCGTGCCCGACGACAAGATGATCCTGCTCGACCTGTACAGGTGCGTCCCCTACAAATGTACTTTGCACTTGATGGGATAATGTGTGGTAGTGAAACGATTCCAATCTGGCCGCGGTCGTCTAACTTTTTCGGGAAAAAGTGGATCTACTGCTTGCTGCACAACTTTGGCGGCAACACGGGCTTGCGCGGCAACTTGCCCCAGTATGCCCAAGAGCCCATCAACGCCCGCCACCAAAGCAACGGAACGATGGTCGGGATTGGGCTCACCATGTAAGGCATCTTTCAAAACTACATTGTGTACGACCTGACTTTGCAAATGGCGTGGGAAGCCCAGCCCGTGAATTTGACCACGTGGCTGCCGGCGTACGTTCATTCGCGGTACCATGCAGATAATGCCAACGCCGCGCAGGCATGGCGAACGCTGCTGCAATCCGTCTACAGCGTCGGCGATGGCGGCGGCGTGACCAAGAACATCGTGGCCGTTCGTCCTGGCTGGGATATTCTGCACCTGTCATTCCAACCCACCGACATCTCGTACGACCCGCGGCTTGTCGTGACCGCGTGGACGCACCTCTTGGCGGCAGCCGACAAAGTGCCGCACACAGATGCGTTTCTGCATGATGTTGTGGACGTGACGCGGCAGGTGCTGTGCGATCACTTCCTCGCGCACTTCAAGGCCATCAAGCGAGCGTTCGTGGGCCACAACGTGTCCATTGAGGAGGTACGTACTACCATGCATCTTGAACGGGAATATTAATTCTATACTATGGCTTCGACATGTCTGTCTAGTTTGCAGACACAACCGAAAACATGCTCGAGCTGCTGTGGGATTTGGATGTGATCCTCGGCTCCCACAAGGACTTTTTGCTCGGGCGGTGGCTCGCCCAAGCGCGGGCACTGTCAGGCAACCACTCGGACGTGGCGACGTACTTGGAGTACGAAGCGCGCAATCAAATCACGCGGTGGGGCGACTCGAACGACAATTACTTGTCGGACTATGCGGCCAAGGACTGGGCAGGACTCATGGCGTCGTACTATCACCCTCGGTGGCGCATCTGGCTCACCGAAGTGACCGCAGCGTACGAGAGCCACCGCGACGTCAACACCAAAGCCGCCACCGACGCGCTCGAGGCGTTTGAGCTGGGTTGGCAGCTGGAAACAGTAGCGTACCCGACCTCGGCCCATGGCGATCCCGTGGCCATCGCCCGCCGCCTTCTTACGAAACACGCCCCTCGACTGGCCAGGGCCCAAGCTGACGGCACTCGTCCGTCCAACAACTACCACCATCCGCGCCATGTGCCAGTGTTTGGGCCACAGTTTGTGCTCGATCAACGCCGCAATGGAATGCATCAAAGTAGCAAAGACTGCGGACTGGATTGCCTCTCGTAGAACTTACTGGAATCGACTAAGGCGATGGGGCAAGCCACAACGAGAAAAGAAAATGGAGCTTGTTGCTTGATGTCATGGATAGTGTGTCGATGCTTGCGACGTTGTTATGAATCGATGGATGGTCGACAGACAGTTGATTTTCAATAGAAATGTGTTGCTCCGTGAGATCATGTACATATCAGCATGCAAACGACAAGCGCATCAATAAGCGGACGTCGAGTTCGGGTATAAAATGTCCAAGTTTTCGAGGGGTTATACTAACTTACTTTATGGTTCATTTCATGCCGATTTTGTACCCCTTGTGGCCCGCCTTGAACGAATTGTCCGAGTCTCGGCTGTACACGACGCGACAGCGCGGCTCGCTGCCGCTCCACGCGCCATGTTTGCACGTGCGCGACGACGTTCCGGTCATGGCGTAGTTGGTCTGGCACGAGTACGACGCGGTGGCGCCGGCAGCCGACCCGGTGATCTGCACGCTGCCGTTGGCAATATTGTGCAGCGCCGGACATGTCATGCGGTGGGCTGTATGTATGATCCTCAAGGGAGTGAATGAATAAGACCATCATGTGAATGAAACTCTGTCACACACCGGATGACGTCGAGGGGGAATGGGGGGGGTGCTGGTACCCCCGTGCAAGATTCGAGGCCAACGTTAAGAACACGATGCTAATGTATTTCATCGGCACGACCATGGTCTTGATCTTTGTCCAAGCGACTGAATGTGTAAAAATAGCCAACCAAAACCGACGCCTCAAGATGGTCATGCATGACCAAGACGTTAACTGGACACTAACTAAAAGAACTCAACATTGGTACTATTGCAATTGAGGAATATATCAAGTGCTACTTTGAGTACTTATTGCGCCTTGGCCTCGCCACCGTGCTGCGCCACGTCACCGTTGCCATGGTACTTCAAGGTCTTGACCCAGTGGCTGTGGCCGCCGGTGGGGTGCTTGAAGATGGGCGTCGCCTTCTTGCCGTACTTCTTGAGCTGGTTCTCGACATGCAGCGGCAAAAAGTTGTGCGAGTACGCGATCTTGCCTTCAAAGTCTTCTTCTTCCTTGGGTTCGAACACTTCCACCGTCCACCCTTGGCGCTTGGCCACCGCGAACGCATCTTCCTTCGTGTCGAACTTCATCACCAAGTCCGCCACGGGGTCGGCGCCGCTGTTCCACCCCATGAGAGGGTTTTGCCAGTTCGCACTCGTGCCGAAGCGCAGCTCCCAGTGGTGCGTGAACGCCTTCGTGCTTTGCATTTGGTTACGGGCAGGCTTGTACAACACTGCCTTGCGGCCTTTGGTCCATTCGCCCACACCGCTCACCAGCGCGCATTCCTCGGGGTACTGGATGGGTTCCACGAGGCTCGGCGCCTGGTCGTCCGACGCATGAGGAGGCAACACGGAGTGGCTACGCGCCAAGGTTTCTTCCTTGATCTGCTGCATGAGCGCGGAATCGTCCTCAGGCTGAGCAGCGGCCGAGAAGCCTCTGACCAACTTGGCGGTGGCAGGGCGGGTACGGGCCACGGCACGGATCATCATCATCCCTCGTCAGTCGAATTAAGTGGCTTGGCACTGCCACAGGCGTATCCGGATACATATCCGGCAATGCTATCGAAGTTCGAACTCAAATATATCACGAAGACGCTGCACAACGCACTCTTCACTGCTCCGTTCTCTGGTCTGCTGGACAAGTGCAGAGTTCGACACACGTGTGGCTTCATCTTCCACAGCTACGCCTTAGAGATGCAATGTTGTGTTCCCCGATCCACTTGCACAGTCCACCAAGGCCTCGAACTTCGAAGTATCTGTAGAATAGGGATAATGCCTTCACCGTATCCGGATTGGTTTGCATGACATTTTGGTTACAATCCAGAATCGGCAAAAGCTCAACATGGACATCGATGCAATGGAGACGCTGTTTGTCAGCGGCCAGTTAAAGGAATCCCTCGACGCCAGCCGAGAATGGCTCACGAACCACCTGCACCTGAATGAGCAAGTCATCGCTGCCAATACAAACCTGTCGTTGCTTGGGAACGAAATCCATGTGGGCGTGAACGACTCCGACAACGTTCTCGACGACGAGTCCGAACGCGTGCTTGCAGTCTACATGCAATCCACGTTCGAATTGAATGCGCCCGACGAAACACTCTTGCTGGCAGACGTCTTGCGCATCCTGTCCCCCGTGCCATACCATGTTGGGCTCTTCTGGGGCTCATTTCTCTCGGCGATGGGCCACTACACGGACGCGCAAGCATTCTTCTCGCGCACACTTGACGCCCTCGAGCAGCAGTTCCACAGCACGCCCGATTCGGCCATCGTGTGCCGGCAATACGAGGAAATGTTTCATGCGCTCGTATCCAAGGTTTGGCTCGGCGACCAAGTAGCATCGAATGCTCCAACATTGCTCGACCTCATCCACAACAACGCTGTGCTCACGCCCACTTTCAAGTCCAAACTCATCCTTCTCGTCGAGCAGCGCGACGTCGAGTCGTCGTCGTCACCACCACCGCCACCGCCCTCGTCCTCCGCCTCAAGTCCGTTGGTACCACCTCCACCTACTGCCTCCCATCGATCACCCTCCACGCCCCCCAAGTCAACTCACACGACCACCGCAACGTCCTTCTTGGCCGAGCCAAGCACGCAGCTCATGCTCGGCGCGGCCGCTGTCGCCGCGGTATGTGCGATCAAGTACCGATCCCACTTGCACACGTCGATGAATGACGTCCTGTCCACGCTGCACGAAGCCAAAGGGTTGTTGTTTGGGTAGTAGTACTAGGTACTTGTCACATAAAATAGGAAACAGGCTAACCACTCTCTCTTCTTTCTTCATCACTGTACGTTATCGCACTTTATGGACGCTGTGGGTTAAATCTTGGAATCAAGCTCTGTCTGGACGATTTCGGATACGCCACTGGATGCACGGCGCTGCGATGCAGTTGGCTGGTGCTGGCCACGCTGACGCGGCGGGGGCCGTTCTGCAGTTGCTTCAACTGGCGGTTCTCCGCCTCCAGGTTGGCCACTCGCGCCTGCAGCTGCTGCTTCTCCCGCGTCAACTGATCAATTGTGCGCTAGAAGAAGGAACCAGTAGGCTATTAGCATATCCAGTCTAACCTACAATCATCCCCTTGAAGTATATGTTACCTGCAGGGACACGGACTCGTGGTGCTTGGCTCGCTTGGCGTCCATGTCCAACTGGAGGTCGTTCAACATGTCCGCGTCGACGCTCTTGCGCTTGACGCCCCCGCCGCCCCGCGCGTCCAGGAGCGCTTGCCGCAGCGCCGCATTCTCCTGCTCCAGACGGTCTGCGCGTTGGATGTGCGTCATCTCCGCCGTCACGACGTGCTTCTTGGGCCGAATACGGATGTTCTTGGCTCGGTTGGCATACCTAAGCAATCAACCCCTCCGTCCTTGTCAGCCAACCATCTTGCCGACCTCATTGAACGTACTTGAGGGTATTGTGCGTCTCTTCAAAGCATGCGTGGGACGGGTTGATGTTGGCAATCATCACCAACCGGCAGTCGCCCTCCAACGAACTCTACACCGTGTCGCATGACGTTGGTTTAATTGGCCATCCTGTCACTTCATTGCCAGGTTCGTAAAATGCACTGTACCTTGAGCAAATGCGTGAGTTTGCTGTCGCGGTACTTGGTGCGCGGCGCTGGCTTGTCACGCACGCGCAGTGTCACAGACGAGTCGGACCGCCGCCGTTCCTTCATCGACGACGACAGCGCGTTGATGCAGTTGGCCAGCGCGAGCAGACTCTACAGCATGCTTCAGTCGAAAGATGATGTATAATAAAGTAATAATATGAATACAAATAGAAATAATAAACGTTCAAAACTGAGTGTATGGATTCGGTACATATTTCCAGACCCCGTCGAATCGAATCACGAATATTGACGCTATTGGCTAATCCAATTTTGAGGAGATTATTTGATTGGCTCTTACAGAAAGGACAAGTAGATTCAACCAATCAGAACAAATCCAGCATGATTCCATATGGATTAGACAAACCACGCGCATTTTGGAACTTTCTAGCGAATTCACAATATATATATATATATATATATATATATAAATAAATATTGTAATAAGGCCCCCGTCGACTACGTACCTTGTTGATATTCGCTCCTTCCGTGAGGCGAAGGCCCGTGTTTTGCGTGTTGGATGCGCGCTCGGACCCGGCCAAGTCGATGAGCGACAGCACGCCTTCCGTCGTAGCCTCATGTGGATTGTTGTGGCGGAACATGGTTGTGGTCATGTGTTTCACGGTCACCTGCAGCACCGCATGGGACCTCGATGACACCTGATTTGCCGCCGTGGCTTCGGTCCGGCGATTGCGATTGCCGCTGCATAAACCGTGTCACTTATCAGTCCATAACACTGTCACAGATTTGACACTTACGACCGAAGCAGCTGCAGCACTTGGGACGAGGTTTCCACCGTCACATGGTGCAGACCGGCCACATGCACCACCCCCTTGACTAGCACATGGGGATCGATATTTGTTACTTCGAGTATTAGGGATATATATATATATAAATGATAGAGTACCTGGGTCTTCACGCAATGCCAGCGGTCGACTGGATGGGTTGAGCAGGTCGCGAATCTGCTCGTTGTACACTTCTAGGTATGTCACCACGACGCTCCACTGGAACCCCAAGCCTTCCGCCACGGACGCGTCTTCTTCGTCCGCGCGCGCGCTATTGATCAGGCGAAAGATGTCTGTGAGGGCGTGCGGAATGATGCCGTCCACGTGGGGAACGTTGTCGTCGTCGTCGTCGTCGTCGTGGTGTCCAAGTTGATTGTCGTCGCCACTGCCGTCGCGCTCCGATCCCATCATGGTGTGCGTCTTGCCAGCGCCCGTCGCGCCATATCTACATATACGTGACGTGGTGATCAAGGAAGAGGATGCCGAGGACGTACGCAAAGATGGTTGCGTTGAAGCCTTTGAGGATGGTGGGGATGATGTTGCGCACGGTTTTGGTGTAGACATCGCCTTGGCTAGCCTATGGATCAGGCATGATCAGGCATGGATCGCATGATGTGAGATGAATGGACCGATTCGAATCGGACAGACGTACATAGTCGGGAAACGCTATGTCGTACGCATATTCGTTGGTGAACCCGCGCTGGCTTTTCAAGTGCCGCAAGGGAATGCCAGGTTTCTCAATGACAACGGTCTAATGCAGATAGTTATGGCACACATGAGTTTTCAGAGTTGATGGTTATGTTCCCAGAACCTGGTCGCCTGCAACGCGACAGCAGCTTCGATGGCCATTCAATTGCTCGGCCTGTGAGATGGGTCGTATGCGCACGGCGACCTGTAAAGTATACAACGTGGAAGTGTCAGCGTCAGACATGTCGGAAGGCTGCGTGCTGCATGATCCAAGTTGGCCGTACTATCATATTGGGAATGTCCACATGATTGTCTTCGGAATCGTCCGGCATAGGCATCAAGGACTCGCGCATGACGTCGTCGAAGATTTTCGACGCAAAATGGAAATGGCTAGGATGACCTAAAATCGGATATTAATTTGATGTCGACTATTTCCATACAAAATGAAAGATAAATGGTAGCCTATCAAAATAATTTCATGTTATTGCTAGGATATTTTCACAGGATTTTGAAATTTCAAAACAAAGCAGCGGTAACGAGACTTTGTAACGTTCGTTACGTAGTGGATGGAGGTTCCCAACCCAGCTCGTCGCGGCCAAGGCAGGTCTGTCTTGCGGTCATCTTTGGTCGACGATGGTACTGAAGATGCATCATGAAACCGTCCAGCAACGCTCACTTTGTCCTCCACTAACGTTAAACGAAAGATCCATGGAGCGTCGCCGTTACTACCTTGTAATACAAGGTAGTATCGAGTACTTACTGTTAATGCATTTTGCATTAAGTACTCGAGCGCGATACTGTACGTACCGTTAGCTGGTACGTCACGACATGTACTGTTACGATATGTCGCATCTAACTCATGTGTGTTGCTTGCTCGTCACACCTTCACGGGTATGTAGTCCGTGGACAGACATTAAAATTCGTTGAAATCCTCGTTCAAAATAGCTTTGGAATGCAGTCATAATATGCCTCCCGTCAAAATAAGTAGGATCCAGCATACATGTAGTACTTTTGGAGCTCCGCCAGCCAAGTCAGCGCTTGAACCTCCACCGCCTTAGGCGGTCACAGACGCTATTGAGCTGCCTCTGGGGGGTATTTACTCGACCAAAATGGCACCGTTTGCAGCCAACGACGATCTCAATCGACGGGTGGTGACGAATGCGATTCTCCTGTTATGCTGCAGTCTTGAGCTTGAAAACCTATACTAGTTACACTACATATGCAGTACCATGCGTTCTATCTACTAGAGCATGTGACAGGCAATCCATATCCAACCTGAACGCATGCCCAGTACGTAGTCTGTCTATTCGAGTCGTTACAAGTCGTCCAGAGTACTGCCGAGATCGAGGACGCCCACGACCCGATGCTGCTTGGTACCGTACTTGGCGTGCAATTTCGTGGCAATTTCCACAGAGTCCCCCACCGGGTCTGTCGGAAACTCATTCGTTTGAGTCTGCCATGCCACTTCAAAGTCGTTGATTTGACCGTCGATCTTGGCGTCGTCGGTAGGGATGCCCGCCTCACGAGCATCACACACCGCCTTGAGCCAGACGCGCCATCGGCCGGCGTAGTACTCGCCCACGAGTCCGGCCCACTGCTTGTTGGCGTAGTCGTTCAACGTGCCGACGCCCCACCGCGTGAGCTGGTTGCGCGCTTGGTACTCAAAGTACCCGGCGGTGGCGGGCGTGCCGCGGGCCTTGGCATCTCGGATCCACCGACCCAATAGAAACGCCGTACTTGTGGCCAGAATCGTGTCCATGTCGTGGAGGAGGTCGAGGATTTGGTCTGCTTTCGAGCACACGACAGACGAAGACGTTTTCGGGTTCAGGTACAGCTGCACCAGCTCCGTGTAGTACTCCACCATGACGTTGTTGAGCACTTGGCGCGTCACGTCGACGAGGTCGTGTTGAAAGGCGTCGACTTTGCCCACACTGTCGGCACCCGCCAACACGAGCTCAGTCCACGCCGCCGACACTGCGTCCGAACTCACTCGCTTCGGCAGCAGCAGGTTGCCGTCCACGTCCGTTTCATTCACGGCCAGCTGCCACCGAGGCCGAGTGGTGGCCACCGAGTCCACCAGCCCCTCGTCACGGTACACGGACGTCTTCAAGAACGCCCACGCCTTCGTTGCATGTTCGTTTTCGACGTGGTACCTGCAATATGCACATCAACATCCTATTCTGACGGTGAAACTAGCATGAATAACGTGTGGTACCGTTGGTGGACGTACGCTTGAACCCACTTGTCGAGCGGCATGGGGGTGCTGCGCCACGCCATCTCGAGAGCCAAGTCGTACACGACGTAGTTTTGAAAAATGCCCTCCATGGTCAGCCCCAGACCAATCATATGGCCGTCGCTCGCTGCCAGCGACGTGATCGGGTTGGTTGCAAGCTTGGGCAGGTTCCCGTGGAGCCCCAGATTCCCCCCAAACGTGTGCAGGAGGCAGTAGATCCACGGCTTGCCAAAGTAGTTGGACGTGCGACTCCACACTGGAAACGACTCGGTCCACAGGTCCAGCATTATGAGTCGGTCGTTGGCCACGCCGCCAAGGTACGCTTCGATCTTGTCGTTGGTCCAGAAGTCCTTCATAAAGTAAAACAGCCAGCCCTGCATGATCCACACAGCGTTCGGATCAGCCGCCAACATGCTGTCGATCACGGCCTTGGACGACGCGCGGAGGTACGCTGGGTCGGATGTGTGGGGCAGAAGCTCGTTGTACGTGTCGGTTTGGTACACGGAGGACGTGTACCCGCCGTAGAGCTGCGTTTGCACTTGGATGAACGTGCGCCCAATGTCGAGATATAGCGGATCCGTGGGATCTAGCATGTGGACACACGTGAATTTCTCAGGAAAGTTGGCCCACTGAGACGACTGCCGCACGTTTGCATGGGGATACAGCGTCACCAGCTCCGCGGGGACGTGGCCAGCAAACGCGGGTAGCGCCGGGAGCATGCCGAACTCCTTCATGCGGTCCAAGATTCGCAGTTGGAGGCGGTACTGGTCCTCGATAAAGTCGAGGGGGATGGGCCCGAACGGCCCCCAGCTGTCGCGGACGTTGCCCATGCGCCCCCACGCCTGGAATGCCGCGCCGGCAAAGAAGTGCTGCATGCCAGCAGTCGACACGTTGTACTTCTTGAACGTCTCGAGCCAGATCTTCTCTTGGCCAGTGAACGCCAGCGGCAGGTTGATGCCTTGGAGAGCCATCCAATCGATGTGTTTTGCCCACTGGGGCCAGTCCCACGTCCAAAACGAGTAACTCGTCGTGACCACGTTGAGGTAGTACGTGAACTTGGTGTTCTTTGCGATCGTCACGGCCGAAGGAGGGAGTGGAAGGACGGCGGGAACCACCAGCGCGTGGTTGTCCCAGTCGGCTTGGGTATGGACTACATCTTTCAGGTACTTGTGCAGGGCAAACCCGATAGCTGTAGCGCTTGATCCCGACACTCGGACGCGGCCGTTGTGCTCGTCGAAGGATGATACGTCGTGATCGCGCTCGTCCTTGGCAGTTACCACCACCTCAATCTACATCCGTTAGGATTGTTGGAACGTTTGCAGTCCTTACTTGGGAGTTGTACTGCGGCCCCAACGTTCGCGAGATCAGCCCTTTGATCGCAGGGATCGGATCATGCTCTGGCAGACGGAGATGGGGGTGAGCGTCGACATGGCATAACGCGATTAAGCACAGAACCACCCACAGCGAACATCGGATACCTGGAGACATCGATCGATGCTACGACCGACACAACGGGGCTGGCCAAATATCAAGTGGCTTCTCTAAGATCCTAAAGACATACCATGCGTGCTATTGGTCGAATCTTAGCCAATCACACATCATCTACATCGATTAATTCGATATAACTGGACATAAAAGTTGAAATATTAGCCAATTATAAGTGAGCGTTTGCCAATCAACGAGTAAAACGTCGAATAAGTTTATTCGACGTTCAAAAATTGTTTGCCCGCTTCGTACGTCGATATCATAACTGCACAAGCGGGGGCAACTTTAGCCACCCGTGCACTCAAGCCAATATACAGCCCCCCTAACCACCTACCCATCAGCCAACGTTCCCACATGACGTCACGTACCCACGCCTTCGGTTCGCACTATCTCGTGCATGAGCCGCCATACACGCAGCGGTTTGCCTGTCTCGGCGCTCGATGAAAACGTTTCGATCTGCTGCTTTGTCTTGATTACGTCAAAGGGTTGGGTGGCCACACTTGCAAGTGACCCGGACGTGGCTCCGGCCACAAACGCAATCCCTAGCTGAGTTTGCGCTGGATTGTCGGTGGCTTGCAGGGCTGGCAACGCTGCCAAGCGCTTCTTAAGCAGTTCAAATACACCCCAATACATGGCTGAAAACGGCACATCGCGAGCCAGCGTTGGCACCAGCCCCCGCCACAGCGCGACGAACCCGCCCGCGATGCTGCGCTGGATGACGGCCGCGAAGGAGCCGGCATTAGGCGCGGCTTGCATGCGAATGCGGATGAGTTCGATGGGTGATACGACGGTGGCTGCCACGCAGCGGGCCAAGCTTCCGGAGACAAAGGGCACGGCGTCGGTGTGGTCGGGGTACTTTCGCTTGGCAGCGGCAAGCAACAGATCGTACGACGTGAAGTAAAGCACCGTCGAAGGGACGGCAATTAGAAGCGTAGGCGGCAGACCAGCGTAGAGAGCGCCGATGCCTTCGGACCGAACGATGTGGCTCAGCGCATGCATCGTCCCGCGAAGTTGCACGGGAGTGGGTGTGTGCACGGGACAGGCAATAGGGATCCGCTTGGTGGTGGCGTCGACAAAGAGTTGACTGTTCTGCTTGCAGATCATGTGGTCCATGAGTCCATTGGAAAACTGGAAGTGCGTGCAGTGGCAGTAATTGACCTAAGGACGCGAGGAAGGATAGCGATGACACGGACGTGTGTCGTCGAAGGTTTACCGTGGACGTGTTGGCCGTAACCACGGTGGCTGCAGGACCTTGTGCTTGCAGTCGAGTTTTCGCCACTTCTAACGCTACTCCATCACAAGGATTAGCATTACGAGTGAGCAAGGACTGTGAGGGAAACTCGCAACATACGCGTGACCTAGCATAACAACTACATGAGGTCGACGCGAGATGCATAGGGGAGGTACGTACAAGGAGCGAAGTCAGAAGTGCGCCAACTGAAGCCACGCCAGACTTCTTGATGGACAGCTCCAGCGTCCTGTAGTGATGGCCACGCCCTTCGTCAGCATTCTTCGCTGTCGCCACCATATTGGAATTTGAGTGTTCGACGCTCGTTTTGATTGGCCAGAAAGTATCCTTGAAGCGATTTCGATTAACATTAATCAACGCAATTAACGCAAGATCTGTAGTCATGTTGATAGGTCGCCCATTGCGAATGGAAGTGCATCGTAGGCAGCTTGAAGACGGAGACCCAGTCGACTGTGCCCGTTTGCCGACGCGAATGTCATGGGCGTGAATCCTTCGTCATCGGCTTGCATGTGCTTTCTTTGGAGGCCACCACCACCTTCTGACGTTGCGAGAAGCAGCCACATGCATACGTCCTCGTGACCTTTCATGGCTGCTTTATGCAGTGCACTGTGTCCATTACGGTTCAAAATGGTACAATCTAGTCCATTTTCAACGAGGAACCGCAGGATATCGACGCTTCCCGTCATGGCGCACCACTGGGACGCGTTGCATCCGTACACGTTCAAGCGATGAATGTCGCACCCAGTTTGCCTAATGTAGCATAACACTGGTCAGCATAGTTCAATGCGTGAACTACATACACAAGCCATCGCACAATCCCCATTTGTTGGCCATAAACAGCATAATGGAGTGGCGTTGTGCCATCCAACGTCGCGCTATCCGCGTCCATTTTCACATCGTCGACCAACCACTGGCAAACATGAAGGTGGCCATTTCGCGCGGCCCAATGGAAGGCATTGCGACCGAGTTTGCCTTGCAATGCTGCAGCATCCAACCCCACTTGCTCGTGCAAGTACTTACACATGTCCAAGTGGCCTTCGATCGCTGCCCACAGCATGGCATTGTTTCCATGCAGATCTCGCACACTCCTGGCATCCCATCCTTGCTGGAGAAGCGCCTGAATGGTCTGAACGTCGCCTCGACGAGCTGCGTCCAGTCCTGGCTCCAGAGCTCGTCGGCTGCGCTTGGTTGCTTCTGCCGATTGTGTCCACAGGTGCAAAGTCGAGGCCGGGGCGGTATACACAATCAACTGTGTATTGGTGGCGGCGATTGCGTCATCATGTGCTTGAACGTACGACTGACGGTGACCGATTTCACGGTGCACTCTCAGTCCTTTGGCGCCGTTGAAGTAAAATCCACAGAGTGAGCACGGAAATCTTCCCATAATGGCGTGCCATTCCAAGTGCGCTTTGGTCGTGATTTTAAGCATGCCACGACCGTCGCGGCGAACGTCGGCCACGAGTGGGTGTGTGTTTGACGAAAGGTGTTCGACAAGCGCAGTGGCAAGGTCTGTCACAGTCGCGTATTCCTTGGGATACACAAGACCATACGGAGTTTGGATAGTAGTTCGCAGGGGAGTGTCATGTGGCTGCTTGGTCTCGTGCAGGGCGCGTATGTGTTCCTTGAACACTTGGCTCGCGAAATACACTTGCAGGTCGGCCCCTCGGTCTCGCCCACGAGCTATCAAACTACCGAGTCAGACGACTACTTCAACTACTCCGTCTAACGACGAAGTATTAACCTGTGCACACTTGATTGCGACTGTGCATGTATTGACCGGCGTAATGTTCACCAAGCTGGTAGCGCACGGCATCGGCGACCCATGCATTGAGCTCGTCCATCGTTGTGCCTGAACAATAACCAATCACATATCGCTAATTCCGGGCCAATCCAGCCCCGGCATTTCAAACCATTCCACCAATGAAACCACCAGTATGGGCACAGCCTTGTGCAGTTGCCACCAAGTCCCCAATGGCAACATGGGTACCTCATGTAAGTCATAACCGATCGAACCTGAACAGCGTTGGCCAAGCGCAAGCAGGATTGACTTTGGAGGGGACTTTCCTTCATCGCGTTTATGTACCTCAGTACAGTATCCATGGCGCCATCCCTAGCATTTCATTGGTGGAAGCACAAATGACGGGCCAATCCGACGAGATTGATATTGGTGACAGAGACACGTCATCCCACTGTGAATGTATCTCATTTGTATCGTACGTTTCAGCGTACACTCAATAATATTACTGAATAAAAGCGTACGTATACCGTACATCATACAAGGAATGTACGATTAGAATTGCAGAGGGGCGTCCACAGCTCTCATTTTTGAATACCCCCTCAACACAACATGGTGAAACTCAGCTTGAAGGATGTGGACGTCCAAGGCAAGCGCGTCTTGATGCGTGTGGACTTTAACGTTCCCTTCGACAAGAAAACTGGTGAAATCTCCAACTCCCAACGTGTGGATGCTGCTCTGCCCACGATCCAATTCGCACTCGACAACGGCGCCAAGAGTGTCGTGTTGATGTCCCATCTCGGCCGCCCCGACGGGTCTGCGATCGCCAAGTACTCGTTGAAGCCCGTGGCGGAACTGTTGAAGAAGAAGCTCAACCGAGACATCATCTTCTTGAACGACTCCGTGGGTGCCGAAGTCGAAGCTGCGTGTCAAAACCCTGCGAATGGCTCGGTGATCTTGCTGGAAAACCTGCGCTTTCACGTTGAAGAAGAAGGCAAGGGTAAGGACTTGGACGGCAACAAGATCTCCGCGACCAAGGAACAAGTTGCTGCGTTCCGTGCGAGCTTGAGCAAATTGGGCGATGTGTACGTGAACGACGCGTTCGGCACGGCCCATCGCGCGCACAGCTCCATGGTTGGCTGCGATTTGCCTGTGAAAGCCGCGGGTTTCTTGATGGACAAGGAACTCGTGTACTTTTCCAAGGCTTTGGACGCTCCCGAGCGCCCGTTCTTGTCGATCTTGGGCGGTGCCAAAGTAGCCGACAAGATCCAACTGATCTTGAACATGCTCGACAAGGTGGACGAAATGATTGTGGGCGGCGGCATGGCGTTCACCTTCAAGAAGGTGATCGATCAAATGGAGATTGGTTCGTCTTTGTACGACGAAGAAGGCTCGAAGATCGTCCAGAACATCGTGGCCAAGGCGCAGGAACGCGGCGTGAAGCTCCACTTGCCCGTGGATTTCGTGATTGCCAACAAATTCTCCTCCGACGCCGAAACCCGCGTTGTCGACGACTCGGAAGGCATCCCCCAAGGCTGGTTGGGCTTGGACGTCGGCCCCAAGACCAACGCGATCTTTGCTGCCGCCGTCGCCCGCGCCAAAACGATCGTGTGGAACGGACCCATGGGAGTGTTTGAATTCGATGCATTTGGTACGCGCGAGTGTGTGTGCTTTATTCGATGCGACTTTGCATGTTACTCATCGTCTTGTGTGTGCCTTCTTAGCCCAAGGCACGAAGAACGTCATGGACGCTGTGGTTGCCGCGACCGCGGGCGGTGCCACCACGATCATTGGCGGCGGCGACACGGCCACATGCTGCGTGAAATACGACACCGAAGACAAGGTACGACATGTGTTGTCTTGTAGGTCTTAATCATGCTATTTGATAGGTGAGCCATGTAAGCACCGGCGGGGGAGCCAGCTTGGAGCTGCTGGAAGGCAAGGTGTTGCCCGGCGTGGCGGCGCTGACCGACGTGTAAAGTTGCATATATGAGTGTGCCGAATACAAGGAAATCGCCGTACTTTTAATACATTTATTGCCCTCGTGCTGTGCCTTACTGTATCGTCATGCACACCCAGCGTCAGTTGCTAATCATGTCGTGAAGCAGCATCACCACGTCGTCGTTGTCCCCCATCTCGCCCAAAAATGTGGCGTCCATTGACAACAAGCCCGTCGCTGCCGTGCCAGCTGCGACCCGCCCCCCCTCTGCTTCCCCTGCTGCCCAAGACTGGACCCCCGTCTACGTGGCCGTGGCCGTGGCTGCGTCGGTTCTGGCCGTCGCCGTCGCTGTGTTCCGTAAAAAGTAATCCAAGAATCAATTGTCACAATAAACCTCATGATATGTAGTTTATCTACACTACGTACAGTGTAGTTAGGGGAAGTTCCAAGTAATTTTCAGAAATATTGTTTATGTGTTTACATTCTAAACTGGGGCGTCATGGAGAATGAATCGACACAACCAAATAAAGTACACAAGAATCGGCAGAAGGGTTTAGCCAATCAGGCGTCGAAATAGTGTATGATTTTAATTAGTGTGATACCAATCACCACTCGACACTTTTTTACATACAAAATTCAGTACAAAGAATCTATCGATACATTTGGCGATGCAGGACAAAAGTCCAAATTTTGGGTAAAAGGACAATAGCATGAGCTGTTTGTTTTTCACGATTTAGAGTGAGTTTCGTAATAAATCGCACAAAAAGAGGTAAAAAAGGTAAGAAACTGGTACTTGGAACCAATTTTTCATTTGCTAAAACTATCGACAAGTACTTGGAACAGGCCCTTAGCACCTTACGATGATAGTACATACCAGTACTACGTACTTTAGTATATATTAATATCACCCCTTTAGTGTCTAACGATATACCGAAGAATTGGTGGTTTCATTCGGTGTCCAGTGTGACAAAGTACGTGGTGTTGGTTTGACAATGGGAGTTGTTTGAGTAACACCAGAATGATAACCACCAGACTGTAAATCAATCAATCTCCATCCCTCGTGTCAGGCAGGTTATGGGGTAATGGTACAGTATATACACATCCATATTTGCATTACGGCGGTGGCGTTCGAAAGCCCAACCCGACGGCAAAGATTTCCACCGACTCTGTGCGGGACGATTCCGGTTTGAACGTCTTGACGTCGGTGAAAAACGGTTTCATTTCTTGGCGGAATTGGTCGCCTGCGGGGGATCGAAGGATCTTGGAGACGAAGCGACCACCAGGTTTTAAATATAGCTGGGCCATGCGCAGGGCGTTCTGGCACAGCCGCAGTTGCTCCTCGCTGTCTCGGAAGCCCAGACCAGAGAATGACGGCGCCATGTCACTGAGCACAACGTCGGCCTTCCGCCCATCGAGGAGCACGGAGATCTTCTCACGCACGTCTGGAAGTCGAAAGTCGCCCACAACAACACCCACACCCGGGAAGGCATCGAATGGCAGCAAATCCACTGCCACGACTTGGACACGGGCATCGGATGGCGGATTAACGTTACCCTTGCGGCATTCGTCAATGGCAATCTGATGGAGATGTAAGCGTCAATGAGAGTGCTGACGGATACACACCTGTGTCCACCCGCCTGGGGCCGCTCCGAGATCAATGACGACGTTTCCTTTGCGGATGAGGTCGTACTTCTAGTCATGACAATGTGACAAAATGATGACCTTGGTGGGCGTACCGCATTGAGCTCACGTAGCTTGAAGGCGGCGCGGGACCTGAGACCTTCCCGCTTGGCTTGCTTGACGACATGGTCGTTTTGCTGCCGTGCCAGCCATCGAGCGCTGGACACCGATTTGCCTTTGCGGATTGACGAAAACCACCGCAGCTGCAGCATCCTCACTGGCTGGCCAATGCGCTGGTGAAAAAATATATATCCGGAAATGTCGAAAACTGTAGCCAATGAAACAACACTACAAGTGCAAATCCGGATATGTCCATTGCATCGATCGAAACGTCACTTTCGGTTACATATTAATACTCCAAAGAAAGTATTAATACTACTAGGTACTATTTACTATATTAATAGTATTAATACTACTAGGTACTATTTACTATATTAATAGTATTAATACAGTAGCTACGGCTGCACGTTCACATGTCCATCCTGCTTTGACGATGCTCCGATTATGTCCATTGCGCAAGAGGTAATCGTCGCCAAGACGTTCTTGAGAGGAACGTTCGAAGCCAGGGCCAATGTCTATGTACAAAATCCCCTGAATACATCATACATGTGATGAATAAGAGTGTTGGTTCACTTTGCAGTCTTCGTATTCCGGTTGGACATTCACAACGCGCCCGTTCAAGTACCCAATCTATTTGATTTCAATACTAAGGAGGTTGGCATATTGGTGTTAGATTGGTTACCTTGATAGACGCGATGCCATATTGCGACGGAATGTCCATCTTTTCGCGACGAAGGACGATGCGATCCATGGATTGGCTAGCATGCAAAGGTAATAAGCCCCAGAAGTAAGTGCAGAAAAGACCCACCGTCGAATGCCCAAAGTGGAGGTCTCTTGAAAGATAATGGTGGAGAGGTCGCCAACTTGGTGGGGCTCACAGAGCACACTGCATTTGCATCCAATCAAGACATCACAACTTTGAAAGAAGCGAGTCCTCACCTCATCACCATCGCCGGTCGATTCTTCTTCATCTATGCAACATGTCAACATACGAAAAGGCGAAATTTGCTAACTACTTGAGCGGGTTGGAGCCACACATCGAGCGCTCCCCGCTGCAGCAACAGCCCTTGCACATGCCCAAACAGCTACCACATCAAGGTGAAGCTTGGGAATATGCGAGGGTAGTTGTATAGTTGTACCTGGGGATTCATGTCATCGAGGTTGGTTTCCAAGACAGCGACGTTCTCGATGGTGGCGTCAGTAGGGGCTGCGGTAGTGGAAGAAGGCATGGGCGTCCAGTGCGCATTGACCACCGTAGCGCTCGGGTCCGTCAGAGTCCCGATCACGACGCGAACGATGTTGGCATGGTTCGGAAAGTCCTTGGTGCCAGCACCAGAGCCTGCCACGTAATAGTTTCATTGTTCGTATATCGATGGGTACAGAGTGACGAACCCGATGCCGTCGGAAGAAACGGAGGAGGTTGCCCGAACGTCTTGGCCAGTGCTTTCATGAGACTGGCTCCAGTGGGCGTCACCAACTCACCCACCGCCCTATGACACACTAGTTTGAGGGAATTCCTCGGGCGGAGGGCTTACCCATTGGGGGCAGGACCCATGGGAATGCCGTGGAACAAGCGCAGCGTGGCGGGGGCTGGCACTGGCATGATGCCATGCAAGCATCGAACAAACCCTTTGGAAAACGGAAGGAACGAGCAGTGTACTTGGTCCACGCCCAACAGTTCCAGGGCCAAAACCGACCCGATCGTATCCACGAGGCTGTCGATGGCGCCCACTTCGTGAAAATGCACCTAGTGCGTATATGCAAGTGTAAAATGATATGTTTTAATGGAAAGGTAGGTAGGTAGGTAGGTACCTTGTCCATGGTCGTGCCATGCACAGACGCTTCCGCCTCGGCCAAACAGTGAAATACGCGCTTGCTGTTCTCTTTCACCCAACGAGACAGCCCGCTGCCATCGATCATGTTCGATATGGTCTCGAAATTGCGATGTTCGTGATGATGATCGTTATGATGATGGTGGTGATGATGGTGACCTTGATCCTGGTGTGAATAGTCGTCGTTGTGGTGTTTGTAGGAGTGATCGTGATTCTCTTCGTGGTCGTGGCTGTGGGAGTGATCATGAGAATGGTCATGGCTGTGATCGTGGGAATGACTGTGGCTGCTGTTATCATGGTCATGGTCGTCGTGACGACTCTCGCGTGATGCACCTTTCACTTGAGCAACATCATGCTGGGGTGCTGGCAGTGGATCATGCTGGTGGATAGACGACACGTGGACTTTCGTTGCGGCAATCAAACCCGTGCCTTTCCACACTCGCTCGGTGTAAATGTCCCATTCCCCTCGGATTGCAGAAATCGTCAGCAAGCCTGCTTTGATGGCATCTAATGGAGCGCCCTGGGACATCATGATGAGGCATCTACATAGATGATATATATCTAAAGCGTACCGCGTCGATAAGGCTGGCCAATATCATGTCCCCCGCGGCACCCGCAGAGCAGTCGAAGAACGCGATCTTTCCCATGTTGCCTTTTTTCCTTTTACTCGAAGTAGGTGTCATTCTATTATCCGTACGATATCAAACGAAACAGGTAATTCCGGATAACCCGTAAAGTTGTTCCGGCTTCAATTGTCAGAGGTACAGACAGGACTACGTATGGAAGTCGGCGGCGGCGGCACATCGGGCTTCAAGGACTTCGACGACATATTTGGAGAATGCGAGCCAGAAGACAAACCCACGTCGTTGGCGGACGTTGTTCCATGGGACGTGGAACCCAAACCACCGTCCCTTGTACAAGAAGACGCACATTCGAGCGTGGCGACACCGGTGGGTGATGCGTTCTTGGTGACGTGGGATACGTCAGTAGCAACGATGGAATTCAAGACGTCGGAGTCACTAGACTTCCTGGACATCCCTAGCGAACGCTCCGGCTTTGGAGAGGCACCTCGCGAATCGTTTGCAGACGTTTTAGCCCCCGTCGACAGTTTGACTGAGTTCCTGGACATCGCTAGCGAACGCTCCGGCTTTGGAGAGGCACCTCGCGAATCGTTTGCAGACGTTTTAGCCCCCGTCGACAGTTTGACTGAGTTCCTGGACATCGCTAGCGAACGCTCCGGCTTTGGAGAGGCACCTCGCGAATCGTTTGCA